GATGTGTATAAGAGACAGGGGGGGGGGTGTGGATGGAGGTGATGTGATAGCTAGATGGCACCTAGCGCAGCAGTGTACAGGAGACGGACATGCCTTTCCAACGTCACTTGACGGATAGATCGGCCAGAGAATTGTTCGGGAAGCCTAGGTAGGTGCTGTAGGGGCAGGGACCCGCCGCGCCCCGGCCGAAGCGCCCGCGTCTTCTCCGGCAGTGGTAGGCAGTTACGTCGCGAGGGATTTCTTTTCGGGTGTGTGATTGGAAAGAAGCTTTTTTCCTTGGTTGCCAATGGAAGGGCAGCGATGTGTTATTACCCTCCTGTACCAGCAAACCTGCCTGCATTTCGCGGGGTGTAGCATCGAGCTCGGGCACAGGCCCTGATTGAAGCGGCCAGGTAGGACCCCGTGTAATACTTGTAGATTAATGCCCTCTTGCTATTGCTATTTGCGTTCTTTTTTTGTTGCTTCGACAAAACGCTACCAATGGAAGTGACCATTTGTTGACGGGGACTAGCCAGCGGGTTGGGTCGAATTAATTTGTACGGAGGGACCAACCCAGCGCGCGGGATGGCTCGGGATCCTGGCTCAGGGTGCCATCTGGACCCTTCGCTTCCGTGTAGGTATTTGTGGCCACTCTGACGGGCACCCCTTCGACATTGATGCCAGTGTGTGTGACGAGTGCATGTCGAGGCAACGGCTTTTCCTGTCTGACCGCCTCAAATCACGCGGGGGATGGAGAAATGTTTCCGGATGTGTTTGATGGGCTTCGGGGATGGACAGCTGAGCCACAATTGCGGCGAGAGATGCGGTGTGCTTGTACAATCTGTACGGAGCGAGCGGAGTACTCATATGCAGGATGCGTATACACTGGGGCTCGTTTTTTAATAGTGACGATTGACGACGAGTTGAGGCCCTCTTGCATCCCGTCAGGGCCAGGGAGAGCCAATTGTCAGTACAGAATTCCCCATCATCTTCCGTCAGTAGGCTTTAAGAGATGGATCCCTTGAGAGCCGGTCCCAGGGGTCCCAGGGGTCCCAAAGGTCCTCGAACCTAGCCTCACCAAAGCCACGATTCCCACGACTTTCTCCTCGTCCTCCTCCTCCACACCACCACACCTGCTGCCCACTTGGTACGCTCTTGGTACACTCTTGGTACACTGTTGGGGAAATCAATTGATACGTGCAAATCCACTTTGGGGGACCGCATTTCAGGAGAGGAGAGCCAGTGGTTGGGCCTCGAGCCTGTTGCGCGCGACGGTAGCTGACGATTATTGACGCAGTCCCAGACTGTCCAGTCTTCCCACGGCCACACTGGCCACACTGTAATGTAAATCAATGTACACACCATAGGTAACACCACCAGGCTCCGTAGACTGGCCGCCAACCAGAGACACTGCCTGCAGCCACTGTCTCGCCTGTCTCGCCTCTCTCCTGTCCCTCCTCCCGGGGGGCTCCTTTGTTACATATCTCTCGCTCTTGTCCTCGATCATTCCCCTCACCTCTTATTTTTATTTGCCTCTCCTGTTTCCCTTCTTGTGTGCCGATTTGCGCAAAGTCAAGTCTCAGTCAGCCGACCAGAGGACATTGAATACGGGACTTCAATTGCACACACACACACGCACAGGGGTCCGGAGGATCATCCGCGATTGGCGCACCTTTCATTCCACACCCCTCGACCCCGGTCCCAGGATACCTACATACCCCCCCGTTTTGAAACACCATCTGCTCCCTTGTCAACACGAACAACCCTCCCAAACTCGTCTTGCCAGGAGGAGAGGGCATATTTTTGGACCAAAGAGGACCTTTACGACTGACCTCAGTCAGTTCTCCCGAGAGGACCGAGAGGATTTGCCATTCCTGCTCCAAGTCAAATAAGGTTCGACTTTCGCACGACCGAAACCCCCCCCCAATGTTACCCCCACGGCCGTCGCTCTGAGAAACTCAACCGTCTTCCAATGTCTTGCTCGTCCGCTCAGGATCAATTACGTCGCATTCCTTTCCATTGAGCGCCCAATTGGCCATTCTACATATACCTACCGACCGACCGATCTCACGCACCCTACCGGCTCAGGGGACCTCATCAACAAATACCAACGCAAGTGCCCGTATACGCGCCCATGAATACGTAACATATCTTACCAGCATCCTAGTTCGAACCGATCGGACCAACAAGGGGGGTAACTGTCGCATGAGGGCCAGTTAACGAAAGAATGTCGTTCGGGGTGGCCGTGCAATCGGCCATCTTCTATTTTATGGCCTGTACGCCATGCATGGAAGCACGCAGTCACCACCGAGCCCGGCAACGGATCAAGAGGGAGCGAGAGGAGAAGGCGCGGCGCGAGGCAGAACAACCAGACTTGTATAGGCATCCAAGCCCTTACAATGTCAACCCATACTGGGAGGAGGAGATGAGGATGGGGCCCAGCCTACCCAAGAAGGGCAAGCCCAAGCCGGCCAGCCAGAGGAAGCTTACCAGTGCCGGGGAGAACAGCAGCTCTGCGACGAGGAGCAGCCTAGCTATCAACAACCATAGCCCGCCCGCTGCCAGCAGTACCAACCCACCAAATGCCGCAGCCAAGGAGAACACTCCACATACGCCGCCGGAGACGCACGGGAACAGCAGCCCGGTCATGATCCCCGAGGACGCTCGGAGTCTGAGCGTGATGGAGTCGGTGGGAGCGTCCAGTATCGACGGGTGGAACCACAAGAGATACCAGCGCGAAGACGAAGAGCTCTGGGGCCACGAGTTCTCTAGGACGGGCCACAAGTTGATGGATGCCATTGTCAAGGCGGGATCATCTGCCGGGAAGCTTCTCGAGTCGACCTTGGGCAAGGACAGGCCCATCACCGACGAGGAGCGGGCCAACTTCTACAGCGCGCCGATCCACCCGCCCGTCAACGAATACCACCCTCCGGTCGTGAGCAGCAAGCCGGCACACAAGGACGCCCTCCGGTGGATGCTCCAACCCCCGCCGCCCGCCAAGGTGATGGAAGGAAAGGTGCCCGTGACGAGGAGTGCCAGTCTTGCCAGCACGGTGAGCAGGAGGACGGCGCCCAACTCTGATCTGTCGCTGGGCAGGGTCATGAGCGAGCGCCTGGTCGAGGCTAAGCGCCGCAAGGGCGAGGTGCCTCCTGTGCCCGTCGACGGCGACAAGCTTTCGGTAGCGCTCGCGCCCGGACGCCCTACCTCGAGGAAGACCACGCAGTCGACCCGGTCGAGATCTACTAGGTCCCGGGGCCAGCGCAGCAACCGGAGCGCCACCCAGTCGACGACTGATTCCGAGGAAGAGTCTTCCGAAGGTGCACTGCAGCTCCGGCGGCGGCGGTCGGCGCGGCCGCCTGTCACCCCCGAGGTGGAATCCGACGAGGGCGACATCGACGAGGACGAGATGCCCGTCCCCAAGCCGCCGCCCGTTCCCGAGATCCGCTCGGCGCAGCGGCCCAAGCTCGAGACGATCTTGAGCTCTGACGGGACCGGCCGGAGTCTGACGACGAGACGCTCTCGGGCAGACGGCAAGGAGAACGTGCCGGTCCCGAGGACGCCGGATCAGAGCAGCAGCCGGAACGGACAGGTGCGATCCGATTCGACACCGGTCAAGGAGCGACCGTCAGGGGCATCTATCGACAGCGGGCTCGCGTTGTCTACATGATGATGGCTGCGTTTCTCTGCAACACCAAAAGAATCAAAATCCAATCTCCATAGGGCCTTTCGGGGGCCATGGGAGACATTCTACGCTTCTGTTATAACTATTTGCATTTGTGCATATGCATCACACAGGCAGCAGGGACATGCTGAAGTTTTTCTTATTCTCAAAGGGCGTTTTCATCACGATGGGGACGGATGGGAGGTCATTTCTTCAGGGGGGGAGGGTTTTCGAGCATTGGAGGGTATGACATGCAGGTTCAAAGTTGTTCCCCGTCCACCAAAAGCACCAGTCAATACAGCACAGCACAGCACAGCACAGCACTAGCCGGCGTTTTTTTTTGGGATGCACCTTTCATATTCATCATTCGGTTCCTTTGCATAGGACACACGAGTCGACAGCGCTCTGCTAATTCTTTTTCTTGTACCTATCATACCACACACAACGGCCCGATTAGCACACCAAATGGATGCGGCCCTCGCTTTTACATTGAATATTGGCGGTGAAGATGCGAAGATGCGAAGATGCTTGTGCTCAACGAGTAGGGGACGTGACCTCTCACTTACAGTACCTAATCGCCGTTGGCCATGCTGGCGTTGCGACCTACCTATACCTTTTGGAAGTCCCAGGACTGTGTACATCTCATAGTACTAGGTAAGGTAGGTTAGGTAGGTATGGATGTCTGCAAGGAAAGTGTCGGCTGCTAATAGCTATCAAATACCGACCCAAGTCGGCTTATTCTAGCGAGGGAGATAGCTAACAAAGGTACTGAGGCAATAACAGCTCAGCTGCCCCTCCCCCAGATTTTTACCGATCCCAACGCTTAGCTCATTGGGCTGGAGCGGGCCCTGGCGCATGATGTGACGACTTCCCAAGCACGACTCATTCTCCTGCTTCGATTCACTCTCCCTCCTCCTCCCCTTCCTCGGCGATTCTTTTCTCGTTGTAACCAATCTTTCTCCCACCTCGCTGTCTGCGACTTGTTTTGCTCCTGTGTTTACCAACCCTAGACCACACGATCTTTACTACTAATTGCTAATACGTACATATCCTCCCCGCTTTGTTCAAGCCGGTTTAGAGGGCACGAGGGGAGGACACCGGCAGAGATCCGAGATCGCATGTGATATTTGCTCTGGGCATCATGGGCTCTAGTGCGGCTTTCGACCAGGATGAGCTGACGGTGTTGATCACTGGGTTCGGGGTATGAAATCCCTTCTTTTCTCTCCAGCTCCAGTCACTCCCAGTCCGTTGATCGCAACGCTCTTACACACGAGAGCTGTACCCGTCCTTGGGGCACACGGTGATGAGCCATCACCCCCTCCCCCCTGCACTCTTTATACACGGCATCCAGCTTGCGATCAAAGCACCTCTCACTACACCTATCTCTTCTTCTTCAACTACCTTAGGTACCTTGAATCTTCGAAGGCTCACATCCCTCTCTCTCTCGTCTACCCCCCCTCCCGTAGCCCTTTAAGGAAAACTACCCACGCAACCCCTCGTGGGAGATCGTCTCGCGCCTGCCCGACTACATCCCGCCCCTGCGCGCCAAGCTCGCCTCCAACCCGACGACGCCGCACGCCACCATCGCCCGCGCCGCCGGCGAGCACATCCCGCCCGTCCGGCTGCTCGTCCACCCGGAGCCCGTGCGCGTCAGCTACGCCGTCGTCCGCCCGCTCGTGCCCCGCCTCTGGGCCGGCCAAGGCACGGCGCCCGAGCTGCTCTCCTCCCCGTCGTCCTCCCGGCTGCCCGACGCCGATGGCGGCGAGCACGATGGCGAAGAGGACCCCAACAGCAACAGCAACAACAACAACACCAATAAAAACGACGCCCACAACGACGGAGGCCGGGATCGCCGGCCTCCGCAGCAGCCGGCGAGGCGCATCGACCTCTGCGTGCACGTCGGCATGGCCGGCGCGCGCATGCAGTACAGCCTCGAGCGCCGGGGCCACCGCGACGGCTACAGGATGAAGGACGTCGACGGCGCGCTGCTCGACGACGAGCGCTTCCGGCACCCCAAGGAGGACGGCGGCGACGACCCGCGCTGGGAGTGGTTCGGCGTGCCCGAGGAGCTCGAGACGGACGTCGACGCCGACGACGTGCTCAAGCGGTGGAGGGCGCATGCGCCGGTAGGTTTTCTCGGACGGACGGACGGGACCAGGTTCATGGTATCTTGGTGTGGTAGTATGCGGTTTTCGCTAACATAACATTGGGGAAACCCGAAGCCGACGGCCGACGTGCGCATATCCGAGGACGCTGGGCACTACCTCTGCGACTTCATCTACTTCTCCAGCCTCGCCCATCTCTGGAAGGCGGGCGAGCACCGCCGCGTGGTCTTTCTGCACGTCCCCTCGGCGTGCTCGGACGATCTCATCGCCAGCGGCCGGGAGATTCTGCTGTCGCTCATCCGGTCCATCGTCGAGAGCGAGATCAGCAAGGACAGGGCGGTGGCCGAGACCGTGGGCCAGACCGTCGGGGCGCAGAGCGAGACACGATGACCAATCAATCACTGTTGGAGACAAAAGCCTTTTGGGGGGGCGGCCGCCAGGGAGGATGAGAAGACGATTTTGGGTTGCACCCTAGAGAGATTGTCTTTTGGGGAGAGAAAAGACTGGTTAATTCCATTAGAAAGTCCCATTGGGGGACAAGTATCAGTAAACTTTGCATAGACTAGCAAGCACCAGAGATCATTTGACAATAAGCACTGAGCCCTCATGAGGGGGAATAAATAGTGATACTTTGAACGATAAAGGTCTCTGGTAAATGTGCCCAGATATCATGTGCATTCTACCCCTTTTCACAAAGTGTTCCTCGAGCCGTTCGTCGTCGAAAGCCCCTGAGCCACAGGCAGTGCCTCTTCCCACGGGGGGTACACCACTCCGCTGAGCACCCGCTTCTGCTCCACAGACATTCGCCTGCTCAGAAAGTACCACGGGATCGGATCCGACTCCCTCATGTCCAGGAGGAGGTCGGGGGCATTGTTGTTCCGCAGCTTGGTCCGAATCGCCTTCTCGCGCTCCTCCGCCATGCAACAGTGCACTCTCCACGCCATGAATGTCGTACAGCTCATGTTCTGGACGTCTTCGCCCACACCCGCCGCGGCTGCGCCGTGCTTCTCATACTGTGTGTGATAGTCACTACAGGGCCGCCACTTGGGCGCGCCGAGGTGATACATGCGGTCCAGCGCGTTCCTCACAGCCTCGACGTCGGTTGCTCGAAGGAGGAAGAGGAGTCGTTCTTCGGGGAAAGCGGCTTCTTCCTGCTCGATAGATGCCTGGAGTGATTTGTCGAGAGCTTTCATGTCTTTGTCCGCACCAACACCCGCTCTCATGAGCATCTCGAAGTGGTAGTCTCCGAGCATGGCGTCTGCCTCAGACTCGTCTTTGTCACTTCGCAGCATCTCGATCGCATTGTAAATGTCTACACCAATATCCACGACATCGACAGCTCTCCCGAGGGGTCGGATATGCTGTTTAACTCGGTGAGAAACCGAAAGCTGGAGTGCGTACCGTAGCAGCTCGATTCGGCCATCCCAGATTGGGTGTGGTAGAAGCGTCAGGAGCTCTTCCGCCAAGTCTTTGGGCATCCCTCTCTTAACCTTCAGCCAGAAGTCTGGGTCCTGTACCGTGTGAGTTGCGTTGTCGACTCTGAGCCCGTACCGGAAGAGAACATGCGGGAGGCAACCGAAGAGCTTGACCATCGCTTTCCAAAGCTTCATCTCGGCTTCGAATTGTACTTCAATGTAGTCTCGAGACAAGATTGCTGGGGTTTTTCGCCGCTCGAGCTCGAACATCTGCTCGTCCGCATCCGTCCACACTTTCCCATACAGCCATTGGAAATGCGGGAACCTTGGCGAAGGTAACAAATGATGGATGTGTGCTGGACTGGGCAACAGATGCAGAGCGATGTGGCCAGTGTCGCCATTCCCAGGCGAGATCTTTATCGTGACTGGAGAGTGGTCCTGATTTGACGGTGCTGTTTTTGGCGCCTTCTTTGCATTGCTGAGGTCTGAATCATGATCTTCCTTGGAGGTGGGTGATTTCACGGTCTGGTCTCTTTCTCCAAAGGGCGAGCGAGTGTCGTCAGAGCGCTTGACAGCATCCTCTCTCTTTCCGGAAGACCTCTTAGAAGATCTCAGCGAATGAGGAGACTGATGAACTCCCTCTTGTGCACTTTGACTCTTGGCTCGCTTCGATGGATTCTTCCTCGAAACTGCAAGATCGGGAGTTGCCGTCCGCTTCCTCGTACGAGGCGGAACATAATCACTGTCATTGTTGTCCTCGAATACAACGATTGTGGGCTCCGTCATACCCTGATAGGATACAATGTCAATAACGTTGGCAAGCGTTTAGCGTTTCTGCTCTCTTACCTCCTGCTGAGACTCCTGCAGAGGCTCCTGCTTTGACATGTTGACTACTTGGATTTCGGCCTGAGAATCGTCTATTGTTGATTTCATGGATCCTACACTCTGTTTCCTCGGCTGCCCGCGGCTCATAGATGCGCGAGTCTCCCGTGATTCCCTGCTCACTGTGATGTATAGTGGTTCTGTCAATTTCGACTTCGTCGTGAAACTTTACACAACAAGCTGGGCGTCACTTACCAGAGGCAAAAGCGGCGGCCTGAAGGGGGTCAGTATCGCCAGAAGCTTCGGAGTAGCCGCCATAATCCGAATCCGACTGATCTGGGACATAGCAGGGAGGCGACGTGCTCTTGCTCAGTCGTTTAGCGCTTTTGCGCGGGATGTCGTGAGCAATGACCTTGGCTTCGACCTCGAACTCGTAGCCCTTCTGCACCGTCTTACGCTCCCGGGTCGGTCGTGCCCGAGCCACTTTTCTCAGGGTACGCATGTTGCCGCATTGTCTCTCGTCGGCTTGCTCATACGGGTTGTGCGTATGTTCAAGAATGTGAGACGCGGGCTGGAAGGGACGCTTCCCTAGCCTGTTGCTCTCAAACCTTGTCTGGTACCGAAGGAGGTGGAGGTGCGTCCCAGTGAAATAGCATCGACGGCACCTAACCTGCCTGCATAACAAATGAGAAGGTTTCCCACACAATGGATGGCTCGGTTCGGAAATCGAGAGCAAAGGAGAAAAGAAGGGCCAGTCTCGTATGGGGGATCATGTTGGAGCACTCTCGCTCGACTTTTAAAAAACTGAGCGCTGGTGTAAGTGCATGGCTCTTTCCTCATGGTCATTGAAACTCAATTCAAGAAGGAAATCGCCGGGAAGGAATGAAGAGATCACAGGCAACAGTCTGAAAGGAGCAACATCTTAATTTGTTGATGTCGCTCGATCCTGCCTCCATTGTAAGTCAGGGGTGACACTCAAAATCGAGCACCAATCGTGTGTCAAAGAGCACCATATCTGTAAGGCCGATTGAATGATATACCTAAGTAGGCAGCTTAGATGATTGAATGAAACCCAACCAACTAAACTGATAGCGAGCTTGATCTTTGTGCGTTCATCTCGCACCAAGCTTGGAACTCCAACACCTGCAAAAGAAGCCGGGATGGAAAAAGAACTTCGTGCAGACCCATTCATTTGCATCTAGATAGTGGGATGATCCATGTCTTACATGAGATCAATTGATGTCTATCAATGTACCTACCACTGAGAAGCCACAATAATATTGAATCTTGTCTAAAAAGGGATCCTAGGCTGCATAATGCAGCTGTCAGATGACCAAACATCCCCCATCCCCGTTCGGTGCTGACAGAAATCCCCGTCCTCCGCAGAGAAAACAGTTCTATAAAGCTGATTTAGATCTTGAAACTGCGCGGCCATTCCCCACGCTCATACTGCTTGGGCCAAGACACCTTGACGTTGAGCTGGCGTGCAGTCTTGAGAACGAATTCAGGCTCTCGCAACAGGTGCCTCGCAACCAGGACCAGGTCGGCCTGTGTCTTTTGTCCATGCTCCTCCTCAATCTCAACGGTGCCATTCTTTGCCGCCTCCTCGTTGAGCTTGTGACCTTCTTGCACAATCGATCGCGCCATCTCGGCGTTGGAAATCATGCCCACGGCGCCAATCAACAGTTTCTTGCCCTCGGCCTCGACAGCTTCTCGAACTTTTCCGGCGAGGCTGACCTGGTAGTAAGGATGGATGTCGAGCTTCTGTTGGGCATTGTTCCCGCCCGAACTGACGTCCAACAGGTCGACGCCGTGCTCGGGCAGCAGCTTGGCTAGACGAATGCTGTCCTCGAGGGTCCAGCTTTCCTGACCTGACCACTCCATCCACTCCGTGGCTGAGATGCGCAAGAAAAGCGGCATTGACTCAGGGATGGCGGCGCGGATGGCATCGACAACCTGGAACAAAAGCCGAGTTCGGTTTTCGAAGCTACCGCCATACTTGTCCGTTCGCCTCTGCGGACAATGTCAGCAATCTCAGACTTTATCACTCCTCTTACCCGTTCTTTGAAAGGCAACTTACGTTGGAAATTGGCGAGAGGAACTCAGAAATCAGATAGCCGTGCGCACCGTGAATCTCGATCACATCGATGCCCGCAACCACTGCCCTCTTCGCAGCATCCGCAAATCCCTGCACCACTTCCTCGATTTGCGCAATGGTCATCTCCTTGGGCATCGGCCAGCCTTCCTTGTCCCAGGGGATAGCGCTCGGGGCTACGCAGTTGTCGGGCCAGCCGCCGACGTCCTCCGTGGCCAGTTGCTTAGCCTCGACCTTGGCCTGCCAGAGGGGAACAGTGCTCGCCTTGCGGCCGGCGTGTGCGATCTGGATGCCGGCCTTCTGCCCCTGGGAGTGGATGAAGTCCACCACACGCCGAAGCGGCGCGATCTGGCTGTCTTGCCAGAGTCCCGAGTCCGCTGGGCTGATGCGCCCATTCGGCGCGACCGCGGTGGCCTCGATGATGGTCAAGGCAACGCCTCGCAACGCAAAGGCACCCAGGTGCACGAGGTGGAAGTCCGTGAGGTGTCCATCGTCGGCCGAGTACATGCACATCGGCGACACGGCAAAGCGGTTCTGAATCGTTACTCCACGAATCGTGAGCGGTTTGAAAAGGGTTGGAACCTCGGTTTCTTGGGAGGCGATTGCTGTGCCGACCGGCGGCTCTTGGATTGGAGTGTAAAATGGCACGCCTGGTGCGCCGGGCGTGACTCTCTTCTTGTTGTCCACCGTCATGATTGCGACCCGAAAATCGTTGAGGAGTCGAATGACAGAAGGAATGTCTAATTCGACCTGCGGCCTTTATAAGGGGAGTAGCTTGGAAGCAATGAATGCACTTGTGGGCTGTCGCAAATGGTGACGACCTCTATCCAGGCGCCTTCCTTCTTTTCTCCCTTTATAGCTATGGAAGCCACGATATCTACAGAGTCAAAGATGGGGAGAGTGGCACGGACAGCCCAAGAATTGACGGCCAAGACTTTTGATTTCCAATTGCTTGATTTCCAATCACCGCATGCACTACACACCACGAAAAAAGACACCATACTGGGTTACCAACGGTGCTGTGGTCGGCAATTAGAGGACCCGTGTGGGGGCCAGGTTATTCCCGATAAGTTGACGCAATTGGCATGATTCAAGAGAATGAACTCGGTCGCTTCCAAAAAATGTTGAACCTCTCGCCGATGGTTTAGCTCGTGCGGCCATATGAACGGTCCGGCTCGCGGTATGGGCCCGGGACAATTGGTCCGCATGACTTACGGGTTTGTTCATCTCACGTCTGACAGCCCGAAGGATTCATTCGTCCGGTCGGTGTGCCAAGGGCCGGCCGCCGATGATCTGAAGGGAGAGTGCGGTGCAGAGTCCCTCCGTGTGATTGTTGATCCACTAGATGACAAATGGAGAGACTCGTTGAATATGGACTGCATGGACAGTCTCAACATGTCATCGAATCTCTTTGGACAGTAGGGCAAGCCCATGAATAGAGTAAATCCCTGCACAAACGGCTAGGTGCTTTCCCCTTTTTCTTTCCGAGATAGAGGCTATAGATCTTGGTCATCGTAGTCTTGGAAACTTGGCAGCTCCGGTCCAACTCGCATCAACCGATGCTCAATCTGTCACCCGTAACAGTCCAGCCAAGACCCCACACCAGTTTACCCAGTCTCGGTCGGATACGGCCGTGACAAGAGGTTCTTGTTCCAAGCGAGCTGTCACAGTACCCGGGAGGGTTGCATTTGCAGACCTGAATCTCGAGTTGTGAGATGGAAGCGACTGTTACACTACCAATCACTAGTTCCCTGGGAATTCCTTCGATGGAACGCGAACTCGAACAGCGTCGCGACGTGTATCGAGCTAGGAATAGAAGCCCAGAGATCTCTTAACCGAACTCTGACTAGAACAGCTTACAGCATGCCCGTTGCGTCCTAGGGAGATCGGTCCGCCGTTTGCAAGAACCGTCGCCGGGGGTTTGGTGTGGATGCTGACAGGTCTGAAAAGGGGCAAGTTTGACAGACCTGAAGCAGCCGGGGTGTGCTCGCAGGGCCTGCACGGGCCCCAGGGTTAGGGTCTTGTATGGCCGGTACCCCTGAACTCTCCTCTGGCTTGAAACATGCGTACCCACGTACCTCCGAAACGAAACGTGATAATCCAGGGTGAAGCTGCCATACCCACCGCATTGTAACGTCTAGGGCTATCCTTCGGTAGCTTGCCGAAGGCCGTTCGGGTCACGATCGTGTACATATGCCCCTTTGCACCCCCGCCGCAATCGCGCGGCGTTCGTCCCATCATGGTACGATGATCAAGAGACTAGAAGCTGGGACCAAGACAGATCATAATCGATTTTTACAGCTTTCTCTGCGTTTCGAAGCCGAGTCGTGCCATATCAGACAGGATCTGATCCAAGATGAGGAAGTGGGCGGACCGGAGGAGGGCCGTGATGGGCTCGTAAGTACTGGCCTCGCACCAACCTTGATATCTCATCTCGGAACTAACTATCTTCTGCTAGACCCAAGCCTTTTGACGACGAGGCAGTCCTTGTTCTCGTTGGTCCGGAGAAGGCAGAGTTCACAGTACACAAGAAGCTTCTGTGCACCACGAGTAACTATTTCAGAGATGCCATAGACGCGATCCCCACGGCAGTGCTTCCCTCACCGCCGCCATCAAACCGGTGCAGTCCAGAACCTGACGGGCGCTCTGGCAACGACCCTGGATCTGCCACTACCACACACGAGAGTCTAGTCATGTGGCTATCAACAGAAAACTCCGACATGTTCGACCTGTTCATCCTGTGGCTGTATCACCACCAGGGCTACCAACAATCCCCCTCGCAGGCGGGTATCCCGCGCTCCGCCTTTATCGACGATGCCGCCATCGCAAGCGCGGGACAGGAGGCGGGGTCTCCCTCACCGACCAACTGCCATAAGTTCCGCGCGCTGCACTGGAGCCTGGTGCGGTTACATCTGTTCGCCGCACAGATCGACCTGCCCGCGCTGCAAGACACGGCCATGGACGCGCTGCAAGACCTTCACCTGCGGTGCGACTGGGACGTCGCGCCGAGGCTTCTCTCCCTGCTGTTCTCGGACACCAACCGCTTCAGCGACGGCGGCGACGAAGACGAGGACGCCTCCGTGACGCCGGCGACGACCTGCCGCCTGCGCAAGTGGGCGGTGGCGATGCTGGCCTTTGCGCTGAGCGGCTGCCTCGGCGGGTGCGGCAGCAAGAGCGCCGACGGCGTCGTGGCCGAAGGCCAGTTCCAGGGCCTGCTCGACAGCCTGCCGGACCTCCGGGACCAGTACGCGGGCCACCTGGCCAAGATGGCGGCGAGCAAGGCCGACGTGCGCATCAAGAACCCGCAGCTGCGGCTGCCCGAGAACCATCTGCGCAACGAGGAGCGGCACTTTGGCTTCCGGCAGTGCTCCTTCCACAGCCACCGCAAGGTCGTGGGCCAGGGGAGGTGCACGCACGCCAAGGCCTCGTTCCTGCAGCAGAGCGGGCGGCTGTCGCCGACGTGGGAGCTCACGACGTCGCACTGCGAGCCGCACTCCTCCTCGGACGGCCTGGAGACGGTCGGGAGGGGCCTGGCTGTGCTGACCGAGTGCGACTCGCCGTCGGGGGAGGAGGTGCCGCCGCTGGTGTCTCCGCTGCCTGCCAAGGGCTCGGTGTCGTTCTTGGACCTGGACTGAGGGTCCTGGACGGCGGGCTTTAATGATGTTCATGACTTTTCACGATGCACGAATTCCGCATTGCCGTTACCGTTACTGTTGCTTGTACTACACATTTCAGGAGGGTTATATCCCTGGGGGATGAGGTTTGGGGGGGTGCTTCTCAGCGTTTCTGTCTGGCTGAAGAAAGGTCGAGGGTTGTCCGCTGGTGTTTCTCCATCTGCGCGATGCATATTGGCGGTTCCTATGGGCCTTAATATCGATGTATTATTACAAAAGATCTTATGTAGAAGAGCCAAGTGCAAGTAGACTCAATGTCAAACAATGACGCATCAAGAGTTTCAGTCATCCGCCCGAACCCTCTTGCAAAGACTAGGTAGGTACTTAGTGTACACTTAGAGGCTTCATTCTAGTGGGCCCCAGGCGGTTGCTGCCGCTGTCCGGGGGCACGGGTGGCTGTGGGATTGACTAAACACGGGGTGCCTGGCTGGCCCATCATGTGGGGATTCCACTGGACGCCACGGACAGCTTCGCCCCTAAACAGCCTCAATCACGGTCAGATGCGAACAGGCATCCATCATTCGCATGTGATCACCACACACCTGGGCCTCATCCTGTCAGGCACAGGGATAGAACACCATGTGAGCGCTTCTATTATGAGGCCAGGCGATGCCTGTGCATAGTTCCACAGCGATATCCAGGCGCGAGGGTGTCTTGAGGCCATGGCGGCTCTGTTGACCAGTCACACGGACGAGTGCTGCGCACGAGGCCTCATATGTCTGTTGGTTCTCCGGTGACGCACAGCGCATAACCAACAGACATTCTAGATCAGAATATAACGGCATCAGGGGCTGGATACCTGCTCCTTGCCCTTGAATCCAACATGTTCTGTACATCCAACAGAGTTTCACTCCGGAGTAGAAGCATTCAAGATGGAAGACTCAAGATGTCTCACAGACACACACTCTCCTTTCGCCATCGACGTGTTTAGAGACCAACAATCATCTGAGTTCCACCATGGTACTCATGGTACTCCAGCAGATCCTACGATCGCCACGGTGTCTTCAGATTTAGAAGCTCTGCTGCCTGCGTCCTACCACACCGCCGACAACAAACAGCTCGAGATCCCGCACCTCTACTCGGCAGCGCACCTGCAGGCCGAGCTGGGCATGGCCCAGCTCGACGGCTTCTCGCACTGGTTCTGGCTGCTCAGCTCGCCAGACCTGCCCCGGCCTCTGCACGACTGCGCCTTTCTGGGCCGCCGCATCCGCGTCACGGAGAGCATGGACCGCCATCTCGGCCTCGACAAGACCAACCAGCTCTACCTCAAGCCCATCCCGCGCCTCATCCTCGACCCGCGCTTCTGGACAGACGTCCTCCCCACCGCCGTCCCCTGCTCCTGCCCTCTCTCATGCGAGCAGGAGGAAGACCCCAAGCATCCGACGCAGGCCTCTGCCCGACAGACGACTGGCACCGCCAACACCACCGCAGAGGACATCGAGCCCTGCGCCCGCCGCCGCCTGCGCTCCTGCGCCCTGGGCCTGCTCTACTCGTACGCCGCCCTCGTCTCGCACGAGTCCGACTTCCACCTCGCGCGCCGGCACGACCTGCTCCCCGCGGAGCTCTGCTGGCAGGCCTGGCGCGCCCTCGTCGCCCAGCTGCTCGCCGACGGCGGCATCCGCGACCGTGTCCACCGGCGCTTCCTCTACGGCGAGCTGCGCCTGCGCCGGCTGCGCGAGATGGGCCAGCTCTGGCGCGGCGGCGTGCTGCGCGTCGTCGTGGGCCGGCTCGACCGCTTCGCCGGCTTCTTCCAGGACAACGTGCGCTGGCTGGCGTCGCTGGTGGCCTTTATCGCCGTCGTGCTGTCGGCGCTGCAGGTCGGGCTCGAGGTCAAGGCGCTCGAGGACGACCCGGCCTTCCAGGCCTTCTCGTACGGCTTCACCGTCTTCTCGCTCGTGGGGCCCCTGGGCGTCATGCTGGGCTTCGGCATCTACTGGGGCCTGTACGTGCCGTACTACCTGGCGCTGAACCTGCTTGCTGTCAGGAGGGGGGAGAAGAGGGCGAGGAAATCACTGCGGGAGAAGGGGGCCGATGATGTGTAAATAGCACGGGGAGGGTTTTTGATGTCATTTTTTGTCTCTTGCGCGCCAAAGATACCCTTTGTTTCTAATGGTACATTGTATCCTTCTTCTTCTTCTTTTCTTCTTCTTTGTCTATGTATATGTCTCTCAAGCAAAAACGTCCCCGAGAAGCTCGTGGTCCAAAACCATCAGCCCCGCCGTCTGCGGCGTGTCCTGCTGCATGAGCGCCATGTTGTCGTCCGCCCAGATCATGTCGTGCTTGCCCACCAGGATGACCTGCTCGATGTCGTCCGCCGTCTCCAGCACCCTCGGCAGCAGCGGCTGCCCGGACTTTAGGCCCCGCAGGCAGCTGCACAGGATGGACAGCCCCGTGAACTCCTTGAAGTGGCAGACCGAGCGGCACGCCCGGTCGCGCACGACCGCCATGCCGAGCCGGAGCGCCGACAGGACGTCGTCGGCGGCGGTGCCCGGCAGGCCGCCGCCGCCGCCGCCCTTGGTCGCCACGGCCAGGGCGTCGAGGTCGTGCCGCCGCGCGCCGACGATGACGTGGATCATGGCCGCGGCGAAGTCGTCGTGGCACAGGTCGACGAGCCAGCCGTGCCGCCGCTGCTGCTGCTCGGCCTCGTGGTGCGGGCCGCCGATCATCGTCGGCGACGAGTGCACCGAGGGCGGCGCCGCGGCGGCGGCGGCGATCTGCGAGGTGCTGCTGCTGCCGCTCGTCTCGCTCGGGCAGGCCGAGTAGGGCGAGGACCAGGCGTGCTGGATGTCGAGGAGGGCCATGGCGCTCCTGAGCGACGCGGCGCGCGACCTCGCCTGCTGCTCGGCGGGGGTGTTGACGCTGCTGCTGCTGCTGTGGGCGTGGTGCAGGGCTAGCAGAGCGCGGTGCATCAGGACCTTGAGGAACTGGAGGCGGTAGTTTGCTTTGCTGCTTGAGCACTCGAAGTTGAGCTGGGATGGTGGTTCCGAGAGGATGGCTGCCTCTGCGTCCCTGAGCTCCTCTCGGATCCGGGCGTGCCATTCCAGGACGCGGCCGTAGTCCATGAACGGTCTGGTCGGGGAGTTGACTGTGTTGATGACCTCTGCGAGGAGGGGCACGATCTCCGCGACCTTTGTGTGGTAGGTCAGGTCCGTGGAGGTGTACGAGCCGGCCCAGGCCTCTTCTGTGGACCATGAGCATCCCGTGCCGTAATAGACCGCGGGCTCAACATTCACTGGCTGGTCCACATCCCCGTCCAGAAAGAGATGGGAGGTGCCAGCCCTCATCGCCACGTCCAGGTCTAGTAGCTGCAGTGTGAACCACACCCTCTTGCGCATCTCGGCCTCGACCTGAGATATCTCTGGGAAGAGGCTTGTCGATCGATGGAGCTGCAGTGAGATTGCCATTCTGGTCGTGAAGCCCATTGCACACGTCAGCTGGTTTGGGTCGCCTCCCCTGAGCTCGGTCATCTGGGCAATCACCATCATGCATAGGGTGCGAACGGTGGTGATGTCGGGCGCAGCCATGAACGGGGATCTGGAGAGAGATATCTGGGCCGACTCGAGGAAGAAGTCGGTCCATTGAGACTTGGACCGGCCGGCGCCGTCGAGAATGTAGTCTGGCATTGACTGCGCCCCCAGGGCCAGCATCATCAGCAGCTGGGCGAGCCAGCCATCGAGGACCCCATGTCGGTTCTTCCAGAAGTAATCTAGTTCGTTCTGGATGAGCAGGGGGTGGAGAAGACCGTGGGTGAGCTCTATGCTGTTCATGTAGCTCGAAACCAACGCCTCGACTATATGGCGAGGCGGCAGGCTGTCCACAATCTGCGTCTTGGTGGCAGCATAGGGGGAAGAATTGCCAAAGGGGTAGTTCATGCCGCTCAGGGCCGGGAAGAGAAACTTGAGGTTCTTGATCTGGCGATATCTTGGCTCCCAGTGAGTATCTGTACCAAATATGAAGGGTACGGCTTCTTCAAACTAAGTCGGACTATGGTTAACGCCTCTATCAAGATGCCCATAACTCCCGCTGGTCTATCACTCACCTCCGACGCGACTGTGGCCCAGTATGTGCTACCGTGACCCGGGAATCTGCTGGTAGCCGGAGAAACACGTGCTTTGATGTACTGCTTGGCGGCACTCCGAGGCGGCGTCATAGCCGGCGTTTCTCGCTCGGGAGTGGCATCTTGCTTGGGGCTTGAGGGGAAAGGTTGGTAGACGCAATCCTCGGCGTTGCCAGACGCAACACAGCGACTGCACGGTAGCCGTTTGTCACATTTCAGCTTCCGCTTGTGACATGGGATACAGACAAAGACTCTACGGTTGCGCTTTTGAGATCGTGGATGCCCCTCGGGAGATGTGTTGTTGGGGTCTAATATGGAGAAGGTGGAGAAGTACCCGGCGGGAGGTTCGGGAGACATAGTCATAGCTGGCCGAGTGTATCAGTTTGATGCCTACCCCAGATGTTGTCAAGTCAAGTCGTGTAAGTCGGGGATGCTGAAGGGAGTTGGACTGGTCGGGGTCAGACTTGCTTGAGGTTGAGTGCGAGCTAGACGAAGATGTTTAAATAACGAAGTCGAGTGCAGTCTACAAGCTTGTAAGTCGAGACGAGGACTATACAGTTGTGACCCCTCCCTCTCTGGACAAAAATAGTGGACATAATCAACAGAGGTGGCGTGGATTCAAGCAGGGGACGTGTAGCCTGCAGGCGAGCATCGTGGGTACCCCAGTACATGTAGATTGTATTCCACTCTAGGGCACCACCGAGCTCACCAAAGAAGCTGCGGTAGGATCGCCTCGACCATGGTAGGATCCATGAGAGGGGAGACCCAGACCTCTCGACGTCCCAAGGGGGGCCGCCCTACGAGGCAGGGCAAGCGGGAGGTGCGGGGGGGCCAGCAAGGGTAAGAAGGGTAGCTACCGGCCGCCATGCATCACAAACCTTGATGATGACCCAGGTCCAGCCTATCGGGATCGATCGATAATGGATGGGGACGAGACGATCAGCCCAGAGAAGAAGAAGTCCCATTCATCTTCCAGGAAAGACGGAATACTGCCATGGCGGCCGTTGGAGCCATCAGCCGGCCCATCCGCCAGGCATGTTGTGTATGACGACGATGATATCTGTAACCGCACCCAGTCTTTCTCCCGTCGAGGCTGGCTGTTGTCGAAGCGAAACTCGGCCCAGGTACCGAGGGGCTGAAGCATGACAATCATCTTACATACATGCATTGGGCTGCATCACGTGTAGAGTGCATGGAACTGGCGCTATCTCCGTGGCCGAGTGAATCTCTCTCCGCTTGGCCTTCCGCATCACATCACCACGGAGCAAAGAAATTCGGTGTCCAAGCTGAAAGATGGAGATCTCCAAGAAGGGCTCTCCCTGCCTCGTGAACACTACTCCAGTTCGATCGTCACCTTCCTGTTACCTTCTCGTTCGAGGGAAGGGTCTCACGGTGGTGAGCGTCACAAGAAGGATCAGTCAGGGCTGATGAATGGACCCCGGCCACCGACGGAGACGCGTCTTGGTTCCGTCGTTTAGTTCTGGCTGCGGCAGGGTGGAAAGAGCATATCCTCGCCCTCAGATGAGTAATTAAAAATCGGATTGGGCGCTTCGAGGCCCCAAAGAAACGTCATGAGGGCTGCCTCCTCCCGGGATCGATGGGAGAGATGGTGCTGAGGGGGGCAAAAACCAGCAGTTTTGCGGTAACATCCATCCCGCGACACAAGTCCCGCGCATGGGGAGTCAGGGATCACGGCATGCTTTGTCTCCGCCCTCGCCCCTAAATTCGCCAACAAGTCCGAGCCTAGAGATGCGAGGCGTGAGCTCTGCAGCCATAACTTGCTATTCCCGCACTACCTTGCCCGCCTGCTCTCGAGAAAAGGGCGGCCTCTGATACGCTGGCATACGCACCGCGCACCTTGAAGCTCCCGGGCGAAGAGCGGTGACAAACGGGCACAAGGCCGGTGCAGCGTTACTGGCGGTTAGCCCGCAGCACCACCGGCTCCGGACACCACGTCTGTTCCCGACACCCGCCCCCCTCCAGGCCTAACCCAATGGTACACGGCTTTGGGGGCCATATGCGAGTTTGCACATCAGCGAGCGCAGGTCCCTCCTCGAGGCGCGCAACCCCGTCTGTTGGCTCATTAAGGTTTTAGGCTTCTGGATTTTTCACTCCCTTCGCCGCACGCCAGAAACAAGTGTCAGATCCCCAGAGGCGCCGAGCAGGGGGGCGGGGATCAGTGGCAGTGACAAAGGAACTGGCTCCCGCAATTCCAGCACTCCCTGTTCCCTGCATCTTCATCCCGGGCGCACTGCGGAGCAGACCATCGCGAGTCCGAGCTGACACAGCCAATGAGAAGCTGCACCCATCTCCAATTCTGGCTCAGGTTTCCATATTGGGGCATTCAGATGCCCTCCGATATAGGTAACTACCTAGGTAGCTACACCTCACCTTAATTGAGTTACCTAGCACTGCCTCCCACCCACGGGAAGATGACCAGCCGAGCCCGACCCTCCCCCTTGTGATACCGCGCTTCTTTTCTTGAATTCTCGCAAGCTTTTCCGGCCTGCCGCACTCATGGTTCTCTTCTTATCCGCGTCTACACCTGCCGGAAGGCCTTTTAGCGCTCGTCCCGCGCTTCCGCCTCCGCCCTCTCGACGACATGCATGGGGGTCGATTCTCACGCATGAACTGGCAATTTTCTGAGTCAGCTTGTCACCTCCTTTCAGCGAGCCGTGACATCTACAAGAACCGTGCATATCGTTATTGAAACCCTTCGACACTCGTCGACCTAACCATGCCTTGTCTGATGTACTTTTCGCAGTCTGCCAGGCCAGGCTCATCTGATCATCCGTGCCATAGACGGTAGAAGAGCCGGGTCGAAACACCACCGGCGTATATGCTGATTCCGGATACCAAATGGCAAGGCAGAAAGAGATATTCTTGCCATGACACCCGTCGTTTTCTCGAGCAGAGAGGTGTGGTCGTTCAAAATAGTACCCTCCACCCGAGACTACCGCATCACGACACTACCCGGAAAGAAATGGTCCCATGTCATGAGCACAAATGAGATGATGCTTCTGACCACGCAATCGTCGCGAGTTGTAGTTTCCTTTTGATCTCCGACATGGACGGAGAAGTCATTCGGGAGCCAAGTTCATCTCATGTGGAACGCCAATGCTGACGAGATCCATCTCATCACCCTGACTGGACCAACAACTGCACCCATTGGCTCGCAACCCTTCCCCTCGAAAGTGTTAGCTTGTTGCTATGACGCTCGACATAATCTGACACTTTGTTGACAAGTCAAGTTGTCGGCCGCTGGCTGCTGCTGCGGAGGGGATTGGCCGTAATGCGGCCAGACAGGGCTTCCAGGAGACGTTGAAAGTGGCCAGTTAGGCTGGGTATGGATCTGAAGCTTACCAATCCAAGATAGAATCAATTCTTGATGGAGATACATTCAGAAACATGTAGCGACTGAACGAAATCACCAGAACTGCGGGCAGAGATAGATTAGATGCAAACGGATTGCCCTCCCCGTGTTCTCTCCATGTCCTATCGCTGTACTTTCTAACAAATCGGGATTTCGAGCTGGGAAATGTGAATATATAGGCACGTGGGGCTCTCGAGCGAAACTCGGCTTACCTGATAGAGCAGTTCAAAGGGCGAAATATCACGATGCTCTATGGGAGACGATCTCGTCGAGGATGTTCTTCTGCTCGCTAACTCGGCCCCATCAGCTCTGACAGATAGACGAAGTGGACACATCGTCAGAAGCTTGAGTTTCGACGCTCTATCTGGTTTGATACCATCCTTTTCCGGCCATCCCACTATACATCAGACTATATCGCCGCATCTATTGCCAGGACTCCATTCTCCGCCTCGCCCAAAGCCTTGGGATTGGGCCAGCGCCCAGTCAATTAGACCCTTTCACGGTGTAGATCGGGCTTAGACTCACAGTGGAAGGTTATTGATCTCCATAGATATCCATGGTAAGATTCCGATCAAATGACTATACACACCTACTCACCGAGTCCGAGGATCCACCCCGGACTTCCTGCTTCCTGTAGTACTTCCAACGTCTTTGGGGCTCAGCCACAGCAGAATTCCAACAGACATACTATAGCGTATTCTCTACCTTCTGATCTGTCAGAACGCTTTTCATCCCTGATATTACCCATCGAACAACTCCACGGTGCCGTCTACTACCTATCACTCAATGCAGAGAGCTTGCTGGGAAGCTGAATGCGGCGAGGCACGGGAATAAGTACGCCCGTCACATACAACAACTACTTCACCAAAAGCTCCGGGCAGCCTGTGTACCTAGAGGCCCGTATGGCTTTCTACGAGCGCTTGCACGGTGAATTCCGGATAAGCCTCACTTTCCGGGGGCCGAACGGCCGCGTTCCCCACTGGTGCCCGCCGTCAAGAAGCTGCCGGGCCGGGGCCGAGTAGAGGACCCACTTTCCTGATTGAGCGGCGGAGCCCGTTCCTCCGCCCTCCTCGACTCGGCGGCCCGGTTACAACGCAAGAGAGGCCGCAAAAGCACTGCTGTTCAGTCATTTTCTCCAAGGAAATATCTAAGAAGCCCTGTATCCCACCGAGGATCCAGCCAGAGCCCTTGGCTTCTTTGCTTTTCACTATTGCAAATGAGGCAGGCGAGCCCGCATGGCTCGACAATAGACAGGGCGGGGGCGTCGCCGTTGCCGGAAGAACTCTGCGAACCTCCCGTCTAGCGAGTGATATAAAGCGAATAGAAAGTCGGGCTAGCCTTCAAAATATTATCGTTTGTCTTTGCATATATCTGCTGGGTTCCATTGTTCTTATATTCAGTTGGCGCACATCGAGTTTGAGGTCGGCCAAAACTACTTCCTTTCCTAGATTGGATGCGCAAAGACACCGTTGGGCCTCCGTACACGGAACGTTGTTTATCTCGGGCACCATACTATTTCAGTAGCAGCGGCCGAGGTAACGGCTGCTCCTCTTGCATTGCACAATGAAGTGCCTGCAACTTCTCCTGGCGGCGAGCGTTTTGGCATCGGCTACACCACAAAAGCGTGCGAACTGCAAGGACATACGTGATGCTCCAATCACCCGGGATGGTCCCACACTCCTGTTGAATGGTAAACCGTGGAAGGCCGTAGGACCCAATGTCTACTGGCTAGGTCTGGACGAGAACGTCACGCCGCCACCCGGGGAGCCGTACTATGCGCCCCTCAAGGCAAGCTATCCCACAAAAGGCCGCATTACGGAAGCAATGGCCGTGGTCAAGGCCATGGGCGGCACAAGCATCCGCGCCCACACCCTCGGCGTCAGCACGGGCAATCCTCTCAGCGTGATGCCCGAGCTGGGCAAGGTCAACGAGAAGGCGTTCGAGACGATTGACTGGGCGGTGTACCAGGCCAGGGAATTTGGGCTGAGACTGATGGTCCCCCTGACTGATAACTATGTAAGCATCTCGCTCGACAATCATTCGAAATCTAGAGAGAGGAAGACTGTAACCTCAGACTGACAAGTATTCATACTTACTCTTCAAATAGGATTACTATCACGGGGGCAAGTACAACTTTTTGCGATGGGCAGGCTTCAACCTCACGCAGGCCAAGGATGCCAACAACCCCCAGATACAGCAGTTCTACACGGACCAGACTATCGTGGCGTCATTCAAGGACTACATAGAGAAGCTGGTCACACATGTAAATCCGTACACGAACCTGACCTACGCCGAGGACCCTACCATCTGGGCCTACGAGACCGGGAACGAGCTCCTAGGCCCCGTCTGGGGTGACATGAACTGCCCAGCGACCTGGGTTGCCGACGTTGGCAAGTTCGTCAAGACTGTGGCGCCGAACAAGCTGTTCGTGGACGGCACGTACGGGGTGAACAAGGAGCACCTGGGGATCCAGGAGGTGGATGTATTCTCGAACCACTACTATCCGGCGAGCCTGCAGAAGCTGCGATCTGATCTCGATCTAGGTACGTATCTCATCGTCTCTGTCGTGCGCCCGTGGCGGCATTGTCTAGGATTGTGTACTAAACACGGGAGGAAATTGGCACCAGTGGCTTCGGTGAACAAGCCTTACTTTGCCGGCGAGTACGACTGGAACCTACCTGCCGTCGGCGCCGACCCGCTGCCGGCCTGGTTCAAGGAGCTCGAGACGAGCAAGTACGTCGCGGGCGACGCGTTCTGGAGCCAGTTCGGGAGAAACATTCCGAACTGCAATGTAAGTCGTGCGAAATTCTCTCGGTGTAACCGGTAATATTTTCATTGTTTCTTACTGACTCGGTGTGCAGGAATTTGTCCAGCATGCCGACGGCTTCACGCTCCACTATGGCGACCCGGCAAATTCAGCCACTGTCGACAGCCGTGTCAAGCTGATCCGGAAGCACTTTATCAAGGAAAGCCAGGGCGTGGACATTGCTGCCGATGCTGAGCTTCCAGTGGTGCCGTGTCCAGTCCCGGCTCCGGGGGCTAAGGGGGAAGGACTGACATGAACACACCGTTTTGTTCCCTCATTGTCTGTGAGCTGTCCTGGTCGTTCGTGGTCAGATATTTGACATGTGCTGTATACACACTACGTACGGCAATACCTACACGCTCTTTGCAAGATCACCTACCTAGGTACGCTGGCATCCATGCTAAGGTGTCTTTGGAATGATGGAGCGCGCGGAATAAAATGGACTCTGCGGCTCGTGCCTCTCTCTGGTATGCAACATAACTGAAACCGTCACCGCCTTTGCCCCTTCTGGCGTGATGTGGTTTCAAATGCCGCGCTAGAAGGGTTAAGCTTAACTGGTATGGAAGCCCTCGGAGTGGTTCCGGAGATTGTGATACGTATTGCGTGTGTGATACTGGCTCAGAGAGTGAATGTGTTGAAAATATGTGTTCATATTCTGTACATTCGCTACGAGGTCCGGATCGGGGTAGAGGTGCTCGTGAGGATCTGGCCGACGATGGGTGGGAGCGGGAGGATGCACGCCAGCTATGAAACATCACCAGGAAGAAACCCGTTACACGACCTCTGGTTCGACAGAAGTCGACAATGAAGCGATGGAAATTCTAGATGGTGCCATGGACAGAACGGTAGCTGTATCAGAGTTCTTTTGATGGGCAGACAGAACCGGGCTTTGGGCCTTGCTTCCCGGATACACCGTGCACCGAGGGACCAGTTTCGTTTCGGCGATCAAACAACCCGGCTGGCTGGCGCCGAGTCCCGAACCTGACCCTTGATGCCACGGCCTGACAGAATTTCTCTGGCGAGTTCGATGTGATGATGCCTTGCCTGTTTCTAGCTATCCTCGCGAACTTGTACTCCGTAGGTAGGTACCTCTGAGTGCAAATCGTATTCAATGCGATAGACCCTGGCGCGCTTGTTCACATGGCGATCCGGGCCACTGACTGCGGCTCAGCGAAGCCCTGGATGGAAGGCGCCGTTTGCTGGCCCGTGCCAATAACCTGGGTGGATTAAGAAAAAGATCCGCGTGCATCAATGCCGCGCGTTCTTCACGATCTACTTGGACAGCCGATACAAGGTGGTCGATCTCAGCACTGTGCAGATGTCCCGAGAGTTCTGGAAAGGATTTAATTTTACCTCTCATCTCTACGAGTAGAAATAAAAGAAATCGAATTACCAAAAATGGACATGTAGAAATGATCAAGATTCCACAGGTTTCCCGACTGGGCGAGAGACAGTTAGTGTGCTTTGGTAAGTCTGGGAGCCTTTCCATGAAAAGAATAGTGGTGATTCGCAACGTGCTCGACGTGCATAACCCCATAGCAGTGGGAAATAGTCATTAATTTCCAGAAGCCACGAAGCATGGACAGCATGAGCGCAACTCATTTGCTGGCGAGAGCAAAGCCCATCCATCCCTCTGCTATGCCCGACATAGTCTCCTCCGTAGCGTCGAGGCGCGCTTTGCTCGCTTCCTCAGCGAGAGAATGAAGGAATGGGCCCTTGCTTTCTGTTCCTGGTTCCTGGCGCTAAGCTATTTTGGAGGTTCGCTACAAGTGGGTGGCTCCCTACTACCCCTGAAGCCACGCCCAGGCCTTTGAGCTCCACAACGGCCAATCACCAGCAGTCGCCCTCTACCGCTCTACCGCCATTGTTTCGAACTGGAGTTCACGGGGTCACTTTTGGCGGAAACATTGGGAAGCCAGGGGCCAATCGACATGAGAGACATGCCTCCATATGTGCGTCACAACTCCTTACATACGGAGTAGCACATTGTCGACATCTCGGGAACCCTCTACGGAGGTAGTGCAGCGGCGGCAGTCGAGAGGCAAATCCACCCCCCTACCCCATTCCCCAAGATGATGCGGAACAGGGCGTGCTGTCGATTGATCTCGAAATGGAGTCAACAGACAGGCGCAAAATTAGTCTCCATGCCGGCCAGCCAGTCCTATTTCCGCAGTGATTTTCCAGTGCTGCCCGTAATGTTGCAGTGCGTATCGCCAAAAGACCACAGTTAAATTACCTGTGGTCCATAAAATCGCCGCTGTCTGCATTCTGCAAGGAACGCGCCAGGAGGCTAAACTGCAAACTGAATGACGGGCCAGGCTCCCCTGCCAGGAACTGGCCGATGGAGGGATGTGATTCGGCTTGGGTGGTGGATCAAGGAGGCCCCTACTGGGCCCTGACGAACCCGCAGACCCCCACTGGAGGGCAGCGCCAGGCCCAAACCGTCCAACCACCCTCTGTCATCCTCTGCCCAAGCTTCTGCCCTCTCGCGCGCGTCGCTCAATCAGAGCCTCGTTCCTGACGCCCATCCCTGTGCTCACCCCAGCCGGGCCCGTTGGCACCTCCCTTGTCCGGAGGCGTGCATCCCTGAAAGCCAGTGTGGCCAGTCATCCCGTTTGGGCCACAGACAGGGCTCTTGGGAGCTCGCCTGTCTGCGATGGCACCTCGCCTCCCCTGTCTGCTCTCCTCCTCCACGCTCAATCCCTTTCTTTGCCGCCATGGCTCTGCAACCCCAGAGATTGCCTTCCCTCTTTACGAGCCAGTAGTCGGCCTGATTATTGGCTTCTAACGTTGCCGCCAAGCCATGGAGGTCTGATTGACCCTGTTGAATGTCTGTGTCTTTCTTCTCGAGAGACACCTTCTCCCACACTCGCTCGTCCAGAAGGGGAAGAAGATCCTCCAACGGAATTCGTTCATTAATATCATGGCTGCCCTCGAGCCTCGTCCCGCGAGGGGTCACCACCCCTCCGACTCTTTGATATCTGATACCTCCAATGCTTCATCTGAGCTCGTCCCTGGCTCGATACCCCATTCGTCCAGGCCACCACCACTCTCCTTGACCAGGAAACAAGACGACCACCCCGTCGGCTCCAGCCGTCCACTGCCCAGCCCACGGAGCGGTAGATCTCAGAGTCTTGCGGCACAGGCCAGCCCGACCTTCGCGCCTGCTCCCATCAAGCGGAAGCCTCTGTCTGCCACCGCCTCGCCATTGGCTGTCAGCTACACCACGGGCAGCCATCTCGACATCCTACGCGACCTTCCCGGCCCTGAGCAGCGCTTCTCTCGCTCCTTTTCAGTGGACAGCCCGACCCTCTACGAGTTCCCGGAGCGGACTGCCTCTTCGACCTCCGCGGCCAAGGAGCAACGACTGGTCGAGGCCACCTTGTATGTGTACCTCCCTTTGTCTGGGACAACCCTCATCTCGCCTGGGTAAAAAGCCTACGGCACACCCTCCAAATACATTGCCTTCAAGAAAACATGTTTTAATCTTTTGTCTAGCCTACGACCTTGCTCGCCCGACTCTGAGTACTCAGAATCAGAGGTGGACGCCTACGCGGGTGACAGAGAGTCACGAAACATTCCTGACGAGGACCCTGCAGCTCCTCAAACGGGCACGTCCGACACATCGTCCGAGCATGAGGACCTAATCGCAGCCTACGACGTCACTCCTACGCCCACTGAGGATCTGCCTACCGATCCTATCACCGCGGCAGACCTGGTGTTGCCCGCTCGCAATAATCGTAATACTAATTCTACCATGTCTCTCGTTTCCCGCAAGAACTCACCACCACACCTGAGTCTTGCACCAGTCGAATCGAGCACCGAAGAAACGGCAAATACTCGCTCTCCAGATAAAGGAGACATACACAAACCCCTCCCAAAGTCACCGGCCTCCTCGAAGCTTGGGACTTTCTTCGGCTGGGGAACATCGTCGCCATCCAACACCGAGTTTTCAGACAAAGGAATCTCCCCGCTCCCGTCACCCTTTTCCGGAAGGCAGACAACCGCTTACACAGATGACTCTACGGTATCTGGACGAGGACCCCTTTCTGCAAGAACCGATGTTACAGAGAGAAACCCACTCGACTACTGTGAAGCCTATCTACAGACACCGCCAGCAGTCACACCTACGCCGCCTGTTCAAATCGAAGAGATGGAGGACGAGTTGAAGGCCATCAGCGCCGAGCTGGCCGCATCCATTCGGCGCGAGATGGACCTAGAAGATCTCGTTGACAGGTTACAAGCCGAGGTCAACAACCCCCAAGCCCCGGGGAAAAGAAGCAGCGATTACTTCTCCGATTCGGGATATAGCTCTGCCAAATTCAGTGAATATGATGCCAGCAAGGAGGAAGTTGCCCAGATCCAGCGGAGATCTGAGCAAGAAAAGGCCCAGATCAGACTCGAGCTGACGGACAAACTGTCGGACGAGCGGGCTAGGAGGAAGTTGCTTGACCAGCAGATCAAGGAGCTCTCAGAGAAGGCGTCGCACCTCGACATGGCTCAAATGAGGAGTCAGGATGCCTCGGGAAGAATCAAGGATCTCGAAAACAGCTGCGAGGTCCTGCGCCGTAGACTGTCAGAGGAGAAGCAGGTCAAGGATAACTTCGAGGACCTGTTGTCTGCTCTGAGGGGCGAGCTGGAGAATGCGTCCAACGAGCGAGATAACCTGCGCGACGAGATCGTACCTCAGCTGCGCGCTCGCGTCGAGGGCCTCGAAGCGCAGTCTGCTGAGCACACCAAGTTGGCATATGAGTCAACCAAGATGCAGCAAGAGCTTCAGAATCTGAGGACCGAGAACACGACTCTCAAGAGCAGTCAACCAGAGCCCGACCGCCGTTCTCTGGGCCGCTCCAAGTCCAACTCGGTGACCGCACCGCCGCCTTTCAAGCTACAACAAGCTCCCCTGTCCCGGTCCAACACGGTCAAGGGCCAGACCGAGTCGAGAGAAGCGCTTGTTGAGCGTCTCAAGGACGTCGAGGCCCAGCGAGATGCCCTTCACAACGCTCTCAAGAATCTACTTGACCGGCAGGAGTTCCAAAACCGTGAGAATGACAAGAAAATCAAGGTTCTCGAGGTGGAGCGAGAACGTCTCCTGTCCGGCTCTCCCCGAAAGGCAGGTTACGAGAAAGAGGTCTCGAACCTGCGAGCCGAGATCAATGTTCTCCGCCGTAGAGCCGAGGAAGCCATCGAGCAAAAGTGGCAGGTCGAAAAGGGCCTTGGCGGGCTCAAGATGGACCTCGATCGTGCTGAGCAAGAGATCGCTGGTCTGCGGGCCCTGCTCAAGGAGAAGGATATTCTGATCCCGGCCGCACTGCCCCGCTCATCGGCCTCATCCCACGGCAGCGCCGATGGCTCCTCCGGCCCGGTCACGTCCAACTCGCTTACGCAGGCCTACGAGGATCTGCAAAAGGCGTATGCCGATGCGCTGGAGCGCATCAAGTCCCTTGAGCTCGGCTCAGGCGCCAGCGCTTCTCAGGATGAGAAGACTCAGCTTGCCATGGAACGTCTTGAGCAATCCCTGGCCGCGTCCGTCTCTGAGCGCGATCTTGCCCGCAGCGAGGCAAATGCCTACAGGGATCAGGTCGAGAGCTTGCAGACCTCGGAGAAGAGGCATCTCGAGACGGAGCAAGACCTCGCCTCGCAGCTCGAGGAGTCTGCCCGCCGTGTCGAGGAGCTGGCTCAGCAGGTCCGCAACCAGCTCGCCGCAAATGCCGATCTCCGCATGCGTCTCAACGAGACCGTTGCCCGCGGCGATGCCGCGCAGAAGACTAGCAAGGAGCGCATCGCGGCGATGCAGGTCCGCCTCAAGACGCTAGAGGACCAGCTCGTCGCCACGCAGACCGCTGCCGAGGAGCGCGTTGCTCGCCACGAGGACGAGCTGTCCACCCTCAAGGACGCCCACAGCGCGCAGCTGCAGAGGCTCCGCGACAGCTCCGGCGGCCTCCGCTCACCGCGCCAGTTCGCGCCCAAGTCGCCCCTGTCGCCGCTGTTCGCCAACGGGGCCAAGTCTCCTCGCCTGCTGAGCCCCAGGCCTAGCCCTCGCAGGTCCAACACCAGCCCCGTCGGCGAAGTCGCCGTGGAGGAGCTCGGCCAGGTCGAGAACCTGCGGGCCCGCGTCGCCGAGCTGGAGATGGCGCTCACTGGTGCCGACGCCGAGATGCAGGAGGTCGTCGGCCGCATGAACTCGGCCCAGATCGAGGTGATGCAACTGCAGGAGGAGCGCGAGGAGGCCGTGCGCGAGACGAAGAGGCTGCAGAGGCAGCTCGAGGAGGAGAAGGTCAGGGCCTTCGAGCAGCGTTTCAAGAGCTTGACCGGCAGCGTCGCCGTGTAACAAAGCGATACCAAAACAACACCACAAAACTCACCTACAAGACACTGAAGATTGTATGACCTGACGACGACCAAGTCTGTACTCGTCCCCTTCCCTTTTTCTTTTTCTTTTTCAACGGCATTTACACACGGGGTTTCCTACGGGAGAACAAACAAGACGAACGGCAGAACAAAAACGCCCTCGAACAAGATCGACTCGTCAACAAGCATTGGGACAGGCGCAATTGCACATTGGCTGGTAATTTCTACTACCGCGCAGCAAACCGGGTTGCAGAGCTTTTCAGATCTGTCAGCGCCGTTGCCATTTTTGCTTAATGTTTTCTTATTTATTATTTAACTTCTACATTTGTATAGTACGAAGCTGCAACAAGCTACTGCTCGGATTATTCTTGTATTATACACCTTTGGAGAGAGCCTCTCTCCGTAGATAGATAGCTTTTGAGATGAGGCTGGATTTCCAGATCATCTCGCCCAAATGTCAGGAGCAGGGTTGTCATCCGGACGGATGGTGATCCCTCAACATCACACACAACACTTTGAAAGCAAGCTACCCGTGCAAATCGAATCGTCATCACTGCTTGCTTGCTGCTTGACGGTTCACCAAGACCAACCAAGATTCATCGACGGGAAGGCCAGGAGAATGTGTTCTTCTCTTGTCTTTCTCGAAGCTGACCTGGAACCCCCACACCCTTTCCCCGTCATCCCGCATATTTTTGCTGAGGCCTGCTTTTCCGAGGTCAGGGGCCGCATATCGCCGTGGTGAGCTGGGACCAATCAGAAGGCCAGACTTCCTTATCTCTAACCACCCTTGTTCATGCGTGGGAGATCCTCGCACCCGCGTCGTCGCATTTAGCTACTTCCTATCTTTCCTTTTTTGTGCTTACGAGAGGCGCCTTTTCTTGTCTCTGTTTCGTTCTGTTATCACGCGGGCTCTGCCGCGAACCGGTACCTTTAGCTGCCGCACCTTACCTGGTTCTGTCTTCTTTTTCCTTGGAGACTCTTCTCTTCCCAAGGCGTTGCCGACGGCCACAGACCCAGCCCCAGGGATCAGGGGTTTCGGGGAAGCAAGCTTTGTTCTGCATCATGCTCATATAGCTCTAGTCATAATGTGACCCCCCCCTCCCAACACCTCGTTATCTCTTTGCTGTAGAGTTCCTCCCAGTAACTAAGCTTTATCGCGCAGGGCAGGCAGACTAGCTCCAACTCTCTCTCTCTGTGTTGGTGGCTTGATGATGGTGCTCTCGTTCGATTCTTGGCTTGTGACAGCCGTGCGGTCAACCTGGGGGATGGCCGTCCGTTCCGTTCCGTCATGGACCTGGAACTGATAAGCCTCCCCTGGTCAGTCCACACACACACACTCGCGCGCTCACATGATGAGTGGCCCCCCAGAAACGATAGCAATGTTGTAGGTAGGTATTCTTTGCTTTTTCTCCCCTCTTGTCTCGTGTGTGTACACGGATGGGATAGGATAGGGGTGCTTGGTCTCTTGTAACAAAGAGATTACTGGGGCACAAGTAACGTTAGCCCCCATCTGAGCTTGCTTGCCTCGGTGACGAGGGCAGGTCTTGTTCCTTTTTTCTTGTCCTCGAAACCTCACTCGCTCAGCCCCAAAGGGGAGGGGGGGCCACCGTTATCTACAGCCACTCGAAGCCGCCTGTCGGTCTGTGCTGCTGGAGAGAGAGAGACAGAGAGGCGGCGTCTGACATATAACGCTCTCCAATGCCTTGCATAAGCCATGCCTGAAATGTTTTTTCTTCCTATTGTTCTGCTCGAGATATCATCATCACCGTCACTGCCTTGCATAAGATGACCCATCGAGCTGTCGTTCTTGAGTATCTCGAGAACCGCCGTCCAATGTGAGAAGAAGAAGAGAAGGCCCTCTTTCTACGCCTGGCTGTAAACACTTGACCTTTTGATCCACCACCCAAGCCGGTCTCAACCGCCTCTTCGGCATAGCGGGACACAATGGTGGTCATTGACGGGATCGACCTCGACCAGTACTATGTGTTGAAGGTACCTTACAATGGCACGATCGCCACGGGAGGTGACTCTTTGAAGGATGACTTGAACATCTGGTACGAGGTGAGTAGCCGGCTGCTTTGACGTACGGAGCCAACCGGGTTAACCTGAAACTTTGATGCCCTCCAGACTGGCGACATCGCGTGGATGATCGTCGCCACGGCCCTCGTCCTGCTGATGATACCGGGAGTTGGGTAAGAACAGAAATGCCCCCCCCACCACCCCATCACCTACCGACTAGCCCTCTCTCATGTGTGTGTATGTACTGACACCGGAAACCCTGCACACAGCTTCTTCTACTCGGGCCTGGCCCGCCGCAAGTCGGCCCTCTCGCTCATCTGGCTCTCGGTCATGGCCACCGCCGTCACGACCTTCCAGTGGTTCTTCTGGGGCTACTCGCTGACTTTCTCCCACACGGCGGGCAAGTTCATCGGCGATCTCGCCAACTTCGGGTTCAGGGGGGTCCTGGCGCAGCCGTCGGTGGGGTCGGCGCGCATCCCGGACCTGCTCTTCGCCGTCTACCAGGGCATGTTCTCGGCCATCACCGTGGCGCTGGCGACGGGCGCCGTCGCCGAGCGCGGCCGCATGCTGCCCTGCGTGCTCTTCATGTTCATCTGGGCGACGGCCGTCTACGACCCCATCGCCTGCTGGACGTGGAACCCGAGCGGGTGGAGCAACCGGATGGGCGGGCTCGACTTCGCGGGCGGCACGCCCGTGCACATCGCGTCCGGGTCGGCGGCGCTGGCCTACTCGATGATGCTGGGCAAGCGCCGCGGGCACGGCACGCACGAGCTCAACTACCGCCCGCACAACGTCGCGCACATCGTCGTCGGCACCGTCTTCCTCTGGGTCGGCTGGTTCGGGTTCAACGCGGGCTCGGCCATGGCGGCCAACATGCGCGCCATCATGGCCGCGCAGGTGACCAACCTCGCGGCGTGCATGGGCGGCATCACCTGGTGCGTGCTCGACTACCGGCTGGAGAAGAAGTGGTCGACCGTCGGGTTCTGCTCGGGCGTCGTGGCCGGCCTTGTCGCCATCACCCCTGGATCAGGTAAGGAGAAAAGAAATCTCTATTGACCCCCGCTCCTCGTTGCTTGTATGCTTATTCGGAAGTTGCTGACGGTCGCTTTTCCACACGCAACAGGATTCGTGCCCGCCTGGGCGGCCGTGCCGTACGGCGTGCTCGGCGCCGCCTGCGCCAACTACGCGACCAAGCTCAAGTTCGTGCTGCGCGTCGACGACGCCCTCGACATCTTCGCCGTGCACGGCGTGGGCGGCCTCGTCGGCAACATCTGCACGGCCTTCTTCGCCGCCGACTACATCGCGCACCTCGACGGCGTGACCGTCATCGAGGGCGGCTGGCTCAACGGCCACTGGGTGCAGCTGGGCTACCAGCTCGCCGACTCCTTCTCGGGCGGCTGCTACTCGTTCGCCTGCACGACGCTGATCCTCTTCCTCATGAACATGGTGCCCGGCCTGCGGCTGCGGGCCCGCGAGGACGCCGAGGTCGCGGGCATGGACGACGCCGAGATCGGCGAGTTCGCGTACGACTACGTCGAGGTGACCCGGGAGGTGCTCAACGGGGAGGAGGAGGAGCAGCGGGCGTCGCCGATGGACAACCACTCGTTCGTCTCGAGGGACACGGCGCGGTACGGCGGCATGGCGGAGAAGGACAGCATCCCGCTGAGGGACGTGAGGATGTATGCCGGGCAGCCGTCGTCACACTAGTGCTAAAGGGGAAAAAAAAGGGCGGGGTTTGCTCGGGAGTAACACATAATGGTCGATTTGCTATTTGTACCAGTATTTGTTGTATATCGCATACATATATCTGTCAAGAGGACGCTCTGAGAGGATATTTGCTTCGGCTTGCTGGCTGGCATTCAGTGGCCAGTCATGTCAGGTTTGAGGAGAGCAAGACGAGGTCTTGGGAGGGAGGAAATAAAAGCCATCCAGTGCCATCACCTACACTTAATCAAGTACAGTATATAGTCTCCTTTATCTTCATCTGAACTGAGGCATTGTTCATGGCTTTGAATAGGTATGAATGGAGCCGAGAGTGAAGAGAAACCCACGGATGCGTTTGGTGCTGCCAAGAACTAAATTTAGGCACCGGAAGCTGCTCGACCAACTACGAATTAGGTAACTAGAGCTACCCCGCAAGGCACTGACGCCTGCAACTGTACCCACCGACTCTTTTGACGTGATTCACTAATGCACGCCATTCACTAACTATGAGATCGCGCTCAGATCTCTTTCATCCCAACTTCATGTCTCAACACTCTCATATTCACTCGACCTATCGCGTTGCTCCACCGCCGCTGCCTGCAGCAGCAGGTACAAAATGAGCTTCTTTTTGCAGAAAAATCTCGCTCGCCTTGTCAACCTCTCACACCCAACTTGCTCAACCTGGAGGTGACAACACCAGACAAGATGTCCTCCCCTCCCTTGCACGACAAGATCGCTTTCTTCCAGCAGTTGGACGCACTTCAAAATGTCGACGATGATGAAGAAGAGGAGCTTGAGCATTCGACAAAGGAGATGGAATATCGCAGCCAAAGCCGTGCTTTCTTCGCTGGGGTCAGATCCAAATCACGAACGTCACCAAGTCAACAGCAACCTCTAGCTGAGCGAGTCCCTGAGTCAGCTCCCCTGCCACAACAACGAAATGCTATCATCAAGAGCACCCCGGTAGCCCGGGAGAAAACACCATCCATGCCAGTTCCAGGGTCCACATTTGACTCTCCGCTGGTGATCGAGGACACACCTGTCGCAGACTCGGATAAGGTCTCCAATCATCCCCGCCGCAGCACAACACACCCCTTGCCAGCCACACTCAGCAAGCTTGTGCGGACAACGTCGATGGACTCATCTTCCTCAGTACCAACTGAGCGCAAGCGCAAGCGAAAGTCGATCGACAAGTCCATTCCAGAATCTGAACAGATTCTCAAAGGATTGTCCTTCTATTACATCCCAAATGATGATGTTGCGCCGACCAGGAAGCTGCGTATCGCCAAGGCGAAAGACTACGGTGCGCAGTGGGTGAGGGAGCTACCCCAGGCGACGCATGTCATTGTCGACAAGGGTTTGGCATGGAAGGATATCAAGTCACTGCTGTCGACCATCAAGGACAAGGAAGAGCAGCCCAAGGTGGTATGCGAAGAGTACCCGCTGGACTGCATCCAGTACCGTCACATCGTCAACGAGAAGCAACCGAAGTACCGTGTTCACGGTGCCCCAGCGCCACCTGCAGAGCTTCAGATCGCGCCAAAGAAGCCTTCCGTCGACGCTCCTCCCAGTTCTGACGAGTCGCTGCAGATCAAAGCTCGCCCGCAGAATGACCCTGCCAAGTGGGATTACGTGCCCCCGGCCGGAACACCTTCACATTCAGACAGCTCCTCAGGACAGGCTCGTACTCGGGTTACCAGGTCCGTGACAAGCGGTTCTCAGCAAAGCACGACCCCTAGACAACCCCTCGCCGAGATCGTGATCCCATCGTCTCAACTAGGAACCGACCATAATTCGCCTCCCATGCCATCAGATTCGAGAGACATAATCCGGTCCAGTCACATCCAAACTTCAGGCCCTCATGACGAACTCTCAGAATACATCCAGCTGATGCAACAGTATAAGGACGTTCCACTGGATGAGGATGAGGGGGAGGCATCGTCACCCAAGGGAAGCGATGCTGGAGACTCGGACTTGGAGGCAGGATCTGAGGACGAGAACCGGCGGAAGAGACGTTCGCTCGACAAGTCAGCACCTCGGCAACAGAAGTCCATTCGCTGGGAGGAAAAATTCGCTTGCAATCGTGGAGGCACGCTGGACAAGAGCGCAGACAAGCAGAACCCCAACTCTAGGACGATAGAGGTGCTGCAGAAGATGCTGGACTACTACACTCGCATCAACGACCATTGGCGCACCTATGCGTACCGGAAGGGCATCTCTGCCCTCCGCCAGCAGACCGAGAAGATCACGACGGCCCAGGAAGCATACCAGATCCCAGGCATTGGCGACCGCTTGGCCCAGAAAATCGAGGAAATCGTCACGACAAACCGCCTGAAGCGGCTCGAATACGCCGAAAAAGAGCCGATGGACCAGGTCCTCGAGGTGTTTATCAAGATCTACGGAGTTGGAAACACCCAGGCCACTAAATGGATTGCACAGGGCTTCACCACCCTCGACGACCTCCTACAGAATGCCAAGCTGACCGCCAATCAACGCATGGGCATCGAGCACTACGATGACCTCAACACACGCATCCCCCGTAGGGAGGTGGAGGCGATTGGTGAGCACGTCATCTCGACGGCGTCGAAGATCGATCCAGCGGTGGAGCTGCTCATCGGTGGGAGCTATCGTCGAGGTGCAGAGTCCTCGGGAGATGTGGACTTCATCATCACGAAGAAGGGCACCACGTCGGCAGGCGACTTGGCACCATTTCTCGAACAGCTCGTGTCTACCCTGAAGCAGGAGGGATTTCTGACTGCCGAGGTCGCCTCTTTCCACTCACATCGCCCTGGAAAAGAAGGATCTGGGAGCAAATGGCATGGATGCTGCGTGCTGCCTCCTGGCAAGAAGGGCAAGATGGGTGGCATCTGGCGCCGCATCGACCTGCTGCTGGTTCCCGAGACCGAGTACGGGGCCGCACTCATCTACTTTACCGGCAACGACATCTTCAACAGGAGTATGCGGCTGCTCGCGTCGAGGAAGAAGATGCGCCTGAACCAGAGAGGCCTGTACAAGGAGGTCATGCGCGGCCCGGGAAGGGTCAAGGTGACGGAGGGAGAGCTGTTGGAGGGACGGGACGAGAAGAGGATCTTTGAGTTGCTTGGAGTCAAGTGGAGGGAGCCTTGGGAGCGCTGGTGTTGAGGAGAAAGGAGGCGGGCTTTGTTTTGATTAGACAGTGATACCCCATGCATAGCGGAGGCGCTTGGAGTTGGTCTATGGATTGGGCCAACATTGCTTTTCTCTTGTAGTACAAATTGCATTCTCACCTTCACAGCTATGGTGTTGTGGCAGTTAAGGTTGTGTGACCCATTCCTAAGTGATATGTCGGCTAGGGGTTTCATGCTTGGTGATTCTTTGCTGCGTCAGCCACTGTGCAGGACGTAAATACATATGTCCTTTCGAATACCTAAGGTAGGTAGCTCCCACATCTTACATCTGTCTCATCTGTACCTATAGGTAGGTAGTAGAGTGACTCTGTTTCAATATCTGAACTCTAACTGTACGGTACCTAAGTCCAAGGCGGTGTGTGCTGGCAGGGGACGCTAATGGTGGGGCCGCGGCTGGGTCCGCTACTGGGTTGGGTCTCGAATAATTCGAATTGGCGCCTCCAGGGTCGCTTTTCTGCCGTTGCTGCCATCGCAGACCGCCTAAACTTGCGCTGGTGCCCCGCCCCTCCATCTGTTTTTTCTCTTCTTAGCGTCCCAAAAGGCAAAAAAGGACGGGCGTCTCGATCTTGTCGCAAAGCAAATCTGACTCGGGCAGCAGATTGTACCTGAGATATCGTTGGCAGATCTCCTGCATAGATTTTTTTTCTCAACCTCAAGCCCTCATCTCTTCTTATCTGTCAATATTCTCACCGAACTGCGCCAAGTGTTATATCCAACATGGCTGGCGAAAAGATGGACATAGAGACGGCTGAGCAGCAGCTCAAGTCGATGGAGCACTCGGAGCAGCACTACTTCAACAGGTTGGTATTCTTCACCCTTCTGAAACGCAGAGGCTTCTGTTCTGCTTCCTCTCTATGCGACAGACCTTCTCCATTGCACGACTGACAGCTGACGTTACTGTTTGTAGTTACAATCACCATGGTATGTCTTTGCGACTCGAGTGCCCCGCGCCTTGAACCCTGCTAACCCTGTCTTTTTTTTTCCTAATTAGGCATTCACGAGGAAATGCTGGTAAGTAACGCTTGTCACCATCTTTCCTCAACAGTCCATTTATCATATACTGACTTTTCTTTGCTACAGAAAGACGAGGTTCGCACGAGGTCGTACATGAATGCCATTGTTCAGAACAAGCACCTTTTCAAGGACAAGGTCGTCCTCGATGTCGGCTGCGGAACCGCCATCCTGTCAATGTATGCCACCGAGCCGAGAAACGACACCCCGATATAGACAATGCCGATTTACTGATCGCCGTGTCTTCTTTACAGGTTCGCCGTTAAGGCCGGCGCGAAGCACGTCATTGGCGTCGACATGTCCACAATCATCTTCAAGGCCCGCGAGATCGTCAAGGTCAACGGCATGGCGGACAAGATCACCCTGATCCAGGGCAAGATGGAGGAGATCGACATGCCCTTCCCCAAGGTCGACATCATCATCTCTGAGTGGATGGGCTATTTCTTGCTCTACGAGAGCATGCTCGACACTGTCCTCTACGCCAGAGACAGGTACCTGGCCAAGGACGGCCTCATCTTCCCCGACAAGGCTATCATCTATGTCGCCGGTATTGAGGATGGCGACTACAAGGACGAGAAGATTGGCTGTGAGTATCGAGCGTGGCCTTGACATGTTCACAATATGGCTGCTAACCCTGGGTCCAGTCTGGGACAACGTCTACGGCTTCAACTACAGCCCTCTCAAGGAGACGGCCCTCTCAGAGCCCCTCGTCGACACTGTCGAGATGAAGGCGGTTGTGACGGACCCTACTAGCGTCCTCACTCTCGACCTCTACAAGTGCCAGCCCGACGACCTGGCCTTCAGTATCCCCTTCGAGCTGTCCTGCCGCCGCGACGACTTCATCCACGCCCTGGTCGCCTGGTTCGACATCGAGTTCACGGCGTGCCACAAGCCCATCCGCTTCTCCACGGGCCCCCACACCAAGTACACACACTGGAAGCAGACCGTCTTCTACCTCAAGGACGTCCTGACCGTCCAGCAGGGCGAGGAGGTCCAGTGCTCCCTGCACAACCGCCCCAACGAGAAGAACCGCCGCGACCTCGACATCAAGGTCCAGTACCGGCTCGAGACGCAGGACCCGACACGCTCCGCCGAGGGCACGTGCTTGTACAAGATGTGCTAGATGCATTTGGGATGCGGCAGAATGGCAGAGGAGAAGTGTTGGGTGTGGTGGTACTGAAGTGGCTTTGGTGTATATTCAACGACAACCCCTTTCTTTGATGATGAGCTCACATGAGCGAGAAGGAATATTCTACAGGGAAAAATGGGGGCGATTCGAAAAGAGGCGTTTTCATGGCTCGGAACAAAACATTCCAGGAGCTGGGAGTTTTCTCAAAGCGAATAGACGGCAAAAAGGGGTTGTTGCTATTTTTCATACGCATGCATACTGTGCATAGAGAGGAAGAGGGCATCATCAGAGGCAAGGGAGTTGACTATAAGCATTTTTTTACTTGACTGTTTACGAGGAACGAGAAGTACACTGGCCTCTTCCCATGTGACATCTGTACGTTGCTCGCGATGCTGAGCACCACAATCTGCACTTGAACAGGGCGTCGTACTGAGCTTGCAAATGTAAATTCATCGATTTTGGGTTGTAAGTGCTTTCTAACTGCATAAAATAAAGAGTGCCGCCGCCGCCACCGCCGCCTTGCCAGCCCCCCGTTCGTTTTTCTTCGTTACTGATTCATTTGTTCAGAAGCTACATTTCCGTGTCTCCTGACATCCATCCCCATTCCAGGGACATAAATGCTGCTTTTTGTTTTGATTCGGTTCGAAAAGATGGAACATGAGATGAGAGAGAAGAGTTTCATCAGAACAGCTTCCAGACACGGTTGGATGAAAAAAAGAGGGGAAAAAAAGGCACTTTTGTTTATGAAGAAAAGAGAAGAAAACCAGTCTGCCTCTCTTCCCTGTATGTCGTCCACTCACAGTTTTCATCCCTGTGTTAGTACGTATTGGAGCGAGAACCTCGAGGGCCGAGCCACCTGTTCTTCCGCGGGAACCGGGAGCCCGACTGGCCGCTCTCGCTCACGAGGAACCCCCCGCCGTAGCGGACAATGGCGGCGGCCTCCCTGGTGCTGCTGCTGCTGCTGCCGTTGCTGCCGCCGCCGTCCCCGTGCCGCCGGTGACGCCACTCGTCGTCTTGCCTGGGCCTGCCGAGCCGTTCCTACACACCCGAGCCATGGTTCTTGACAATCTGCGCGACCTTGTTGGCCAGCTCGTCGGCCTCGACCCGCGTGGCCGCCTCGGCGTACACGCGGCAGGCGTTCTCGGTGCCCGACGCGCGCGCAAAGGCGCGCGCCGAGCTGTACTTCTTGACGCACTGGTCGATCTCGTCCTGGGCGCCGGGCGGGTGGCTCAGGCGGCGCTCGGCGTCGGTGGTGCGGAAGAGGTCCTTGTCGGCGACCTCGACGCGGACGAGGCGGTTGGGCAGGTCCGTGTAGGTGACGGCCCAGTCGCGCATCGTCCACGACTTGTGCGCCAGGATGACCTCGACCAGCAGCATGTCCGAGATGGCGTCGCCGACCGTCTGGTTGATGAGGTCCGCGACGGCGGCGAGCGTGTCGAGGGCGTCCTTTTGCGCCGGAGACTGGGGTTCCTTGGCGCCGAAGGTGCGGATGGCCTCGGCCGAGAAGAGCACCGTGCCGTGGCCGTTGGCCTCGAAGTAGACGCCGACGTCGAAGTTGCAGGCGGCGTGGTGCAGGTGCTTGACGCCGGTCGGCGTGCAGACGACGGGCAGGCGTAGGTGCTGCGTGATATACGAGGTCGAAGCGCCGTTGGCATACGCGGTCTGAACGACGCCGATACGGAGGTCCTCCTCGAGCCCTGCGGCACGGACGAGGTCTGCGATGAAGGAAGCGGCCAGGGACGAGATGCGGTCGCCATCCAGCATAAAGAAGCCCGTCTTCTCGTCAACCCAGTAGTATATCAAGCGGTCGGCATCACCGTCGAGGGAGCAGCATCGGGCACCAATCACGGGCTTGGGGCTCGGAGGAGCACGCTGCTTGGTCTTGACGAAATCGGCTCCGCACTGTATTTAGCAAGAAGGGAAAGTGAGCATCACATGCGCCCATTATGAATAGGGGGTGGGGAAAATGGACATGAGGGACTTACATCAAGGTTCAGGACTTCGGGTCGGAGAACATCATCGTTGACCACCTTGACATCAAATTTCACCTTGTCCTTGGGGACGTATTTGAGGAATTCACGCAGCTTGGGGCCACCGACACCATTGGCGCAGTCCACAGTGAGCGGGCCGTCGATCTTGCGGCCCTTGAGGGCTCGCACGAAAGCCTCGGCCATCTTCTCGTAGTATCCAACCTCGCTAACCTTGCCATACGAAGAGGGGGTGCCCTCGGTGTTGGTGCACCGGGTCAGGTAGTGCAATTGGGGAGTGGTGAGGATCTTGTAGTCGACGGCCTCGGTGTTGGTGGCGTCGAGGGCGTCGGCCAGAGCTCCGACGAGCTTATGGCCCGAGGGGCGGGTGTCGCGGCCGTAGATGACCTTGGCGGGCGTGCTGAGATCGATCTTGAGCTGCGTGGCAAGCTTGTTGTAGGTCTCGAGCAGGGCATCGTCGGTGGGAGCGTTGACGAGAAGGGTGGCATAGGCTTCCCAGTCCTGCTCGAGCATCTCGCCCATGGGATCCACGACCTTGACGCCATTGTCGATGGCGGGGTTGTGGCTGGCCGTGATCATGACGCCAATCGCCTGGCTGTTGAGCTTACGGCTGCGGAGGGCAGCGATGAGGCCGACCCGGAAGGTGACGCCCTCGAGGAGGTCGGCCTTCATGCGGAAGCCAGCGGTGCCATACTTGTAGGCCTGCCCCGCGGGCAGTGGCACGATGGGGTGCCGCTTCGAGGCACTGACGATCTTGGGAGCTTCAGTAGACATTGGCACGCTGGGCGGTTCACTATGCTGGGAGAGTATGGATTGCCAAAGGAGAAAGAATACGACGTCGTCAAAGAGGAAAGCAATAAATAAAAACAATCAAGAGCTTGCACGGAAACCAAGCTGTGATATAATTAGAACCAGGGCATGAGAGGCAGTGCCTTGTGTGGAGGGGCAACCAGCGTGCTGCCACACTAGAAGTACAAGTACTTGTACAGTACAGTGCCTGCTTTGCTCGTAATGGTGGGCGGGTTAGGCGGGAGATCCGTGGTGGTGGTGAGGGGCCGAGGCCGAATTGGGGGACTTGCTTCTACAAGTAGGCGGGTGGGTGGGCAGCAACTGAGCCCCGCAGGTTTGAGGGAGCCAAGAGGCAATCTGTAGACCTCTCAGCTGCTTCCGGACAAGACAGAATAATCCCTCTAGCGGGCCGCTTGTTCCTTTTTCATCTCAAAAGCCCCGCCTAGAGAAGAAATGAGACATTTGATGATGGATGGATGGATGGATGGATGGATGCTGTTTGCCCGTGTTTGCTGTCTTTTGGCTCGTGTTGGCTTGGGTTGCTAGGCTCGCTAGGGCCCGACTGACTTGCAGCTGTAGCTCAGCCCTGGAGATGCTGGGCAGATGCGTGCTTTTGCTAGAGAAGCTTTCCGAAACAGCCTAGAGAACCCCCCTAGACCATGAGTGACGTAGCGCCTTTTTTCTCACCGAGCTGCTCACCTCTGATCAGCTGACTTGGCGATGATCTTGAATTGAGATCCCTGTCACCTCGGACGCGCTTCAACGCGCGCCTTGGAATCGGTCTATGCAAGCACTCTGCTTCGCACCTCGCTTCTCGCAACGAACCCCGATTGCTCTAGAGGACTTGTCCAATCTATGCTGGCTATATAAAACCCAACTCCCGATTGCAATGGGAGCTTAGTCTTGCTTTCCTGCCCCAAAGTCACAGACGTCATCGACCTCAGCGGGTATGGCTGACGATGAGTGCGCCAACCCCTTGCTCCTGAGCTGGGTCAAGGAGTGGCTGGACACGGCCCGGGAGCGCAACTCCAAGGGCGTGACGACCTACAACCAGGCATACAAATCGCTGAAGGCATGCCCCATAGCCTTCACTCACCCTTCGGAGCTGAAGCAGCTCAGGGGCTTCGGCCCCAAGCTCTGCGATCGGCTGACCGACTTGCTCAAGAAGCACTGCGCTGAAAATGGCCTGCCCATGCCGGAGCATCCCGGCCTGTCCAAAAAGACGGGCACCGGTGGTGATGCACAGTCTGGCGAAGCGGCCGGCGGTGCGAAGACCACCAAAAAGGCCAAGCCAGCCAAGGCGTATGTGCCGACCTACCGCTCTGGAGCCTACGCCCTTGTCCTGGCACTGTCTACGATGGATCCGGAGGCTCCCATGGGCATGACCAAGGCAGAGCTCATCGAGACTGCCCAGCCGCACTGTGATGCTTCTTTCAGTGCACCGTCTGACCCGACCAAGTTCTACACTGCCTGGAATTCCATGAAGACGCTTGTGCAAAAGGAGCTCGTGTATGAAAGAGGCAGGCCCTTGAAACGATACGCCCTCACAGACGAAGGCTGGGATGTTGCCGGAAGGATCAGGCAAATCACCGAGGCACGCGATCCGCAGAGCCTACCAGCACATTCTGCCTCGAGAAGTGTTGCTGCCGCTCCTGCACCAACTGCCGTGCGGGCCGAGAGCCTGGCTCTGGAGTTCGAACCACCTCCGCCTAGCCAACAGAACATCTACGAAGATGTCGTTGCGAACGAGGGACACATTGCTTCCGATGGGTCCTTGCCTAGCTTTGCCCCTATACGGCTGCCACCCGGCTCCTTCACAGTGCATCTCGTGCTGGACGTACGAGAGGTGCGGGCCAAGACGGACAGAGACTACATGCAGGAGGAGCTCGCTAAGAAAGGGGTCAAGCCGATCATGAGGAGTCTGGAACTGGGTGACGTTCTGTGGGTAGCCAAGTGCAATGACCCGGGTTTGCTGGCTCGCTCGGGTGCCGAGGGCGACGAGGTGGTGCTGGACTGGATTGCTGAGCGGAAACGCCTGGATGACTTGATCGGCAGCATCAAGGATGGGAGATTCCACGAACAAAAGTTCCGGTTGCGCCGGTCTGGAGTCAGGAACGTCATATATCTGATCGAAGAGATTCACATGGACTCGAATCAGTACCTCAAGTATGAAGAAGCAGTCCAATCGGCCATCGCCTCAACGCAGGTGGTCAATGGCTTCTTCATAAAGAGGACCCAGAAGATGGACGACACGATTCGCTACCTGGCAAGGATGACTTCGCTGCTGAAGAAGCAGTATGAGAGCAAACCTCTGCATGTCATCCCTACCAAGGTCATCTCGGCGCAGAACTACCTACCGCTATTGAATCACCTGCGAGACAAGGAGCCTACGACAAGCTACCACGTCAGCTACCCGGCCTTCGCATCGCTCGTGTCCAAGACGGACATGATGACCCTGCGCGACCTGTACCTCAAGATGCTCATGTGCACAAAGGGCGTCACGGGAGAGAAGGCGCTCGAGATACAGAAGCGGTGGAAGACGCCTTATGACTTTGTCAAGGCGTTTGAGGCGTGCGGGTCCGACGAGCTGGGCAGGAAGCGGAAGAGGGAGCTGGTCTCCAACAAGATGAATCATCTCATCGGCAGGAAGAAGGTCGCAAAGGCGCTCAGCCAGAAGATTGCCGAGGTTTGGGGCGATGCATAAAAGGGTCGTCAATGAGGCCGCTGGAGTTTTTGGTCCTTATAGAGAGTTCTTTGTCGTCAGGCGCTGTTATTTACCACTGTGTGTCTCAATATACCCATAACATTTCAGCCATTTCTTCAATCGCTTTACGTCGTATACACGTTTCAGCTCTATTTAGACCATCTCTTTTGACTTGCACTTACACTCCCTTCCCCCTTCTCTGTCTCTCAGGGCTTCCCACCCAGCCCCTGCCTCACAATCTTGCCAATCATCTGCTCCAGCCCGCCCTCGCCCGTCAGGCTGCCCACGATGCCGCTCATGCTCTTCTCGGCGTACTTGGCCAGCACGTCGACCTCGACGTTGACCGTGTCGCCGACGGCCTTGTCCGCGAGCACGACCTTGCCCTGCGTGTACGAGATGAGCATGACCTCCCACCAGCCGCCCTCGCCCTCGCCGCCCTCGTCCCCGCCGTCGTCGTCGTCGTCGACGGCCGTGACCGTCAGGCTCGTCCCGTCGAGCGCGATGAAGCCCTTCTTGACGACGTACCGCAGCACGGCCCGGTCGCGCGGCCGGAAGCGCATCGTCAGCGCGTTGCCGTCGGGCTCCCGCCGCGTCACGACGCAGGTCGTGTCGACGTGGCCCTGCACAAAGTGCCCGCCCATGCGGGTGTCGGCGCGCACGGCGCGCTCGAGGTTGACGCGCGACGAGGCGCGCAGGTCGCCCAGGTCCGTGAGGCGCAGGGTCTCGGGGGCGATGCCCACCGTGAACCGGGACGGCGCACCCCCCGAGGCGTCGCTGTGGGAGAAGGTGACGACGGTGAGGCAGACGCCGTTGACGGCGATCGAGTCGCCCTCGTGGCAGTCGGAGAGGAGCTGCGAGCCGGCGGGCAGGGTCACGGTCAGGGATGTGCCGCCCGTCGAGTCGTTTTTGTTGAGCTCGGAGACGACTGAAGTATTGATGTATGTTAGAGTGTTTGCTTGTGTGTATATGTATGCGCTGCGTGTGATAAATATGGGAGGTAGAAAGTGGGAAGGGTGTATATCGTTGTGAGCAGAGCATCGTGAGATGAGATTATGAGCTCGATGAGTCAAGGTGCATGAGATGAGATAGACTGGGGCAGCTTACCTCCGATCTCCTCTACGATTCCGGTGAACATGGTGAGCGAGTCAATTGGTCGGTGGTTCAAGCTCCAAGGGAAGATGTCGTGAATACAGAAGAGTTATTGAAACTCGATGAAGGTGTTGCAAGAGCGAAATATGAGTTGATATCCTTGATAATGACGACAGGCTTCAGGGTCCTGCAGGTACTTTATCCCGACTATGCCCCGCGGAGGGAATGGATTGGCGCGCTGATTGCCGGAGCGGGGCACGCTGAAGCTTGAAAACCAGCCCGAGTCCGGCCGATTCGGAGCCAAGTACAACATCAATTTGATGATCATTTGCAATGCTTTGAAATAGAGTCCCAAGTCCTCGGTTCAGAATTCCATTCTATTCCACAGGCAGTCAAAACAGGCCACATGCGACTCCCTAATGAGACTATTCTCTACACTGCCCTTAATCTACATCGGTATTGATACACGATACGGTATCCTATCCGCCGAGTCTCCCAAAGAGTTTGACAAGGATTAATCAACGTCAATCATACAAAATTCAGTTAGGCCAAGCACCCCAACATGCTGGAGGGAGGCTAATGGCTCACGCGCAATCGTCGACTTCCGAATCTCCGTCACCAACCTCGGTGAGGCTGGTCTGTGTAGTAAGCGAAGAAGGGGTCGCAGTGTCCGACTTCCAATCATCATCGTCCTGGCACAAGCGACCATAAACAAGTGCATCGGTGGAAGTCCTCTCCAACCCGCCACGGTAGATCGGCAGCGGCTTGTTCAACTCTTCTGCCTCCCGGGCCTGTACCCTTTCAAGGTAGTCTAGGAAGAACGATGCCTCAAAAGCCGCGAGGCGGCCCTCCTCGCTCCCTGACATCGGCTCCTAGCCATACAGTGCTCCTCTCGGTAACAATCCCCAGTTGCCGCCGCAGCTACATTTCCTCTGCTGCGCCAGCACAAAGGTGAAGCCTGGCCGCATGGTGTTGGCATCTTCCATGATGGCGGCACACCTGACGCACCTCCTCCACTGCGGGCTGGCATTGACCTCGGACAGAGAGTTGACCGGGAGCCCCTTAGGAGCGTCCAGCTCCACGCGCCTGAAGACGTCGATATACTTGCCCTTTGACCGCTTTTGCAGCAAGCAAGTCTCGTCCTCGTCCACCTCCAGGATCGAATAGTCCGCGAAAAACAGCTCAGGTCTGTTGACCTGTGCCTGGAAAGTCTGGAGATCCTGGTTGAAGAACTTGCTGATGACTGGCAGGAACGTGATGGGTGGGTTGTTGGCCAGGAGCAGAGTCAGTTCGCAGTGGGCCTGCATTCGCTTCATCTGCTGCTCGACCGGGTTTTGGCCCTGCTGACCGCCCTTAGCGGCATTCCCCTGGGCATTCCTAAGGTTGGCGAGCGAGCTCTGATACGCATTCCGGATGTCGATGCTCAGTGTCGCCAGCAGCTCGTTGAACTTGGAGATTTTGACGATGCTGGCCGACGTGTAGCGCTGAATCTTGGAGTACGCCTGGAAAAGCGGAGTCTGGGATCGAGGCACACTCGCAGGGTCCTGCGCAGCCTTTGGAAAAGCAATATTCTCGTAGTACTGGATGGCCCTGTTTGACAGGGACTCCAAAAGATCAAGCCGCCGGCAGAGGGCAGCCAGTAAGCCCCGGGTCGAGGAGCAGAGCACCAGGTGCAGAGAGACCTCGTTCTTGCTCTGGAGATAAGCCACCAACTCGTTAAACCGGGCTGGAGTTAACAGAGCTTTGAACTCTCCATCGGCCATGAGGTTCAGAAGACTATCTGTAAGGTATGCTAGCAGGCTCAGTGCCCATCTGGTGCAGCCGGCCAAGGCATCGACCACTTCTATATAAGTGTGTATCATGGTCAGTCAATGGTCGTCTGAAAAGAGAAGGGTGATGATGAAAATGAGGGGGCTTGCTTACCCGGCTCGTCCAAGGGATTTAATTTCTCCTTGAGGTTGAGCGGAGTATTATTAGCAATAGTGATGAGAATCACAATGTTCCGCACACTAAGCGCCAACATAGCAAATTTGCTGGAAAAGGACCTCGGCCTGAACTCTCCGTTAAAACCAAGGTGGTTTAACAGACCCAGGCAAAGTTGTAATTGGTGGTTCCTCACGAGAGAATCGTGGTGTGCATCCTCAGAGTAATCGATATGCACTTTCAGCATGCGGATGATCTCGGTCATCCAGTCGTATGGAAAGCCTGACGACTGGTCAGTATGATAGCGGATGAGTAGGCGGAAACAAGCTGCTCACGTGGTTTATCTGCGAACCGCCTGGCGATGGCGAGCACATCATCGAAAGACATTTGTGAAGTCGCCGCAGTTGATGCTGTGACGGTCAAGCCCGCAATGGTAGCATAGTACTGGGCTGATATAGTCCGTTTGTTAGCAGATGAGTGGACGTATATCGACGAAAGCGGGCCAACGAACCATCCTGAGTTGTTGAGCCAACCTCCTGGGAAATACACTGTAGGCAGCTCCATTTGACCTTGTAGTCTTCGCATATTTGTACGAAGGAACAGTTGGTTGGCGAGAATGCCATCTGCAAGCCTGCGTGTTCTCTGCGTGAGTACGGCGAAGCTTTGCAAAGCCGAGGGGAAGGATCTTACATGGGTTTTCATCGGTGAAATGGAATCCTGCTTGGTTGAGGACGGTGATCTTGCTGGGATCAGCCTCGCCAAAGATCTCGTGCATCGTCACCCTATCCCGGTACTGAACGGTTCCATCGCTGAAGGCGAAGCATATAAACTTCGAGTGGTGAAGAGTGTGGACGGACACAATAACTTTGTTGACGATGATAGAATCGAGCTTCTTCAGACGAGAAGTGGACTAGTCCTTTGTAAGTGCCTGACCTAATGAGAATGAAACGTAAACAACGTACTGATGGCGCAGATACTGTGCCTTTGGAAGGAAGCTGTTGGAAGGAGGGATGTGTTGCGGGCTGCTGATCGGTGACGAGCTCCCAGCAGTTTACAATGCTCTGGGGCTCTTGCGCGAAGCCGGAACCGGCGGCGGGAATCTGAGAGCGTACGGCAAGTATGATGGGATGCGTGAAGGACTGTCCAGAGCTGTCAACAGTGGGTTGTATCACTTCGAGATGTGAGATCTGCGCTGTCATAGCATCTACTTGCGGGTCGTTGGGGTCAAACTGGAACCAGCGCGTGATGGCCAACCGTTTTTCCTTGAAGGACGGGTTGAGCGGCATGCTACCCGGCGGCACCTGTTTCTCCGTGGCAGGGAGCCCCCAATTGATATGTATCCGTACGGTCTCGAGCCGTTTCGAGCTCGTGGCCATAGCCACGATCAGGGATACTAGGAGGGGGCGTCAGCGTGCCGTTCAAAATATGTGTGCATAGATAGGTGTTACGCACCCTTGTCATAAGAGCATATTGAGGCGTGGGTAACAAGATCCTCGTTGGAGGACACACTCTCGAGCTCCAGCTGGGTTTCCTGAAACCTGTTGTTGTTCTGGGTAAAGAAGAGCTTGAGAGTGCCGTTGGCGGTGACACAGAGAAGAGCACTCTTGCTAGGGTTGGGGTGCCATGGTCCCAGTGCCGGCAGATAGGTATTCTCATAGCGATATGTGTTTCCCTCTTTGACGGCGGGTCCGTGAAGCACGTTGTACTGCTGAACGTATGAGAGGTTGAATTAGGTGAGTCCCGAAGCTGATCGAGACGGCGCACTTACCTGCTTGTTCTGAGGCATCAATGGCAGCCAGTAGCAGCCGACAACGGCATGGAGGTCGTCGATTGGGTCGGAATCCCACGGGCGCACCAGATAGGGCCTATTGATATTGGTGTTGAAATTCAAGACGCTGACACGGCCAGCGGCATCGATGACGGCCAGTTCGGCGCCCACGGCAGGTGACCATACCAGGTGGGTGATGGGACCTCCGTTGAAATTGCTGCCAAACTGGCTCCAGGACGTCGGCTCGCTGAGGCCCCAGGAACCGTCCTTGGGATGGACGCGAAGATAGCGGAGCTCGATGGACTTGCCATCGGCGCCGATTGAAGCCACAGTGCCTTGTTTTGACCATGCAATGCCCCTAGCAGCTGGATTAGTTTATGCACGAGCTGAGACGGCTGTCGTCGAAAAGGCCAAGAGCTTACTGGCAGCAGCCATGATCCCTCAGCTCATCGAGCCTCTGCTGAAGTTGCTTGCTGGGGGGCCTGATGGGCAAGCCGAGATCTACAGGGTCGCCGAACAGATCAACGTCGACGCCCTGCAGGTCGACATGCATCGAGTCGTTCATGGAGGGCGCGCGTGTGAGCTGTGAGCTCTGTCGCGATGCTTGGACTTGAAGCCTTCAGAGAGCCTTGAAGCAGCGCTGGAGAGCCGCACCTCACAGAAGTCACTGTGCTCTCAGCCAGTGCTTTGGTTTGGCTTTACTGGGGGCGCTGCTAACTTTGCTGAAAAGGGAAATGGCGTGCCAAGCAGATTCAATGGTGGAGACCAATCCATCTGGCACTAGCGCAGCCCCACGCTGTCGACATCGAAACCCACCCCTGCGACTGCCCGGACGGACCAGGACCGGACCTGGAACTGTGGCATCCACTGCATGTTTCCCGGCAACCGCCCTTCTGTAATTTCTGTACTTGTAATCACTCACTACGGAGTACCTAACAACCCGCTCACTCTCCACACCATATCCATGGATTGCGCTCACTTCCAGAATCAATCCAACCGGAAGGAAAAAGAAAGTGCTCGAACAGTCAGTAAGTATGAGGTACAGCTTGGTATGTGCGGGCTGATGTGATGCTTGCTGAGTAAGGTAAGTATGAAGTTGGTTGTAGGAAGTATCTACTAACCTATCAATTTTGCTTGCCCCTGGTTTGCGGGAACAATGCGGTCATTGTCGGCCAATCACACTGGGCTGATCATTTCTTTCCTCTAGGAGGGAGCATGAGCACGACGGAGTAGGCACTAGAGACTCCCAACTACCTAGGTACTTGTGTGTTTTGCCCATCAAGTTTTGCATGTTTGCTCACATGCCATTCAAGGTAGCTATCTCAAAGACTGTGATTAGCCAACTGGCTATTCTACACCAGAGAGGCAGCTAGAAAGACTGTTACTTCAGCACTTGTAGATAGATATATGCACACTTCTAACAAGAGCATGGAAATCTCTTCTCAGAGAACCAAAGAGGCGGCCCAACACTGTACTGAAACTTCTGGGGGCCGCCTCTGGTCGAAATGCGACCGGGCTGAATCAGTCGCCCCGTTGTATTGTTGTGTACTGTCTAAACAAAACACTGGTTCTTTGTTGTTGGCCCCCGCTAGTAATTACATACCGGGCCTGAGATCAAGCGGTACCGACTCTGCCAGCCTCCCCCGCCCGAAGAAATCTCACCGGGATTGCCGCTGGCTGCTCCCCATACAACTCGCTGACTACCCGCTACCCGCTTCTGCTGCGTCTAATTCACCCTCATTAACCCTCCCCGACCTGGGTGACTTCTTCAACTCTCACACCTGCCAAACCTGCAGTCGACCCAACACGCCGAGCCAAACACGGAGACGCCCCGACAGTAGACAACAACAAGCAGAGAAGCTCTATTGTCTCTATTGAACACCATTGTTCCTCCTACTTTACTTTCGGCGCTCTCTTTTGTAGCCATGGTGTAGCCGGAGAACTCTCTCTTCTCCTCTCTCACTCAAGGCCGCCCTCTCCTCCCTTCGCTCTTTCGCGACTGCCCCCCTGCAGCTTTCTTCCTCCTCTCGAAAGCAGGAAGATCGCCTTGTTTCTCTTTCTCAACTGCTCGGTCACTTCAAACTCAGATCTGCCTTCAAAATGAGTTCCGATCACTCGTCACCGCCGTCCTCTCCACTCTCGGTCCTTTCCAAGTCGCCGTCCCTTCCTTCCTCTCCCGCGTCTCTTGACCCTTCCAAGAGATATCCCTCGCCCACAGCCAGCTCGCAGTCTGGAGGAGCATCACCAATGAAACTTCAAGACGAGCCGGACGAGATTTGCGTCCGCACCGACGGGCCTCCTCCCTCGAAGAAGCGCCGAGTCAACCCGCGCAAGCCGCGCACTACCGAATATGTGCAGCTCGAGGAAGCCTCTGAGGACGACGAAGAAAAGCTGGAAGCGCTCCTCAAAGCGCTGCGGAAGAAGAAGAAGATTGTAGTTATTGCCGGTGCAGGTATTTCGGTCTCCGCTGGAAGTAAGTGTCCATCACATCACCCAGTTCACCTCACTTATAGCCGAGCAACCCTGTACTGATTTTCGAGTAAACAGTCCCCGACTTTCGCTCGTCAACTGGCCTATTCACATCATTACGGGGTCAACACGGACTCAAGAAGGGTTCTGGAAAACACCTGTTCGATGCCTCAGTCTACAAGCACGATGACGCAACCGAGTCTTTCCACTCCATGGTGCGCGAGTTGGCGCAAATGGCACAAAACGCCAAACCGACTCCCTTCCACCATCTGTTGGCCTCGCTCGCCCATGAAGGGCGTCTGATGCGACTGTACACACAGAATGTCGACTGTATCGACACCTCGATGCCCCCGTTGGCCACCAACATCCCTCTCAATCGGAAGGGGCCCTGGCCAGTCACGATCCAGTTGCACGGCGGCCTCTCAAAGATGGCTTGCAGCAAGTGTGGTGGCACCGAAGCATTCGACGCATCCCTGTTTGAGGGACCAGAGGCGCCCCTATGTGAGCCCTGTACCGTGGCAGATGCTGTTCGGACGGAATTTGCGGGCAAGAGAAGCCATGGCATCGGGCGTCTTCGACCCAGGATTGTGCTCTACAATGAGTTCAACCCAGACGAGGAGGCGATTGGCCAGGTCATGCAAGCAGATCTCAAGCGGGGACCAGACGCTGTCATTGTCGTTGGCACCACTTTGAAAATTCCCGGTGTTCGACGAATCGTCAAGGAGATGTGTCTTTCTACGCGGAGTAGGAATAACGGTTTCACTGCTTGGGTCAACATCGACCCCGAACCCCAAGGGGCCGAGTTCAAGGGATGCTGGGACCTGATTGTCAAGGGCAAGTCGGACGACGTGGCGGAGCTGGTCAACCTGCCGCACTGGGATGAGCAGGATATTGGCGACTCCTGGAAGGTCACGGGTATACCCGAAGCAGAGGAGCGCTGCAAGGAAGGCATCACACGGGAGCATATCGATATCGTCCTCGATGCCAAGCCGCCATCAGAAACCACGGAGCCCGCCGTCAAGGAGGAGACGCCCGAGCTGCCCGAACTCAAGTCGAAGCTGGTCGAGCAGGTACAAGGCATCCCCACGCCAAGCGCAAGCCCCAAGCTGCGGACAGCACTGCCTGACCACGCTGCTGCGAACAAATCCAAGCAGAAGCAGGGCAAGCTTCTGTTTGGTAGTCAGACCAAGCCGGAAGCAGCCGGGAAGCAGACCAAGGCTCGCAAGCCGCGGCAGCCCAAGAAGGCCAAGGAGGAAAAGCCACGCAGCAACCTCGTCAAGGCCTTCAAGGCGACAAAGAATGTCTTGCCCGGTGCTGGTTCCCACTCGGATATCAACAAACAGAAGAAGCACTCTCTGCCCTGGGAGCCAGAGTCATCCGACCTCTCGTCGCCGCCGCCGGCCAAGCGCGAGGAAGGGGAGACCTTTTCGGGTCTTCCGCCCCTGCGTGACAATTACTACAAGGAGAACCACCCGCCGTTCACGATCGAGGCAGCTCCCTCGACGCCGCCGCAGCAGCAGGGGCACTTCTCTCCCAGCGGCAGAGAGACCATCTCGCCGAGCTCCAAGCCGCGGTCGTTGAGCCACCTGATCGATTAGGAACCGGTGGGCCTGGCGCGATTTGAGCTCTCGCCCCGACGACTACGGAGCGGGAGGCGAATCTTAAGACAAAAATGTGATGAACATTGGCAGGAATGGGGGGGGAACCTCGTTGTTTAGCATGGCATCGGAGTTCAAGCACGGTCGGTTGTTTTTGCTCTAGGTGTACTGGCGTGGGTGGGGGGGGCCTGTCTATTGTCTCTACTGAGAGCTCTGCAGTTTGCTTTTCTTGTTCGTTCTTTTGCATGGGAGAAGGAAATGTTTCTGGGAGCGCGTTGGCCGCCTCGTTGCTGTAAAGACACTTCGAGGATGGGCCGCGAATTATAGATCGGCACTTTACTAGACTTGGGTGCGATATCTCTTGGAGTCTGGGTGGGAGCGTTGGTGTATTTGACCCAACTGGGCAATGCTTCCCCCATTGGCCATTGGGGCGAGACATGTACATTATACACCTCGCATTGTACGAATCAAAGTACTTGGTTTTCCTTCCTTTCTAATTTCAACAGTAGAGCTCATAAAGGTGCATCGTAGCAAATGTATTTTTGTCTGTCTCGTCCAACATCTAAGTAAGATAGCATTCGGCATACGTGCGCTCGGCCCCCCTGGTGGGCGGACAGTCCTCTATGGATTCTCTTGGGGACATGCCCCCAGAATTCCAGCGATCTCCTCATGAGCCGTGTATGAATCCTTGTATTCTTTCTCTCGCAGAAGTCTTTCTCTCCTCTCTCATTGTGAAATGCCAGCCAGATGCGGACTGCTAGTCAACAGGATGGGAGGCTGCTTCAGAGAACCTGCACACGTCCCCAGTCCAGACATTTTCACCGTCTCGTCTCCGTACGTCGCTTGTCTCGCCACGTGACATCAAAGGGACAGCGAGATATCAAGCCGAAAATGCTGACCGTTCCCAGATCGAGAGGCTCGAGTGAGTCGACGAGTCTGCCGTTGCTCTCTGTCTCTTTCCATGCGGTGTCAAGAAAAAGAAGAAAAAACAATCGAAACGCTACCCGGGTATGCGTACTGATTTTATAGTTCCACAAGAGGTTCAAAAAAGATCAAAAAAAATGGAGGCCAAAAGTAAAAAGACGCCATGATGCCATTATACAGCTTCCACCCTAGTACGCCATGGCCATAATAGATGCATAAATGTCCTACTGCGTTTCGTTCCGTCTCCTCAAGATGAGAGCAGGGCGCCCAAACAGAGCACCCTAGTAAGGGCTCTGGCGATTGTGCCAAGGCAGTCGTGCGCGATCACGGTCCCTAGCATCGTGGTCAAGACGCCGATCCTTACGGGCGAAGCTTAACCGGTCGCCATTCTCGTAGGCTCTCCTATCCTCGCGCCTCTCATCGCGCCAGGCCTCCCGGCGGGGATCCTCATACGGGCGAGAATGATCTCGGCGAGGCTCGGCGCGCCGAGTCTCTCGCTCGCTGTCGATTTCGCCATCCTCGAGGTCGTCACGAGGCGGCTTCTTCGTCTTCTCCGGCTTTTCTGGCTTTTCCTCGCCACCCTTGTCCTCATCCTTCTTCTTCAGCTGTTGGAACATCTTGGCAAGCTGCTTCCCAGACACAGCAAACTCATTGACGGGCCATATCGATGACAGGAAGTCCCTGGGGCAACGTTAGTCAACGAATTCAAGCAAACAATGCTGATAGCTCCATCCACTTACCAGAACCGCGGCATCAAGTCGTCGAGCTTGTCAGACGGAATAGCTTGGTTCTTCTTAAGATCCTCCAAGCAGTTGCCAATCTGGCGAAGCTCCTGACCCATGATGCGGGCACGATCCTTAGCGCCCTCGACCTTGTCCGCTGTCGTATACATGATGCGCTCAAAGTTGCCTCGTACAGGCTTGAGCAGGGACCACATGACTTGTTCGTCGTCCGAGTAATCAAGCTTGGCATCGTCCAGCTTCATGAGCTCGTGGAAGCGTTGAACGGCACGGTCGCGTTTTCTCTTGAGCGTCTCCAGTTCTGCAGGGTCCAGCCTCTTGCGCTTTTCCTTGTCTTTCTGGTGATCTTTATGGTGCTTGTCAGAGTGGTGAGATTCCCGGCGATCATGTTCCTCCAGACGCCGATATTTGCGGTCCCGGTCGTCATGGCTATGATCGTGCTTTCTCTTATCAGGTCTCGGAGTCCCTCGCTCACCTCCATTGCTGTGCGACCTGTGGTGGTCGCCAAGGCGCTCTCGTCGATCCTTAGTCTGGCTAGGTCGCTTTGACAGCTGTGGCGCTGGAGATGCCGATGCAGATCCGCCGACATCACTGCGACGATTCCCATTGATCAAATTCTTCTTGCTCCGGTGATGGTTCTCAACTGCTCTCTGAGCAGCGGCATCATCAGAATGCTTGGCAAGGAGTACCGAGAGAAGATACTCGGAGCGACGGACCAGGTGGACGGCACCGGGCGACTGAATGCTCTTGTCGTCGCCTTTCTTGCGCTCCTCCTTCTTCTCGACACGGTGCTCTTCGAGGAACAGCTTGTCTTGCATGTCGAGCTCAGGGTCATCTCGGATCTGTGTCCAAGCTCCAAAGCCGTACTTGTCGATACCAACAAGAAGCATGCCGTCTTCCCGCGCGCCCCATTCGCAGCTGTAGTGTGCTCCTTTGGTGGCCTCCGGAAGCTTGAAGGTCTTGAGGTCCCCATGCTCAGCCAGAACCTTGCGTAAGAGCCGTAGCTGTGGGGGGCGATCGATGACCGTCTCGGCGTTGACCTTCTTCACCTCCCCAAAGTCGACCAAGACTGCTTTCTTGTCCTTCTTGGCCAGAGACTTGCCAGCCTTCTCTTCTTCGTCACGCAGCCTCGCATTGTTGGCGTCGACGGCCTTGCTGCTGATAGCCACTAGGTCGTTGACGATGGAGCGAACGAAATCGCGGTCCCGCCCACTAAGCCGGGCATCATGAATGATCTCCTCCTCGCGGTCGTCAAGAGAGCCATAGCGAAAGAGGGCTCGGATGAGGTTTCGAGTCTCTTTCTCGTTCAATGGTCGGCGCGGATTGCGCATAGCCGCCCTTTGTTCCTCTCGCTCCTGTTGTTCTTGCTTCTCACGTTGCCTCTTCTTCGCCAGGCGCTCTGCTCTCTCATCTGCCTCCCTTCTTGCTCCCTTGAGAGCTGCCCTGCGAGGCGCATTCTCCTCCATAGCTCGCGCAAGATATTCCTCGTGCTTTCGCTTCTCCTCCTCGTCTTTAATGGCAGCGAGTTGCTCAGCAGGGATGATTTGGTCCCAGTCCATATTCAGGTCCTCCACCTTGACGTCGGTGACTTGCATCCAGTTGTCCCAATCAATACCGCCACTGCTCAAGTTGATCTTGTCGTCCACATTGGTCTTTGTGACCTCTGCATTTTCGAGAATGGAGTCGATATCGAGCTGCTCGAGCCTCTCTTGGTTGCCGGACTGCTCGAAGAGGTTCTGAGAGCGCATCTTGAGGATGTACTGAATATCTTCGGCGGTCTTGGCCTCGTCCATCATAAGGCCCTTCTCCTTGAACTGTTCGCGAAGGGCCTTGCCCTCATCAGTCACGCCGGCTTGGATTGTGAGATACTCCAAGAAGAGCTTGTTGCGGGCACGCTTGATGACTTCTTCTTCAATAGTCTGCTTTGCAACCAAGCGGTAGACGCTGACAGGACGCTTTTGACCGATACGATGGGCTCTGGCCATGGCCTGCAGATCCGCCTGAGGATTCCAATCAGAATCGTAGATGATGACTGTGTCAGCAGTCATAAGGTTGATACCAAGACCACCAGCGCGGGTAGAGAGGAGGAAGCAGAAGTCGTCACTGTCCTCTGCATTGAAGTGATTGATTGCCATGCGCCGAGGGCCAGCCGGAATGGTACCGTCCAGTCGCTGGAATTGATATCCTCGCACACGCAGGTAGTCACCTAGGATGTCAAGCATCTTCACCATCTGACTGAAGATAAGCACACGGTGGTTATCCTTCTTCAGTTTGGCCAGAAGCTGGTCGAGTAGCATCATTTTTCCACTGCTGGTTATGAGGCCTTTGATTTGGTCCTCCCTTCGTGTGCTGCCCGCCAGGACGCGATCTTCGACACCATGAAACATGTACGGATGGTTGCTGACCTTTTTGAGTTCCATCATGACGTTCAAAAGTGACTGTTTTTGACCGCCACTAGCGTCACTCAGGGCTGCATAATTCCTCGTCAAGATGTTCTTGTAGTATTCGAGCTGCACGTCGGACAACTCTACCCGAAGAATCTTCTCGGTTTTGGGCGGGAGGTCAGACTCGACGGTTTCCTTGGTACGTCTCAGAATGAAGGGGGCAATGGAGGCATGCAGAAGCGAGAGCTTGGCTTGGGTCTGCCGCCGCTTCTCCTCATCCTTCTCTTCGTCTTCTTCCTTGGCGGTCTCCTCCTGTCCGAGTTGTTCCAGCTCTTCATCTATCATGACCTTTCCGGGATTTAGAAAATCAAGTAGAGCTGAGAGCTCAGCCAGGTTGTTCTGGATGGGGGTGCCAGTAATCAGGATCCTGCAGGGCACGCCGAAGCTGACGAGCTTGGCATAGAGCTGAGACTCCCGGTTTTTGAGCCGGTGAGCTTCATCGACTGCGAGGACTTGCCACTTGATGGTACGGAGAAACTCCCAGTCTTGCAGAATGAAATCGTAGGACGTAACGAGAACGTTGAACTTGGGTTTCTTGGGATTACCATCGACGAGAAGCTCATAGTCGCGGATGGTATTGCGAGCAGCTTCGGGTCCGAGATAGACAACGTAATTCAGATCGGGAGACCAGTGCGAGAAGGTGTCACACCAGGCGGGAATGACACTGAGAGGCGCAACAACAAGGAAAGGGCCCTGCTGGTCTCGCTCGTTTCGCAGCCAGCTTAGGAAGGAGACGGTCTGGACCGTTTTACCAAGACCCATCTCGTCAGCGAGAATGACATTGTTGGCGCGAGTCCAGTTCAGGGCAAGGAAGTTCAAGCCCTTCATCTGGAATTCTCGGAGCTGTCCGCCCTGGATGTAATCCGGCTGCGATTCAAGCTTGGTCATTCTTGAGCGGCTGGCGGGATTCGCCTCGTACTTGTCTGATGTCCATGACCTTGCTGACCGGTCCAAGAACTGGTCGATCTTGTCTTGGGCATGAGAGCTGACAAGGGCCGCTGCCTCCCACGTACAGTCATCGTACTGAAGGCCTTTCCATTTGATGAAATATTCATCACCATCGTCACCACGACGAGAAGCAACCACTCGCTCAACCTTGGTATAGTCCTCGTGCGCTTCTTCCTCGCGCTCGCGGTCGAGGAGCCATTGTTCTCGTTGCTCAGGGCTTATGTCCTCGCCTCCAAATCGCATGTCGAGCTCGTACTCTACGAATTTTCGATAGTAATTCTCGAGACGGCGGAAGCCACGAAAGCCGGCGACGCTCTCAGTTGTCTCCCAGGTGTCGTGGAGATGTGATTTGCCTTGCCATTTGATATAGTATTCGAAGTCATGGCGGGTAGAATCGGGCGTCAATTCGACGCCTTCCTTCTCACGATGCCGAATGATCTTCTCGATGTACGGTGAGTCGTCTTCGACTTCGGCGCCGGCCCAGTAGTTGGGCGTCATGTCGTCCTCGTCATCATCATCTACGTCACTTTCTTGATATGCGCCAGCTGTGACTTGTGCGGCACGACGGCTTGACCAGCGCTTCTCGGCAAAGGCCAAGGCGGGTTGGGCTTCCTGCTGACGACGAGCTTTCTTTTGGAAACTGCGGGCGCGAGCACCTCCATAGGTATCGGAATCGGAATCATCGAGTGATGTGTGGCGTATGGGAGTATCTCGTTTCGAAGCTGCGATACGCAAAGGTTAGGCCTGGACATTATGACAGGGAGTCGCATGTGGTGGTTTGGAACCTACAGGGTTGGGAGCGCTCAACGCGTCGCTTCTTCCGTTTCGCGACAGCAACAACATCGGATTCGGATTCCTCATCATCAGAATCAACCTGGGAGTAATCGTTAGCAGACGCGACAAGTAAAAGCGAGAAGGTCTAACTTACAACTTTGCGACGTTGGGTCGGACGTGTCTGCCAGGACATCAATTAGGCGGCATGAACTTTGCAAAACGCGCGATTTAACGGCAGGACCTACACTACGCCTCAACCCATACAGTTCTGGGTTCTCCCTCATATAGTCGTCTTCTAATACCACGGCAGGCGCTTTGCGCTTCGGGGCTCTCTGCGAGTCGCTCGAGGACGCGGCCTCCTCGACGTCATCGTCTTCTTGTATGCTCTGGACAGACGCAGGACTGTCGGCCATGTCGAAATCGGCATCATCGGATGCATCATTATTGACAGACTCTGAGTCTTCATCCTCATCGGCGATGTCGGCATCGGCATCGGCATCGGCATCGCGATACCCGGAGGGGCTGGCCGGTCTGGGTGATACTACTACTTCGGCGGCAGCCTGGATATCGGAAAGGTCGCTCTCGTCTGGATGGCCGTTTGTTTGAACCGCTCCTATATCACCTCTTGGAGAAGACGCGATCCCGTTAGGAGGACTGAGCTCCGGGGAAGTTGACATCTTCCAGGATGGCTTCGGAACTCCCTGTGTTGAGGACGACGATGTCAGCCAAAGCTTCCTTGCAGAGTTTTCAATTCGAGCACGACCACAGAAAGCGATACGTGTCAGGCGACCGAAGAACAAGAAATACGAGGCACAGAAGACAGGTATTACGCCAGAAGATGTATTAGTCGCATCGGGCGCGTATAAGTGATGATGGTAAGGCTGGTTCGTGATGGGAGAGCATTGAGCCCGTCTGCCGTGCTACCAACCAGATTGGAAACTCTGCTGAGATTCGGGCCATCAAGAAGGCCCGGTTCCATCGAGTACGAGCTCTATAGTGCCCATATATGAGGTGTTCGAGTTGATGGACCAGGTAGCATGTGGCCAGGCCACAGGGCTGGCTTGACACAGGCGACAAGGTTGCGCTTTGAACAGGACGAAATGTAGCAAGCAAGACAAGGAGAAGCTTACCAGTCATGAGCAGATAGTGGACAGGAAGCAGAGATGAGTCCGTCTTCCCTGTCGCTATGCCTAACAACAGTGGTGGTGGATGGGAGGTGGGGTGGCAGACCGAGTCCAAGGTCTGGGGATGGTTTATGAAGAGAGGCGGAATATCACAATGCAGTGGTGGAGGATGGAAAGAACTGCATGGTCTGCCACACTTTTCCGGGCGGGTACGTACCTCAGACTTCGATTGCCCGCCTGGTGCCCTTTTTTTTCGGGGCTGAACGCGCACAGGCCACTCTCGCCCTACCGTAACGGTAACATGTGGTGGCCTCAGGCAGAATGAGTCCCTCGTCCACTTTGTTAGCGAAGTTAAGGCGCTATTCATCATACCTAGACTTTATAGACAAGATATTAAAGGTGTTCAGCATCAAGTAGAAGCTCTCCTTGGCAGGCCACTCCTAGACTGCTGGCCAAGCTGAGATCATAGATGAATACCTCAACCAACAACTACGCCTATTCATTGGCCATCTGCAGGATCAGTAGAGTAAGGCGATACCCGTGATGGATGCTGCTCAGGCGAGCCTTCCGCAAAAATCTACCGGGCTGTCCCCCCATAAGATCGAGCGTGGCTACCCTATAGCCATAGACATTGACTGGGAATGCAGAACTAAGGATGTCTAAGACCTACCACTAAGAGAGAGAGTCAATTAAGAGGAGGCCTAAGAGATCAGACATACTATTTATAGATACCTAACCTTAGTATAGGAGTCGCTAGAATAAGTCTAGAAGCATGTCTATAAGCAGGCAAACAAGCATCATCAGGAGCCAGATTTTGGTGTTAGAGATTTCGTTTTCATTATCAAGAATCACTAGTCGACAGATAGACCAGCAGATAAGCTCAACTACCCCTCAACCTAACAATACTATAGGATTAAGGGGATGAAGGGACACTCATTTAAGCTCGACCTACCAGACTCCTAGAGAGGGAGCTATATGTCCCATACAGATCGACTGCAGAAATATTCTAACAACCTATTGCCTAGACAAGCAGCAGAATATCTAGAGGCTGAATTGGTTAACAGAGAGGAGGAATAGCAGGTTGATCACGTCCTGTCATCACACTTACATTACTGGAAGTTGCAATACCAAGTCCATTAGAAGGGATGGGATCCGGATCCAACCTGGTACTACGCAGAGGACTTCCAAGAGGCGCCTCTAGCCTTGAAGCAATTCCATGATAACCACCCAGAAGAGGCAGGACCACCAATTCGACTGGAGGAATGGGTCAAGGCCGCAGAGGAGGACCGATTTGCGGAGCCCCATGAGGATGACAATAAGGCGGCGACAAATCGAACCAGGAAAATGAGGCGGCGCAACGCGGATTTATAAGGAGGATTAAACCTGAACCTTCCAACGCCGACCATGGTTTGTGTACGTTTGGTGTAGTGGGATATGAGGGCCCCACGAAACCAAATGGAAGCGAACCCGAGGGCATCCCTCCACTGCCTGGGAAGTGGTTCGGTTGGGCCCAAGTGCGCGACTTTTTTGGCGACCGGGGTTCGATTCACGGACGAATCTTTTTTTTTTTGGATGGGGGGTAATGTTACAGCAGTTGTTGGACCGCTAGGCTAAAAACATGTACTGCTTTTGTAGGCCTCTAGGTCCTCGTATCCGGTCTAACAGCAGTCACCTAGCGTGGCCTGGGTACAGAGGTGGGGCGCCAGCTACTATTCAGGTACATGGGGGAGGGACAGGTTGCCCCAAATGACACAAGCCAGATCATGACGGGAACAGAGCATCTGTACAGATCCTGTTCTCTTGTTTTTTTCTTCTTGGCGATGCAACTGTATCAGCATTAATTTTGAGCCCAGAGGCATGAGTACAAACCCTCACAGCGGCCTTGTTGTTACAGCACGTTGTAACGGCATTGTGACAGGGAACCGCCTGGCAGCTGATGGCAACTGTGGATACTGATAAGCCGATAAGCTGTGGCGCACTTGGCCCGTGCACCTCACCTCAAAACGCGCCACGCGTTTTGGTCCATTGCACCTATTCTCTTCTCCTCAACTTCTTCTACGTCAAATACAGTGGATTTCTGCCTAGCTTTGTCCCCTGACTTCCCTGTGCCGTGACACTTATCCTGGGAGTGGCGATGCGTGATCTGGGCATCCCTGTGCTCCGGTAAATGTAAATCGATAGATCAGGGGGCGCAGCACGTCATTGAGTATCACCAAGAAGTTGAAACCAGTCTACCGATACATCTAGGTACAAGGTGTACTAGTCCGTACTTTTTAGTTCGGGAGTTTCTGCTTAATATTACAACGGTTCTACTACGCGGACATCAGGAAAATAACGAAAAGAATACTCTGGTTACGGGTGGCAGAGGCCGACCCGAGAACTAAACCCTTATGGTATCCCTTGAAGAGCCGTAACTGCAGTCACATGATTCCAGGTTATCTCCAGCTAATGACAGTGGCACAGACAGGGATTGACAGGGATCTTGATTACTGAAGAGGGCAAGTAGTACACGTGAGTGCAGTTACGGCTCCTAAAGGGATAGATAGAATGGCACAACTCAGCTACCATCCCTTTTGCTGACCACGGACAGAAACCTGTCAAGCAGACAGTCTTATACTCAAAGTGCTGGGATAGCCATTGCATTGGAATGAGAGATCACCTTGCAAGGATCTACCGCGCACTCTCCCTGCCTAGGTGACTAAGCGAGCACAATTACAAGAGTCCTAACTGTGTCTCGCATTATATGCAAACAAATGGAGAGGAGCAGAGACAGAGCTTCGCTTCGGTTAATCTCATCTAGTATCGACTCTGATTGTAGAGCGTTCACTACCTAAGGAACAGCATTGTTGTCACAGAGACTTTGGGTACAATAGTATTAACGAAATGCTCGTCCCGTGTAGTTAGAATCCCCTCCCTATTCCATTTAGCTGTTTATGTACTCTTGAGAAAGATTGTACTCCTTGTGAGTAGCTAAGATATGCAGTTCAGCAGAACTTCGGTGGTCCTGGCATCCCGTATCTGATGCCGATATAGGGGACGTGTGGCACTAAGGTACATGACCAAGCAGTTCATTCAACATCACAATAGGATATTTAGAATGCATTTTATGTGCACAGGGTGCGAGGAAGTCAAGAATTATTGAAGATTTCACAACAGCTTGGGGCTCCTACCAAGGTTGCAGGCTTACTTTTCAGTCTTTCCGGAGGGTTGCATGTTGGAAACCGCGGATTCTTACACAACCCGGATGAGAATCTGGTAAGAATGCGAAACTGCATGTATCCCCTACCATCTCTGCAAATGCTTCTATGGCAGACAAATAGGCTCAGAGCCGATATCTTCTAGCATTGATGATGAGCTAGGTCAGCTAGTGGTACGAATGACTGAAGATACCAAAGGCAATCTCGAAGTAGCCCGTCAACATCTTCAGGCTGAAGAACTTGGGCGAACCCAAGGAGGTCTTCAACTGGAGACTACTGGTTCGCCGTTTTCTCTTTTGGCCTGCTGGGGGCAGCACGCGGTATCGACGAGGGATTGATATCCGGTGCTGTCAGCAGCAAAGATTTCCAGAAGAGATCCAACCATCTTGCACAATTGCAATCCGCCAATAATGCTTCCGCACTCTGCAGATATGGGCGCAAACTGGAGAGAAGACATTTCAGGGATGAGAGGATGGAGGACTGTCTCGCAATGGGAATCTCACTTAAGATGGGTGCACCGTGAATGTTGTCTTTCACGATCCATCGCCCGCCTTCTCCGTCCACAAGGGCCAAATGATCAAGTTATTCCACCTGGATGCAGCTGTGACGGTAGTGCTATGGTGGATCGATGCTGGCTGCGTGCCTTCCATGAGGTCCTCGCACCTCCCTGAATGCCTTGAGCATCGTCTAGCCTGGAAGTTGCACGATGAAGGAAGGAGCGTTGGGATGGCACACGCACAAAAAAATGTGAAGGAAAACCCTCACATCTTTTGATACCTGCTCTAACCCAATTCTTGATCATCAAGTACAACTTGTTTAAGTGATTGATTATCTGCCGTGAGCTATTACGCCTGAAATACACTGCCTTACCTGAGTTATACTATTCATCAAGATGAACACCTCCACCTCAATCTGGAACGAAGATCTGGGCGCCGATGAGAGCCTCTTCCTGTCTCAGGATGAGGTGCAGAAGGCGTTCCTGGAAGACTTGACCCGGGACATCGCATCGAGTTTCGACTTGATTGCTTTGTCCGGTGATGCAGAGAAGAGGAGATCGCTGGCGAGCGAGATCCTTGAATCCAATTCGAGTAAGTTCTTCGATGCACAACCCCAATCCCTGCACAACGAGGATTGTGAGGCCTTGGTCGACATTATCGACAAGGTGCTCGAGGAGATGCAGCAGGAAGCCGGCCAGGAGGCAACTCCGACGACGCTGGCTCCTGGGTCAGGGCCTCTTGCAGGCCTGCCGATGCATCGCCAGATCTTCGATCTGCTTATCCTGAAGACCGCACAACTCCCGTGTGGGAAGGATAAGGAGAAAGTGTACGAGGATTTCATTGCCCGTCATGATCCTGACACACTCTTCCGCTTGCTTGAGGTTTCGACCGACCAAGCTGTTTGGAAAGATTGTGTCGAAGGGCATCGGGCAACAGACCGCTCCTACTTTGCCGATTGGCAAGAGGACTTTGTCTACTTCCGTCGTGGATGGTATGTAGTCTACCTTTGGGACGAGCTCGCCCCAGATTGGTGGAAGATATATGTTGGTCAAGCAGAGACACTGTTTGACAGAGCCAATCAGCACCATGCCAGGAGTAGGAATACGAATTCCAATTCGTTTCTCTACTGGACATGGCGTGGTGATGGGGAAACAGCGAGCTTCTCGCTACGTAAAGGCAAGATCATGAAACTGGGACTCGACGAGAGTGGGTTCGAGGGCGATGACGCCCGGCTGTTTCTGAACCTAGGAGAGATGTGGTTTTCCCTCATCTTTCAGTCTTTACAGAAGCATGACCTGAAGGACTGGTTGCCAGAAGGTTGTGCTAAACCGGATCAGAGTCGGGGGTTGAACGTTGCATTACCTCTGCACCAAGGGTATTCAAGTTCGTCCTACCGGGGATTCGGAAAGTTGTTCAGATCGGAAGATCCTGCGGTACTGGCGTATGCTCGACGCTTGGCGCAGCCTATTTGGGAGAGCAACAAGGAGTACATGAGGAATTACTGGAAGGATCCCAGCAACCGTGCGCGCCGCGATGCAAATCGGGCAGCGCGAAGGGCCGCTGGGACGACGTTGAGGGGCGACCCGAAACTGTACGCCAAGTCCACGAAGACTCTGAGGGAAACGGGGTCGCGCGCGGAGTTTCTCCGTGACCCCGATCTGTCCCGGGGTGAGCCGAGGTCTGTGCAGGTACAATGCAAGGACTGTGGCCACCGGATGGCAGACGAGAGGCCCCGGTTTATCAAAGGGACCGGGGACTATCTCACCCGAACTCACGGCTGTCCGACTTGTCCATTGCGGCCGAACGACGTGAGATTAAAATGCGCCAAATCCAGAAGGGAATTTTTGTTAGTACCTGGGATACACGCTTTTGAAGAAGTGAGGGAGCGTGTCTTTTCTTCACGACTGAAGGATGACACCTGGAAGGCGACCTACCGTGGGTCGTCTTAGCTGGAATTCCTTCCCCGATCGCCCGCTCCGAAGGAGCGCCGCTTGCCTGATCTGCCTTCGCGGGTCCGGTTGAAGCAGCTCGTCAAGACCGAGCCTTATTTTGTCCAATTGAGCGTCTCGTCGCTAGGCTTCTTTTGTGGTCTGGTGTTGAGCGAGTCAGGATGGAATGTCCCTCCTCCTCATGGGAGAGGCAAGTGACAAGTTCGCTTGGGGAGCACTCCTACTCGATTATCGAGGGTAACTTTGTAGAGCGGACGCTGGTTTGTCAAAACGCCCCAAGGAAATGAATCACTGACAATCCCCACGACCTTCGGGTCATGGAGAGCCTACCTTCCTAGTGCTGGATCTTCCAGCAGTATTGCCTGCCTCGGCTTGGGGCAGAGCGGGTGGCAAGCGGCAACCTGACACAGCACCCACCGTCTTCGGCGTGATTACCTTCCTCAGTGTTTTGCTGCCTTCTTCAGCGCGTCGCGCTGGCCTTCTCCTCGGTCTCAGCTTCACGCTGCGATACCTTCAGGACTTGGGACCCCTCGGTGGTGCTTCAGACATCACCTGCCACACGCCTCACTTTCGAAAGCGACATCACAACTAATGCATGTTCTCACCAAACACCTGTTCTCGAAGGAGCACTTACTTCGATATCAACCTGTCTCCTCCAGGCCTTGCCTTAGAGATCGTCGCCCTCCATGTTCTTCCCCGCCAAAAGTCGCTTTGGAAAACCAAGATCATCCTCTACGCGACTCGATCACGCATTTCTTCCCACCACGTCCGCCGTTTCACTGCTTGGAAGTTTCCTGGAAAGGTTTGGCTGAAGGTATGTGGTCCTCCTGACCTGTTGTGGCTGGGTGCAGCCAAAGGCCTTACTGACAGTTTGATTCGCTCACAGGCTATGAACCTTGCCCCCTGTCGTGTCGATCCCACGAACCTTCGCCAAATCAAGAGCGGAGTAGGCAAGACGTACTTGCTGGGCATATTATTCTGCAATGCCACGGCAGTTCAAGAGGTGCAGGAGCCTACCTTCCGAGGCTCCCACTAGTCCTTCCCATCAACCTGGGCCCGGGAGAATAGAGAGCCTTTCGACTGGCTCCTGCGGGTCTCTCCGACACTCTCGGGTCTTCTGTGCCACGTCGGCGCCCGAGCAAGCTGCGGGCGTGCTGAGACCACCCTTTTCTTTTCGATGGCGGAGCTACATGCCGACACGGATTGTGCGATTGTGATTTGCATCGGGGGGGCCTCCTGTCAGTGCCTGTCCTGGACTCGACTTGACGTAGTTTATTGTGGACGAGACAGGGGCACAGGCACTCCCTTGCCTACCTACGGAGGTGTCAAGGGTAAGCTAGTCCTGGTAACCCTTGTACCTTTTCCTTTCGAAAAAGCTGGTTAATGTTTTCACCCCCTAGTCAGGTACACAAATTCGACATCTCGGATCACTGTCTATGAGGTCACGCTGGTGACAGGGGCCCTGGTCAAAATGAAAAATACCTGGCAGGGGAATGAAAACTATCACCTGCAACCTCCGTACGTACGGTTGCCAAGCATGTTCTGGTGGTCAGAGAGCCTACCTTCCTACTGGCTCCTGCTCCTGGGCTCTCTCAATTTTCAGACTGATGGTTGGAGAACCTGCCTTCCAACCGGGTCCCGCTAGTTCTTTCCATACAACGGCAGGAGAGTCTCCTGCTCGTCCTTCTCACATAACCTTGGAGCGGGCTGTCGAAGAGCCCACCTTCCAATCGTCCACTCGGCTCACTGGTTCTTCCCATACAACCTTGGTCCCGGTGTTCGGAGAGCCTACCCTCCGACCGGCTCCTGCTGCATCATCAAAGCTATTCGGATTTTTCCAGCCCAACTCTACCGTGGAGAAGTGAGTGATCTCACACGAGATTTTCCGGATGCCCATCGATTAGGGGCTGTCAGTGGCACTACCGTCGAGAACATGCACCCGTGGCAAGTACCTCAATTTACAACCATCTACTCACATCGTCCCTTTGGCTGCTACTTCTCTTCTCCACTCTGCAAACCCCACGTCTTATTTGCTGACTAGTCAAGATCACACGTGTAGCATCATTATCACGGCTTCGAAGCTTTGATCAAGTCACTCTCCACATTCTCTGAAAAGAGTTGCCATTCGTGAGAGAATTTCCCGGACCTCGACGTTTCTCTGTTCTCATGTCGACTGAAACGCAGTAGTTACCTCGTTCTTGCAGCTTGGTCCCGCGCCCGCTGGCTGAACCAACCACATCACTTCTCTCCTTCCAGCTAGCGGCAAGCTGTACTTTCTTCCTGCAGTTGACCGTCTGATTTACGGTCAGATACACTCAGGTTGCAAACATTACCAGGGCCGTAAAGCCTCAGAGTAATACTACCTACTTGCGCTTGGCACAGGTCAGCTCGACATTCCAGTACCATCTAGGTCTCGCGGCGGATTAGAGATCAGACCCCGGTCGACAAGTCTTGGAGCAGATCTTGAAGTGTTTGGTTCTGTCTTTCGAGCGTTGACATCGCTCTTACCGGAATCTCAGCGCTGAATATGATTTGTGATGGGTGAAGGAGCTGGATAAGATGGAGGGAGACAGAGGAGTTAGAGGACAATGGAGGAGTTGGAGGGAATCAGGAGATGAGAAGATGGAGGAAAGGTACAAGGTGGAGGAAATGAAGGAGGAGGAAGCCAGAGGGAAACGGACAGAATCGAGGGAAACAGAGAAGGAAACAGTGACTCCCGAGAAGCCACAAACAACTGCAGCATCGCCCAATAGCCCGAACTGAGCGACACCAGCATATCGCCATACAGCCAACTCAAGCCTGCCATGACGATTGGCACGCCAGTCATCTCAGCATGCCTTCTTCGAAACAGAGACAAAAACACCCTTCACAAAATAGGCAGACACCCCTTCCTCTTTTTTTTCGCCCAGGGCACACCGGCTAGGCCAGTAGCACATCGCATGACCAAGTCATCACCCTCGCCAGCAGCCCCACGGACGCCGCTGCTGTTCATCATCTCCGCCACCGCTACCAACAAGGGCACCAATGCGCCTAGCATCCCGTCTTTTCGGCCGGCTCGTCATGTGCCCATCAAGACTGACCTATTCATACCCGAAGCGAATCGCTCTGATTCGTGGTGCCCCAACCCGTGTCGTCCCTCACAACTGAACACGGGTATCGCTCCACCTGCTGTCGATGGCCCACCTCAAGACCATTCTACGACATAATCACAGTGTCATCGGCTGCCTTGAGGAGCTCATCCTGGCAGAAATTCTGTGTCATATTGTGCTAGATCCACAAAACAGTCTCCATCAACCAGCCAGTCCTCACAAAACATCCAATCTTCACAAAACATCCAATTTTCACAAAACATCCAATCTTCACAAAACATCCAATCTTCACAAAACATCCAATCTTCACAAACAGGCAGTCTTCACCAACGGGTATCCGATGAGAAGACTCTAGGGCCTCCGACTTGCCTACTCAGCTAGGCACAGTACCCTTACTCGACGCAAAGTCAGAAGCCTTATGGGAATCACTGCCAACTCCTCGGAGCACATTCACGATGCGACTCTATTTCAATCACTACCTCGACGCACAACACTATGGCAAGCCATGCAAGAAACATGATCCACCATGCATCAGAACTGGACCGTGATAACTACAGGGGAGCATACCGCTTGACCACCTCACATGATTGTCTCATATCATTTCCGACTCGGTCTGCCGAGAACATGGCTTTGGATCCTTCAGACAGACTCAATCTCACTCACTCTTGGCTTAAGGAAAATTTCAATATATGACTGAATGATAGGATAGATAGATACTTGGATAGATACTCCAAAAAAAAAAAAAAGTAAGATTCTGGCTAGTCTCTTTCTGACTGGTCCGCATTGCATATAATGGTAGTTGACCGGGTAGTAGGTAGACTCTGCTGCACTAATCTGTTGAGGTTCCATATTGCTGTTCTGAGAATAAATATTGCATGAAGCCAGACGAAGATGCTGAATATCATGAAGCTGTCAACGTCTGCCTCTGTTATCTCTAGACTCGTTAATGGCCCCGATTACGAGCCAATGCGAAATGCCGCAGTACGCCTCTGTCCAGCTTGTGCTTTATGTTGACGTATGTCACTTCTAGGTTCTCTGATGCATGCCACAGAGATGTAAACAAATACCAGTACTTCGTATGTTTCAAAGCTGTCATCCTGGTACATCAAAGCTTCCTCTAAAAGGAGTATCACACTACCTGACTATGAAACTCTACGTCTGTCTGCGTGGCCCCTAGCTTCTAGTGTCGATCCTCAATGCATTGCTTCCTCAAGGCTCGCCGTCCTGGGTTATGACTGAGCAGCAGAGAATGGTCAGAGCATGGTCCTCGGCATGTTCAACACAGCTGCCACTATTATTCATGGAGATCTCAGTTGGGAATTGTTTGGCTCAGTATCACAGTGAGATAGGGTCCCATTTGAGCGTCTCCTCCTTTCTGCCTCCCAGTCTCTGTTTCAATCAGTTCAATGGCATGGTTAAAGAAATCAGATGTGAGTTCGAAGAGAATTTGTGCCAGTAAGCAAGCTCGAAGCCAACGGGGGATAGTACCTGCAGCAATACTTGACGAATAGTATCTTGGGCATCAAATCAGGCTACCAGACCTCACACTCAAGTAAGTCGGTGATCATGCTCATATGTTTCTTCAGGTTGAGGGGTTCATGATGGTACACTTCGTTCATATGAGGAGAGGAAAGACTCATCGCGTGGCATAAGTATTCACGGGTCACCAAGCCTGCATATATGGTAAGTGTTTTGTGCCAGGGAGGCAACTGCATTGATTATTGTCGGCAGCTTTGCTAGGTCCACTTCTCGTCACGTAGAACGCAGCCAGCTTCCAAGCTTAGTTTCTGTAAACCCTTCCTGTATCGCCCAGCCACTTGAAAAGCGATCAACCAGAGGAGGACGTGGTGTCCATCACCACGTCCTCCCCCCCTTCCTGCTGCTGCTCCTGCTCCTGCTCCTGCTCCTTCTCCTTCTCCTTCTCCTTGGCCTCCTTCTCCTTGGCCTCCTTCTCGGCCTTGGCGGCGCGGCGGGCGGCGGCAAACACAGAGGTGCCCTGGCCCTGCTATTGGTCAGTCCAGTACTTATGTGATATCTAGGTAGACGCCTCAAAGTACGTACATGGGGCACCGGGGCCTTCTTCTTCTTCTTCTTGGGCTTCTTCTTCTTCTTCTTCTTGGCCTCCTCGTCGGCCTCGTCCTCGTCCTCGTCCTCGCCGTCCTCGGCGGCGGCGGCTGGCTACAGATATGTCAGTACTGGGCTCACTGATACCTTTATGAAAGACTCGCCCTCTTTTTGCCCTTCTTGGGGCCGGAGGAGGTGGAGGCGGCGGAGGAGTCGAACCGGAACAACTCCCGGTAGAGGGCCGTACGGGCCCTCCTGCCGGAGGGGACCGGCAAAACGATCTCCCGACCGTTTGTTCGTATTTTCACTAAGTACATGCATCTTTAGCTAACTGGTGACTCTAAAGAGCCCTTGGTAAGTACTTACCCTCTTGTGGAGGGGAGGGGGCGCGGGCCGGGGGGGCGGCGGTCTTCTTGCCCTTCTTGGGCGAGGGGGGCGGTGGCGGCGGCGGTGGAGGAGGAGGAGGAGGTGGTGGTGGTGGTGATGGTGGAGGAGGAGGGGGCGGCGTCGGTCATCTTGGTCTATTACATGTCAGTGGCAGGCTCATCAAGTCAATATTGGTCTGCTAGGAGGCGTACAGTATCTCTCGATCTATTTTCAGATTAGCGTACGCGCTCATAGCTTGCCTCCTGGGTTGGAAGGGGAAAGACTTACCTGAATATTCTATTTTTTTTTTAAAAAAAAACCCCTAACACCAGATGATTAGTATATGCTCTATATCACATCTTGAATGGAATACTGCGGAAGATGAATTGTAATGCAACGTGGAACAAAGGGGTGTTCTTGTGGACATTTCACGACGCAGCGTGGAGCGGAGCGGGGGACAGTTGCATCAAGAGGAGACAGTAGACCTCAAAAGTGGTTGAATGAAATAGTGTAAGATATCTCCTCTAATATAGAGAGAGAGCCAAGCCCCCTCAGCATCCTCGAGCCGAGGAGCATGCCAACAGGAGATGCGTGTAAACGGGAGAGTGCAAACAAGACTGTAGGTAATGGTGGAAGTAGAGGAGCAGATTCGCAAGAGACGAAGACGCCCAGGACAAGGATGCAAGAAGCAAGGGACGCAGCTGCACTGAAGCTGGGAATACTGATCGTTGGACATTTGACAATTGAAAGGCAAGAAGCTGGGGAAGGTGGAACGTGGTATTTGAGGCTGGATGCTAGGGGATCTTGACTTACTCAACAGATCGCGGCCGAAGAAAAGAAAAAGAGAGAAAGAAGAGGGAAAGAGGGCCACAAGCTTTACGATGTTTTAGCATGTGGTAGACGGCCACGTTGGCCCTAGGGTTCATCGTGACTTGCTTCAACTGGGAAGGTGCACCTCGGCCGCAACCTTCCAGTACGCTTTGAGACCTCACGGGAACCGCAACAAGAAGGTGCTGATAAGCGACCTACAGGTAACTAACCTTCTGAGAACCAGCAGTGGCACACTCCTGGTAGATCTTCTCTATGTGATGATTGGTATTATTGACCTCATGGTTCAATTACAATGCCTCTACTGTCGACATGCTTGATGTACAGTGACGTCGGTCCTACATATAATTTAGAATGAGACGCCTCGAAAATGATCCTAAGTATACCGTATATTGCCGTGAGATCAACGGGCTTGTGCTCGTTGCCTTCAACGCCTACCATGGGTGGCGTTCGAGGACGGCCACGCTTCCTGCCTCTTTGCTTCACCATTAGGAGATGAGACATCAATGTTATCTTCATATACTTGGCGTACATTATCTACAACTTGGATAACAATGAGATCTTGATAGGAGGGCAAGCTTTCCCATTCTAAGGCGCAGGTGTCCTCGGAGCTGGCACTGGCCTCAGCGCAGACACTGGTGTGGTCATGAACGCGGCCAGGTCGCAGCCAGGATGGCTTTTGGCAGAGAGGTTTTTCACTATCCTGGCTTATATTAATCTTCTCGATTCGCTCATTATGAAGGAATGAGTCCTCGGACGATGATGCAACTCGGGAGCGCCTTGTGTGGCCAGTCCTATAGCAACGGATCAACTCTCGTCTACAAGAAGAGGAGGCTAGGTACAGCGCAAGCAAAGGACATAAAGAAAGCAGGCAACAATAATGCCATAAAATTTAGTGAAAAGAAGTGGACAGAAGCGTCAAGGATGACAGCACCTGTCTACAGAAAGAGAACGCCGACCGTGGACTCGGTAGCAGAGAGAGTCTAATAGACCGGTATCAAGTCAGCATGGCCTATTAACTTAGCAAAAAGGGCGATGACGAAGGACGGGACAAAGTAAAAAGCGAAATTACCTTTTGCCTACCCATGTACCTGAGCTCAGCAATACTTCTAATCTTCCAAGGCTTCAGATCCTTGGAGCCAGGTCGTGTCTACCTAAAGAAACAAGGCTTGAATCAGCACATATAGGTAAAATGACTAGCCCCTAATTTCCAAGAACCAGGCAAGATGGCCGAGCGGTGTAAGTATACTGTCACTAGCCTTTCGTCCCAATAAAAATACTAATCTAGCCAACAATGCACAGCCAAGGCGCTAGCTTCAGGAGAAATCTTGTACACTGCTAGTCACATTGTGGCGTGGGTTCGAATCCCACTCTTGTCATATCTTTTTTTGCTTTTTTTTGCTTTTCTCTATGCCACCCTGGTGGTATAGGTTTGAATCCCACTCTTAACATATCTTTTTTTACTTTTCCTGCTTTTCCCTATACCATCCTAGAGATGGTTTTTATCTGCTGTTTGTTTTCTTTTATTAAAGATAGCTTCAGGAGAAATCTTGTACCCTGCTAGTCACATTGTGGCGTGGGTTCGAATCCCACTCTTGTCATATCTTTTTTTCTTTTCTCCATGTCTCCATGCCATCCTTGGGATGATTTTCACCTGCTGTTCGTTTTCTTTTTTGAAGATACGTTCAACCTAATAGTGCAGTAAGTGTTGCCACCGCCCACTTGGGGGAATGTAAACATTTCAGTTTGATACTGTTCCAGGGGTTTGATCGTGATACTGATGCATGCATGCTTGCGTCCCAACAGGCACATACAACCAATTGTGAGGTTGTAGTTGAATATCATCCTCTATGGCTGTTCCCTTCTTTTGTTGCCTGACAGGGGCCACTGGTTTATTGTTAATGGAATCACTACTAATACTAGAAGCAATGATACTCCATATGTACGCAGTCAAGTGATAGTCGGATTAGTTGACGGAACCTTGAATATGCCCAAACCCATCGCATTTAGATGGTCGGATAGTGATTCTCAGTTCCAGAGCAAGTATGGATATAGATATACATTGTCTTGAAGATTGCGATAGCTCCTGACGAACTCTGTCAACTCTTCTGACCCACGCTTGGCAATCAGCCATGTGCAAATCTCCTAGGTATGAGCGAGGGGTGTTGAGGTATTGTCCAATCCCCATGGGCCTCGACGCTGATGATGATGGTCGAGTCTAGGGCTCCCGCAGCCAAGTGACCTATCAGCCAGCACAGAATTTCGATGACTGGGGGCCACGGTAAAATAGTGGGCAATTGGCGGCGGGCTTTGGCGCATGCGACGGCAGCCCCTCCACTGATTTTTGCCCTGCCCCGCCACAAAACCTGACGTCGCGCTCTGCTGGCCCATAATCATCATCTGTGATTTTTTCCGGCCTCATTTCTCGCCCCTCTCCTGTTGACCACCGTTCTTTTTAGTCCTCCCTGGCTTCGGAGTCGCGCCTCTGATCTACTCTTTTGCGAGGTCTCCTAGCCGCTTTCTGCCTTTGTCGCCATCGTCAAACTCTCGCGACAAGGCCCAACTTTTTTCTCTTTCATCCTTCCACCCCTCCTCCCTCCTCCAAGTCGCATTGAACCGACACAGTCAAAATGAGTGACAAACTTACTCGGTATGCATTACTCACAGCCCACTGAATGAGGGCACAGGCTCTTGATATGTGCACATACACTAACATCGTTGTTCTACCTGCAAGTGTTGCTATTGTCAGCAGTGACAAGGTCCGTTCACCTTTCGAGACATGCCTCGCCCTCCTCGCAATTTCGACGATCTGCCATAGGTGGCGTTCTTGTGCATAGTGTAGTGGCCTCACCAAGGAATATTGCTGACTCTGAGTCTGGAATATTACAGTGCAAGCCGAAGGTATGTTGAAGTTATCCATCACAGGTACCTTCTCCCAAGTGGCGTATGGCTGATAGAGACGCACCGCAGAAATGTCGACAAGAATGCAAAAAGTCTTGCCCTGTCGTGCGTAGTGGCAAGCTCTGCATTGAAGTGACCCCCGATTCGAAGATTGCCTTCCTCTCCGAGAGCCTTTGTATTGGTTGCGGTATCTGCCCGAAGAAGTGCCCCTTTGGCGCAATCACCATCATCAACCTCCCGACCAACCTCGAGACCCAAGTTACACACCGATACTCCGCCAACAGCTTCAAGCTCCACAGACTGCCCATGCCGCGGCCTGGAAATGTCCTGGGTCTTGTCGGAACCAACGGTATTGGCAAGAGTACTGCGCTCAAAATTCTGAGTGGAAAACTCAAGCCCAATCTGGGCAGGTTCGAGAACCCCCCCGACTGGGAGGATGTGATCAAGCACTTCAGGGGCTCTGAGCTGCAGAGTAAGTGATAATGATCTATCAATAAGCTTTCCCAGTCACTTACACAGACTAGACTATTTCACCAAGCTCCTTGAGGATGACCTGAAGGCTGTTGTCAAGCCTCAGTATGTGGACCAGATCCCCAAGGCCATCCGTGGACCCCAGAAGAGCGTCAAGTTTCTTCTTGAGAGCCGTGCTGCCCTCGACAATCTTGACGAAGTCCTGAGCACTCTGGAGCTGAAGCACTTGTACGACCGTGACGTCACTCTCCTGTCCGGTGGAGAGCTGCAGCGTTTCGCTATTGGCACTGTCTGCGTCCAGAATGCCGATGTGTAAGTTGTGACCATCATCTTTGGTGCTTGTTTCCATTATCTAACCTTTGCAACGCAGCTACATGTTTGATGAGCCTTCTTCTTACCTGGATGTCAAGCAACGTCTGAGCGCTGCTCGTATCATTCGCTCCCTGCTTCGACCGGATGACTACGTTATCGTCGTCGAGCACGATTTGTCCGTGCTTGATTATCTTTCCGATTATGTCTGCGTCCTTTACGGACAGCCGGCCGTCTATGGTGTTGTCACTCTACCTCACTCTGTGCGTGAAGGTATCAACATCTTCCTTGATGGTCACATCCCTACGGAGAACTTGCGATTCCGTGAGGAGTCGCTGACCTTCAGGATCTCGGAGGGTACTGACGACTTCATCGCCGATCGCTCTCGCGCATTCCGATACCCCTCGATGGAAAAGGCTCTGGGCAACTTCCACCTCAGCATTGATGCTGGTGATTTTACCGACTCGGAGATCATCGTCATGATGGGCGAGAACGGTACCGGCAAGACCACTTTCTGCCGTCTGCTTGCGGGTGCTCTGAAGCCCGATGGAGCCAAGAAGGTGCCCGAGATGAAGATCAGCATGAAGCCGCAAACTATCACTCCCAAGTTCGAGGGCACTGTCCGCCAGCTGTTCTTCAAGAAGATCCGACCTGCCTTCCTGTCGCCCCAGTTCCAGACCGACGTTGTCAAGCCCCTGAAGCTCGATGACTTCATCGACCAGGAGGTCAAGAACTTGTCCGGTGGTGAATTGCAGCGTGTTGCTATTGTCCTGGCACTCGGTCTCCCTGCTGACATCTACCTGATCGATGAGCCTTCTGCCTACCTGGATTCCGAGCAGCGTATCATTGCTGCCCGTGTCATCAAGCGCTTCATCATGCACGCCAAGAAGACCGCCTTCATCGTTGAGCACGACTTTATCATGGCGACGTACCTTGCTGACCGTGTCATTGTCTTTGACGGCCAGCCCGGTATCAAGTCCCACGCCAATACCCCCGAGTCGCTGCTGACCGGCTGCAACACCTTCCTCAAGAACCTGGACGTCACCTTCCGTCGTGACCCTGTCAACTACCGCCCGCGTATCAACAAGCTGAACTCGCAGCTCGACCAAGAGCAGAAGCTCAGTGGCAACTACGTAAGTACTTTCGAATTCTTGTTGAAATATATAGAGCACGACTAACAGACATTCGCAGTTCTTCTTGGAGGAAGACAAATCAACATCATCTTGAAAAGGGTGTCCCAAAAGGCACCCCTAACTATCAGCATTTCCCTCCTCGTCATAATCACCACGATGCATCGGGTTTCGGAGTTGTAGGCGTTCAAAATGGAAAGGACCGCTCGGGAGGCTCCTCGGGGCATGAGCTTGGTTTAGAGGAGGGCGGCGCGAATGAGGACGATGATCCGGACGACTAACGACGGCGACGGCAGTCTATCCCCTGTTGTCTGGTCCTACGAAAGCTCTGGCCTCTCGAATTGTTTTGCTTTTTCGACGCCTCGGGGACTGAGTTTGGGTCTCAATATGATTCTAGCACTCATCCCTTTCTTTCCTTTGTGTTCTCTGACTGTTGTTGTCATGAGAGCCATCTTTTGTAGATTGAGGGACAACGGATCAAGCAGGATGACTGCCGTCAGGGTCTCCATGGTGAAGATGGGAATGATCATCCCTTGGAGACTTGGGTCGCCACCTGGGTGCACGTTATAGGGCAACTGAGCCAAGTGCACACATATCAAGTAGAAACAAGTACAAGTAGTCTAGAAATGAGACACTCGACCAATACACCAACTTTGTGTATTAACTACTATCTACTGGGCATTACATAACTACCAAGAAATGGGAAAGTGAGAGCTGCCTGCAAGTGAAAAGGGGCGAAAGAAGATACACACCACTAAAAGAAGATGTATCGCCCATCGGCCTGAACGAGGTTCGCAGACATCGCGGGCGTGAGTGTCGTCTGAGCCACGAGTGGCTTCCGTCCCTGTTGGAGAGTTGAGTTTCGTAAAAGAATAATCACTTATACGTACTCAAGAACGATGAAGCTCTCCCGTCCAGAGAAAAATCCAGCCCCAAACGCCAAGTTGGGTGAGGGGACCATTCGCCCACGCTGATTTTGAGAGTGGTGAACTGCAAGGCATGCGTTAAACAAACATTGCAATGGGGGAAATACAAAGTCTGGCCCTCTAATCCTCCTCGATTTCACCCTCCTCGCTGCCGCTGTGAACACCCGCAGGGTCATCCTCCGCGGGGGCGGCGGCGGCCGCCGCCTTGGGAGGGGGCTGCGGCGTGGCCGTCCTCTTGGAGCGTACACGCTGGTCACGGTCTCGCTGCGGCGTACGCTCGCGTGAGTCGCGCGGAGAGGATGGGCGGGGCGGGATGCCGCCGGCGGGCGGAGTGTACTCTCTGCGGAGCCGCTGGAGGAAGTTGTCAGCATGGCGTTGGCCAAACCAGGTGGTGTCTGTCAGTCTGACCTTGTGTTCCCGAGGGTCCCTCCTATCCGTATCGTCATCGTCGCCGCGGCGACGGCGGGAAGACGAAGAGGTCGATCCCGGCTTGTCATCACCGTAGTTGAGCTCGTCCGCATTACGGTCAGTAGTAGCGCGGCGCCGGTAAAGTCGCTCTCGCTCCTCCTCCCGGTCACGTCGCTCCCTATCATACGCGCCGGGCCCGTCATCACGTCGGGGACGAGGCGGACGATCGTCATCCCGATAGCGATCCCCACGGTCATCACGCCGGTCACGCTCCCGAAGCCTATCACGGTCGCGCTCCCGCTCGCGGTCACGGTCGCGCTCCCGATCACGCTCTCTATCTCTCTCCCGCTCCCGCTCGCGATCGCGGTCTCGATGAGAGTCGTAATGGGAATCATTAGATCTCCTGTCTGACAAGAGGCTTTCTGCCATGCTTGTCTTTCGGTAGTTGCGCTCGCGTTCGGCAATGGCTTTGCGTCGGTCTGCTTCATACGAGTCTTGCTCAGGGCTACGACTGCGGCCACGGCCGCCATGGCGATGAGATCGCTCACCTCTATCTCTCTCACGATAGGAGCGATCCTCTCGCTCACGCTCGCGCCGTCGGTGGCGATCGCGGTCTTCGTCTTCTTTCTCACGCAGACGGCGAAGGTACTTATCAAAGGCGGCTTGTCGGGCCTCCTCAGAGGAGACGGCTTGGAATTCCTCGGCCTTAAGGAGGCGGGGCTTGATCTTCTCATAAGTGTCATGCACCGTAATGGGAGGTTCCATACGCTTCATCAGAGACCGTAGGTCGTCCAAAGCCCGGCGCTGTTGGCGTTCGGCCTGGCGATCTTCATCGGATCGTCGCTCCTTCTTCTTCTCTTGCAGCTGTGGAACAGGGGTCAGCGATATAACGGCTCAGTAAAAGAAAGGGGCGGTTGGAACTCACGCGGTCGAATATTAAGTTCGAGATGTCTCGGTCAATGTTAGCAGTGCGACGATCATTCTTCAAAACCGAAAGGAAGTCATCGAATGTGGTCTTGGGTGTAACCTCAAAACGGGCGTCCTGATGTAGAGTCAGTCAAGCCGTCCTTTTACGTTTCCGAAGGTATTTTGAGAGTAGACTTACGTCAATGACATCTTCGACATCGTTACGTGTGCCCCGCAGAGCACGCTCTTCCTCCTCCACGAGATCCCAGAACAGCTCCTGAGGCGTGGAACCGCCCTGACCAAGCATAGCCTTGTAGCGATCATCATTCTCAATCAAAGGGTAGACCTGGCTCCATTTCGTACCGGCTTTGATCTTGTGGTCACGACGAAGCTCATTGAGCAGGGTCAAGAAGCTGTCGCGGGCTTGGCGCTCCTTGCGAAGCTTCCTCGTCTTCTCCTCTTGTCTTGAATCATTAAAGGCGCGCTCGAGAGCTTTCATGTGAGTCTGGAAGACAGTCAAGAGATCAAATCTGCTCAGAGTCTGGAACTTCTGGTCATTCTTGAATGGTGGCGTTGCTGTGATGATATCCTGCGCCTCAGACCAACGAGTGTACGGCTCAAGGTTCAGCTTGGGGAGAAGATCAATCAAACCGTCCATAGCACTCTTATGCAAGGCCGCTTGCTGTTCTCGGTGTGTTTTCTTCAGCTCGTGAACGTAGTCTTCAAAAAGCTGCCGACGCTCGTTCTCGTTGTTGGTTGACCGGAAAATGGTCTCACCCTCGATGATGGGTCGAGCTGTCTTCCAGTGAGTATAGTGTTTAATTTCTGGATGACTCTTGAGCATGGTCGCAAAATCGGCACGTAGCTTGGTCAGCCTCTCCTTGGCTCGTTCCTTGTCCTGCGCGATCATGTCATGGCAATACTTTTCGAAAGCAGCCTTCCGCTCACGAGGATCTTTGATGGCCCGATACTGAGGATCCTTGACAATGACACGGAGTGTTTGTTCCCAAGTCCAATCGGGCTGGACCTTGCTCTGACGGAGCAGCTTCACAAACGCCGCCTCGGCTTCCTCTGGACTGTCGTATTCAGGCTCGTTGCTTTCCGGCACGAAAGCTTGCGCGCGTGGGTCGCCAAAAGTCAACTGGCGCGATTCGGGCACAAAGTCTCGCTGATCGCGGCTGTCGTACCCAGAGCCGCCATAGCTACCTGCTGGGGGGCCAGCTGCCGGAGTGCTGTCGGGATATTAGTCTGAGGACTTCAAGCATCGTGGGGAGAAACATACGCTGGGGGGGTCTGAGTGCCCGTCTGACCAAGTGCCTTTTTGTAAGCCTCTGGCATTTCCCAAACACTCTGTTTCGTCTCCGTATGGTACCAGTATTTGCGTCCTCCCTCCGCGGTATACTCTTTCCACGGCTGATTCGCCAGGGCGCGCTATAAAGCGAGGAAGGTCAGCGTGATCTAGAAAAACGTGAGTAAACATGAAATATACCTCAGCTGGAGTCATCATCTCCTCCGGCTTCGTCCATTGCGTCGCTTTGGTGGCGGAGTTGTAGTAATAAACGCGACCGTCTGGGGTTCGAAACTCCTGCCATGTTGAAGGAGGTGCCTGGCCATAATGGCCGTTGGCGCCGTTCATGATCGAGCCTTGGTTTTCTCCTGCTCAGCAGTCGAGCTGATTGGCAGGGATAACGTGTTCAGGGAGCTTCTTTCTCAGCCGTGTCCGAGAAAAGTGATGGGGTTAGAGATGTCTACGTCGCGATGGCTTGGAAAGAGGCTGAAGAAATAACCTCTTTCCCTTTATTGGGGTCGCCACGCTAGTCTCCAATAGGCAAAGCGTGTCGCATGAGAAGCATGGTGCACAGACCTCCCCTAATTCCGAGCACCTACCTAGTGTGGTCAGCCCCACAACCGGCCACACCCCAATCCCGGACAGCAGTGCAAGGGGGCCAGAATCACCACCAATTTAATAAGAGAATTTTTATTTGCACCACCATGATCCGGAAAAATCGTGCAAAATTGCCAAATAGGTATATAGGTCCAGATAAAGCCATTTCCGCCGTGAGATTTACAATATCGATCATTTTTGTAGTGTTTTAGGCCTCCCAGCCATCTAGTCCTCCTTCTGGCCGCTGGCCTTCTTCTAGGCCTCCTGAATAGCCTTAATGTTAATGAATTTATTATTGGGGTCAGGAATAACTCTAGATTACTTATACAGCCTAAAGGCCTCTACCTCAACCTCTAGACGCTCAATCTTATTAGTGAGAGCGGCTATTTCAGTGTTCTTTTGATTGAGAGCTCCTGTAGCATTAGATAGTAGTAAGTGAACATCTAGTTGCTCTAGATCTAGTCTAATCTTAATCTGATAAACTGCCTTCTATAGCTCCTTGCTGTACTAGAATAGCCCTCTAGCCTCTTTAGCCTGGCTATTAGCCTTATCAGGGCTCTATAACGATCCTTAATCCTAAGAGGTACGACTACTTCATAGGACTGGAGGTGTGTGGGTTTATATAAGCAGTAGGTGATAGGTGCTGCTGAGCACTAGTGGTTGATTATAGCTAAGATAGCTTTACTCAAAGGTACTTTATTAAATGAGATACTTTAAATACTAGAGAGCTATCTAGGGTAGGTATCTAAGGGTAGATATATGTCTGTATATATAGACAATAGATTATAATAAATCACTATAATCTATAGTGACTAGATTACTTATGATTACTTACTCTATAATAATTATGTGGTCTATATACTTCTGTCTATCTTATTATATTGACCACCCTTAGGGTAGTACCCTATAGTAATAGCAGTTGATTCTATGATATGATGTCCTCCTTTTAGGTTGATATCCTAATAACCTAAGGCTGTTTTTAAGATCTATCTACCTAGAACTAAAACTTCTACTATAGGTGTTAAACTCTCCTCTTAATTCTTTTAGTATCCTTCTGATAATATATTCTTAGGTTGTATTAAGAAATAGAAACTTTCTAATTCTTCTGAGAAATATAAGGCTCTTACTTATATAATTAAAGACTATAGTTATAAAGTTATATCCTATTTCTAGTACTTTAATTATTCTCTGTCTTATTAGATAATAGAAGAGATAAAGAGGTGTACTAAGTATATTAGAAGAGGTTAGTTATATAATAATACTGGTATTCTAATAGGCTCTTATTAGTAACTACTTTCTCTATTATCTTTCTATTATATTAACTGACTTTTCTGTCTAGTATCTTAGGTTTTAGCTAAATAGAAAAGACTGAAATAATAAGAGGAAGTAGGTAAGGAAATAATTAAGTCTATCTTTAAGTATCAGTAAGCCCTTTAGAAAGAGTTTGACAAAGCCTTTACCTATCTTTCTTATATTTATAAATAAAAATATAATATCTATAAGTATTTATAAAAGATAGTAGCCTAAGGTTTATAAAATCTAGATAAATTAGAGGAAATAAAGTAAAAGAAGTCTAAAGTCACTATATAAAAGTCTTCTGTAGTCCTAGAGGTATAGGCTAATAATAGTTTTAATATAATTAACTAGAGTACTATTAGTTTAGGTAGTAGTTAGTTGCTAACTAATCTTAACTTTATTAGTAGAACTATTAAAGCTTCTATTAGTAATATATTAGGTTCTTAATAGGTTTCTAGATATTTTCTATAGTGTTATAGCCTTTCTATTTAATTAGATACTTTCTATCTAATATTCTCTGCTTAAGTATTTATTTAACTTTATACTCTTCTTCTTCTACTTCTACTTCTACTGGTTTCTTTAGTCATACTTCTAGAGAGGCTGGTTCTAGTAAGAAAATATAAAAAATTAGATAAATTTATATTATCTCTAGTAATAATAGTCTGTAGTTAGATATTAAGATTTTTTATATAATCTTAAATAGTCCTAGTTTCTTATAGTCTAATTTATTACTAGATTGTTTTATAGTAATATTTTTCTATAGTAGATAGACTATATCTCTCTTTAAGAAGGATAGTCTCTTTATCCTTTTTCTATTATAGTAATAGTAGACTTATTCTTAGATAAACTTAAGTTCTATTTTTAAGGATGTATATAGCTTCTTAAGATATTCTACCTTAAGAATAATAGATTCTATATTAATCTTATCTTATAGTTATTAGTATACTTCTAGGTTTTAGCTATAGTTAGTAAAGAATAGTAAAACCTTTATTATTTTAGTAGGGATATTATTATATATAAACTATATAAGTAGTAATAGCTCTATCTAATTATCTTAATTATAGTTAATATAGTTATATAGATATACTTTTAATACCTAATTTAAATATTCTATCTATCTATTAGTTTATAGATAATAGGCTATAGATAGTTTCTTATTAGCTTTAAGTTATCCTATTAAGAATATATAGAATTTTAATATATATATTAGTTCTTAATCTATAATAATCTTATATAGTATTCTATAGTTAGCTACTATTATTTATAGGAATATAAATATAAGTTGTTCTACTATATATAACTTATTAAATAGAAGGAAATATATATACTTAGTAAGTCACTCTAGTATTATTAAAATGCTATTATACTTTATTTTAGTAGTTAGGTCTTTAGACTTTAGTAGTTTAATAATAAAGTCTATAGCTACTAAATATTAGGGTTATTCTAGTATAGGGATAGGCTATAGTTCTCTATAAGATAGATATCTTAATATCTTATTGCTATTATATTTATAATATGATTTTTATATCTTTCTGACTATCCTATTAAGTCTAGAGAAGTTATATATTTCTTAGACTCTTACCTTAGTCTATATAATTTCTTTATACCTATAAGTTTTAGCCTTATATATTTCTTATATATATTTCTCTCTTAAGATTAAGGGTAAGTATAATTATCTATTATATCTAACTAGTAATCTCTTAGATAGTTTTTTCTTAATATAGAGATTGTTATCATATTACTAATAGATTTCTTATTCTCTTATTATGTCTAGTAGTATGATAAGTTTAATAAGTATGATTTATTAAGAAATACCTCCTATACTCCTATTAGTTTATATCTATAGAATGGCTTATGTTTCTATAGATATCTTCTATTTATAGTCTAGCTTTTAGATAAGTATATCTACTCTACTATTTTTAGATCCTTTATAATATATAATTTTAAAGTTAAATTCTAAGAGGAATTCAGCCTATTATATCTATCTCTTATTAAGTTCTTTTAATATAGTAAAGTATATTAGATTCTTATAGTCAGTAAATATTATAATTAGATGTTGTATACTACTTAGGTATAGTCTCTATTCTTTAAAATACTTAATAATCACTATAAGTTTCTTATTATAGATTTAATAGTTAAGTTTTAGTCTATATAGCTTTTTTAAAAAATATACTATTAGATAGAGTTTTCTATTATTATTATATTGTCTAAGTTATCCTCTAAGGGTGTAGTTAAATATGTCTGTTTCTAGCTTATATAGTTAATTAGGGTTGGCTATTTATATAACTAATTCCTTAAGTATATTCTTTTTAACTTAGTTAAATACTACCTAGTACTTAGATATCTATTTAAACTTAGTATCTTTCTTTATAAGGTTGGTTAAGAGGATTATCAATCCTCTATAACCTTTTAAATACCTCTAGTAGTAATTAGTAAATCTAAGAAAAGATTATACTTTCTTAATATTTATTAGTATAGGCTAGTTCTTAACTACCTCTAGTTTTACTAGGTCTATCTAGACTTATCTAGGTTTAATTAAGTATTTAAGATAAACCACCTCTTAGATATAGAACTAACTCTTATCTAGGTTAATTAATAGATTTATATTCTATAGGGCTTATAGTATCTAGTAGACATACTTCTAATACTGCTCTAGGGTTTTAGAGTAGATTAGGATATTATTAAGATAGATAATAATAAAGTTGTCTAGATACTTCTATAATATATTATTAATTATATTTTAAAATAAGGTAGGTATATTTATAAGGCTAAAGAGTATTATAAGATACTTATAATATCCTAGATAGGTATAAAAGGTTGTTTTCTACTTATCTTCCTCCTTAATATATATAAGGTTGTAGGCACCTAGTAGGTTTAATATAGTAAACTAGTTAGCACTATATAATCTATTATAGAGTTTAGTAATTAATAATAATAGATATCTATTCTTAATTATAATATTATTAAGTTGTTAATAGTTAATATATATTCTCTATTTACTATTCTTCTTAGGTATCTAGAGGATAGGATATCCTGCTAGTAATTATAATAGTTAAATATATCTCTTTTTAAGGTTCTTCTTAAGATACTTCTTTAGCTTACTTAGTTATAATTTATTTAGCCTATAGATCTTCTAGAATTTTAGCTATATCCTTAATTTAAGAGATATCTTATAGTTATAATATAAATATAGTAGTAATCCTATCTCTAGTTCTTTTTAGAACAGTTTATTATACTAGTGATATTCTTCTAGTATTATTATAATCCCTCTAGATATATTCTATTTTAGGTATAATAATGCTCTATAGATATATAACTTATATATATTCTGTTTCTAAGAAGCTATAGAGGCTAAGTTCTTCTCTAATTATTCCTAACTAGATCTTATTATCTAGATTAGCTGGTTAATAAACTAATTAATAGTAGGGTTATACTTCTATAGCTATAATAGTCCTAATATTATATTATATCCTACTATATTAGTAATATTTAAAGTAATTAGTATTTTCTTAAAGTTAACTATAATAGAGATTTATAACATCTTTTAGTTAATAATTCCTCTATTATATTAGACTAGTTTCCCTTCTACTATATATAATTTATAAGGGTCTTTCTTATAAGCCTATAGTATGTTAAGTTTATTTACTATCTATAATAATATAAAGTTTTTCTAAGCTCTACTATCTATTAGCATAGTAGTCTTATATCCTCTAAGCTATATTTTTATTATAAATAATAATAGGTTAAAGGTTGCTTATAGACCTTTTATCTTTCTACTATTTATTTAACTCTCTAATAATAGTACTTATTATTTTTTAGCACTAATTAACTAATAGCTTCTTTATAGAGTTATCTTACATACTCTATATATTATATTAGTTGTCCTATACTTAATTATTCTTTTAAGGTAAGTATAGTAGCTTTAAGCACTTAATTATAGTATCTTATCTATTATACTAGCGCTTTATACTATTGCTTATAGGCTAAATTAAGGCTGATCTATAGGTTTTAGTTAGCTTTCTTCTTAGCTTATTCTATTATAAGCTAGATTCTTTATACTCTCTTCTTTAAGACTTTAAGATCTAGAACAGGCTTATTCTCTAATAATTTATCTAAACTAGATGTTAGGATAGTAGAGGCATCCTCCCTTATCCTTTATATTCACTTCTATATTAGGCTATATTAAAGATATACTCTCTTCTTTCTGATTTCTTCCTATTCTTCTTATTATTAATACTATAACTCTAGTTTTTCTAAGCAATAGATCTTATATATCACTATAGTATAACTACTTATTAGTTATCTTAGGATATAGTTAATAGGGTAGTTGTCTCTTATTTATAGAGTGGTATACCCTTATACTATATCCTAATAATAGACCTTCTAATACTTTAAATCTTCCTCTAGGTAAGTATATAGTAGATGTTCTTTCTATTACTAGAGTATGAATTAATACTTTAACTTTTTTACTAGATGCCTTAAGTACTTATTAAATATATAGATAGCCTATAAGACCTTCTAATACTACTTATTTTAGTAGTATAGTTATAGGTCTTTCTATTCTTATATAGTTTTCTTTTTCTTCTCTATTACTACTTATTAAGAGGTTATTCTAAGAAGTATGATAACTATTTATCTTCCTATTAATACTAGTTACTATAGGATGATTATAAGTCGCTTATTTCTTTCTTCTTTACTCTTTAGAATTAGGGTAAATAGGTTTTCTTCTCTTTCTTCTTATACTTTAAACCATACTTATATTTACTTACTATTATCTTCTATAGTTATTAAATAGTTATTATAGCTTAGAAGGAATTTATTTCTACTGTCTAAGTTATCTCTTAAGCCTACTTATACTATTTCTAATAGAATAGGCTTTTACTTCTAAGTACTAAATATATACTATTCTCTAACTATAATAACCTTTAGCTATCTAGTGATCTTTAGAAACTATCCTAAGGTTTCTTTACCTTATAGGTATACTAGGTAGAAATTATTATAGTATATAGTCTAATACTTATTATTATATATATTTCTCTAAGCTATATTTACTTATTATATTAGCTTTAATATTCTTTTATACTTTCTCTATCAGTAGTTATAGGTAAAGTGCCTCTTCTTACTATAATTATAATATGTCTTATTATTATTATATTTTATAGTATTAAGTTCTATTAGTCTAGTATATTAGATATTCTTCTAAGTAGTAGTTCCTTTTTATTAATAGACCTTTCTTCCCTAATTTAGGGTATATACTATCCTTTATAGTAGTTATTAGTTTTTCTTTTTACTATATCTTTTCTAGAGCTAGTTATTAATTCTTATAGTAAGTACTATATAACTTATAAAGTCTTTAGATCTTTCTATCTTAATAAGTTTGTCTTTTATAACATCTTTTAGCCTGTTATAGAAGGCTGTTATAAGTAGTTCTACATCTTATTTTAGATGACTTATTACTTATTAGAACTTTATTAAATATTAGATTGCCAACCTAGTCTATTATAGGTTTTAAAGCTATCTTTCTACAGCTTATTCTTTATTAAGGTCTCTAAACACTTCTTTCAGTCTGGCTATAAACTTTCTAAACCCTCTATTAAATATAATAATAGTTTTTATATTATGATTCTTATTATTATACTTTAAATAGTCTTATAAGGTTAGTTTAAATTAGGTAAGTACTTCTCCTTCTAGATAATTTACTATAAAGAGCACTTTATCTACTATAAGCTTATAGTCATCTAAATAACACTTAAGGTAGGCCTTTATTTAGGTAAGCCATCCTTAGAGGTCCTCTTTCTTCCTGCTAAACTTTCTAGGTTTTTCATACTTTAGTCCTTCTTTTATAGCTTGGCTTCCTTAGAGGCTATTAACTTAGTTCCTAAGTTAAAGGATTTTATTATATGCCTACTCTATAGTAAAAGTAGGCCTAGTATTAGTAGAAGATACTTTTTCTGATATGATTTCTATAAATATTACTTAGAGTACAGTTTACTTACTAAATAAGAGTATTTAATATATAATAATTCTTAATCCTAAGAGATATAACTACTTTATAGGACTAGAGGTGTATAGATTTATATAAGTAGTAGATAATAGGTATTATTAAGCACTAATAGTTAATTATAGCTAAAATAGCTTTACTTAAAGGTACTTTATTAAATAAGATACTTTAAATACTAGAGAGCTATCTAGAGTAGGTATCTAAAGATAGATATATGTCTGTATATATAGATAATAGATTATAATAGATCACTATAATCTATAGTGACTGGATCACTTATAATCACTCACTTCACAGTGATTGTATGGTCTGTGCGCTCCTGCCTATCTTATCATGCTGACCGCTCTTAGGGCAGTGCCCTGTGGTAATAGCGGTTGATTCTGTGACAGGCCCTCTAGTAGCCTCTTAGCCTTATCTATAATATCTTTACTCTTTAGGACTCTTACTGGATTTAAAGGCTAGATCTCTATACCTCTAAATCTACTATAAATATTAGCTATAGTAAAAGCTCTCTCTAATACTGTAAAATAGGCTATAAGAAAGTGTCTCTTTTAAATAGAGGTTAAATAATCATAGCTATTAAGCCAGGCTGTCTCTTATATATAGTAGGTCTTTAGAGGTCTAAAAACAGCTATATTAAGTAGCTATATTAGATAGCTTAAATAGGCTGGTAGATAAATTAATTAGACCTATTAATTCTAAGCCTTCTATATAAAATCAGCGCCTATATAGGTGGTATAGTTATTAAGAATAAGGATCTATTAGTAAGCTAGATAATCTAGCTTAATCTCCTTTAAGAAGATCTTATCTAGCTAATTATAGGCTATTAAGATATTTATCCACCTATTTTTACTATAGGAATACTTCTAGTCTCTGATTTTAACTAGAAACTACTATTCTTAAAGAGCCTTACTAGTAAATATAACTATAGAGGTTAGGTACTAGCCCTTAGCTAAAATTATCTCTCTAATTATTATCTATTTATAGTTATTAAAGTGCTAGATATATATATATCTTATTAATATTATCTCTAATACTTTATCATCTCTAGCTAGTCTAATAGAAACTCTAGTCTTATTAAAGTTATAGATATCCTTTAGCTTAATCTTCTTCCTCTCTTAATAGTACCTAAAGTATTAGTAGAAGTCCTCTAACTACTCTTTTATAATAGATTTAACATAAATAAATTTAAGGTATTTACTATACTTCTTTCTAATATATTAATAACAGCTTAAAAAAGCATTAAGCTAGTAGTTACCTAGGGGGTTAGAATCACCTACAGTATTAAGGATCTTAGAGGCAAAATCTCAGGCCATTTTAAAGGTAGGAGCCCGGCCAGCTAATTCCTTATTTAAGATCTAGTTAGCTAGGAAGTCCTCCTAATCAGAAGTAAGGTGCTATAAGCCCTCTTTGGCCCAGACCTTTAACTAGGAGCTATAGAGTCAATCGCTTAAGATAGAACGGGGCACACTGTGACCTTCGGCAGATTTCTGTATTGAAAGTCCCCTATTTTCGACCGCATCAATCGCCTCCTGAATCGCCTCTTCTCAGCAATCAGAATGAACCATTTTGCGACGGAATGCGATGCTTTTTGGTGGTGCTGTGGGTGGGAATAGGCACAGGGGTTGGTCGGGTTTGGGTTGTGGATGGGTGTCTGGTTGAGGGGGGTGGCCGGTTGTGGGGCTGGCCACACTACCTACCTAGGTACGGAGTAGGGAGTACAGTGACTAACTGCACTGGAGCTTTCAGGGGTTCAGCGATAGCTGTTAGCTGTTACACGGTAGAAGTGGACCTTAAGCTGCACTCCACTGCCACTATGATGGATGGATTGAAGCAACGCGCCCTCGAGTCTGTCTCGCACTCCCATGTCCGATGCGCACACAGCAATAGCAACAATCCCACTGAACTATTCCGAGGAAACCCCGTACAGGCCGCAGTCTCTTGGGACCCTTGATCTCCAGGATTGTGCAAACCCACGAGCAGCAACTGTGCACCAGCCAAAGCATGGACAGCTGAGGAGCTTGTGCTGTGCTGAAACCCCTCCTCGGTGACTGCAACATGGCAGTCGCACAGCATGAAGATACTCAGGGCGGAGATCAGGACTTTTTACAGCAGAGCCATTTGTCGTACATTGTCCCCTACGCTACAGACTTTGATATTGAACAAGTCCTTCGGGAAGGCGAGGACTCACACAAAGCCCTCTTCGAATCTATCGAGCAACGCCCATGGCTCTTCTTCGGTATGCGCCAGCGTGTCGCCCCCATGCTTTCCCCTTGGTATATCACTGCTAACATATGGCAAACAGACGAGACCGTCGACATATATCTAATACTAAGGACCGTATACAAGAACGAAGCCGCGCTGCGGTCTTACCTCGCTCGTGTAGTGCTCACTCTCGAAGCACAGATCGTCAACAGCCATGCCGGAGACCGTGAGCATGCACCGGCGACAGAGGTCATACACAATGGCACGGTACCAGAAACGGAAGACCCATTGATCGTCGTCGACCAGGCAGATGGCTCGGAAGACGATGACGGAGAAGAACAGCATGTTCATGCAATCTGGAAGCTCCCTGTCTTTCTTGCTAGGCCCAGGTTGAGGCTCCAGGGACCGTCAGTAACATTCACAGCTTCTGCTGCCCTCAAGCCGGCGCAGGACGCGTCAGCGGCCGAGAAGGACGGCTACCTGGCGAGTAGGACTCCGTCAGGAATGAACCTGCTCGACGCTTTTGCCAGTGACCAAGCGTTGGGCGGTGTGAAACCCCGGCTCTCCGCGCAGCGCGTGTCAAAGGTCGCTCCGGTCACACAATCGAGGTCACAACATCGTCCCATCAAGGGCCTTCAACACATCACCCTGAAGATATACCCAGCTCTACACACCAGGGTCCGCTTTGCGAGACCAAATACCGTTCCCTCGAGCCCGACAATACTTGCCATGCTCGAGATCGACTTCACCCCCTTTTTCGACTGCGAGGCCCTCCTCTCCAAGATAGACCTCTTCCTTCCCTCCGGCGTGATCACAGACCTAAACCAAGAACCGGGTCTCGCTCTGCCCCTCTCGTGCGTCGCCCACGACCACATCACCTACCTCTACCGCCTCGCGCCCCAGGAGCGAGAGCTCGACCCGCTCCGCAACCCTACCCAGGACCTCGACATCAAGATCGAGGTCTCCGCCCTGGTCAAGCCGGGCCTCTGCACCCCAAAGCTGACCATGTCCTGGATTACGCCCATCGACTTCACCCCGCCCGTCAACCCGGGCTTCGGGACCCCCATCGCCAACCCTTCCGGGCTCCAGCGCGCCCACCGCCCCTCGCAGCTCTCCATCGACGGCTCCGCCTCCCTCACCGCCCCGGCAGTCAGCCGGCCCGACGCCCTCCCGGCCCTCGAGGCCGCCACCGCCCGCACCCCCGAGACCGCGGTCCCGGACTTCGGCATCACCATGACCTTCGCCGCTCCGCAGGGCCCCGTCTACGCCGGCGAGGAGTTCAGCTGGACCGTCTTCGTCGTCAACCGCACCTCGCCGAGCGCGACCGGCGCCGCCCCGGGCCCGGGACAGGCGGGCCCTATCGCCGCGCCGCCGGCCCCGCGCAAGCTCGCCCTGTTCGCCATCCCGCGCCGGCACCGCCGCAACGACGCCCACCGGACGGTGCGCCCGCCGTCGCGGAGCGGGCGCAGGGGCCCAGCGGGGTCCGCCGCCGAGCAGATCGCCGACGCGGTGCTCGACGAGAACGTCGTGCACGCCATGCAGCGGACGTCACTCGTCGACGCCGCCGAGGTGGTGTGCCTGAGCTCCGACACGCGCGTCGGCCCCCTAGCGCCCGGCGCGTGTCACGTCGTCGAGCTGCGGTTCCTGGCGCTCAAGGCGGGCGTGGTGGGCGTCGAGGCCATCAGGGTCGTCGACCTGGGCTCGCAGGAACACGTGGACGTGAGAGAGCTGCCCATCATGGTTGTGGAGGAGAGGGGGCAGGCGGCATGAAAATTGCTTTGTATCAAATGAGCAAGATTAGAATTCACACCGAAATAGAATGGCATGGCATTCAAATGACATATGCTGCGTATTCGTATTCATAGGCTAGCCCAGTGGTTGAGTTGTTCATATGGCAACTCGTCTGTCTATACATGCATTGTAAACAAAGACTCCATAAGCTATGCATCATAACCACAATTCCATGACCCTATCCTGAACCCTGAAGGTTTCCCAAACAACAGAGAGAAAGGTCATGATCATGCCAAGTCGTCCAAATCCTCATCATCCCAGCCTAAACGCTGGTAAATCGTCTGGTTCTTGCCCGCCGGTGTGGCGGGATCCATCTTTGCTGCTTGTTTCTGTGGCGAAGCTCCGATCACCATGTGAGCCTCGGTCGGTGCATTCCCAGCACTCGTCTGCGATGCAAAAGATCGTGGCATCGCGGGTTTTCTAGCCTGTAGGGGTGATGATGCTGGCACCATATCGTCCGCATGTGGGCTCCTGGACACTTGCAGCGTCGCTGATGTCCGGCGATATGCCACAGGCGAGTGTCGCACGATGGACGGCGATGAAGGTGGCACGACATCCTCCTGAGCAGACCTTGACTGCCTGCCTAACGCACTCGACGGCCGAACGGGCGTCGCTTGTACTTTTCTAGACGTAGGTGTGTCACCCACGTTTGGCGAATCGAAGAGACTCTTTCGCCTCGGCGGAGCCGTCGACGACGATGGCACCGAGTCAAAGAAGCCGGGTACTTGGGGACGCTCGCTTTTCCCGCTAAAGGATTCTCCGGCGAGTGCGTCCCTGAACCTGTTGTTGACCGGCGTGGCCTTCACAACACGGTCAGAAGAGGTACGAGATTGAGTCTTTTGCTTTTTCCGCGATCCAGCGCCACTCGCGAACAGCCTTCTCTCGGTTTCCTCGGCAATGGACTTCCCTGCAAGCTGCCTGTTAGGCTTCTTGAGGGCTGATATTGCATCTTGCAATTCGGCATCTACTAATGCGCGTTTTCTGGCTTTGAGATCATCGGCCCCTGTCAGACTCATGCTTCGTGCGAATAGATTCGGCGGTTTCTCCTTCAACTGGGCGGGCTCAAGATGGGGAATACCTCCCAGCATCCGGGGTTCACTCATCTCCCTCTTCAGTCCGGGGATCGGTGCGGCAGTGGCAGATCTCATGTGCGCAATGACATCCGTCGGTCCTCTGGATACACTTCTCCTCAATCTCTCGTTCGACAGAACTCGATCGAGGTTGCGCGTGGGCTTGCCCGGCGCTGGTCTCTTGGCTGCGCTGCCTGGCTTCGGTCGTGCCTTCTCGGCAGCCGACGAAGGCCTATGAACCTTTGGTTTCGGTGGAGAGACAATAACTGGTCCGCCGAGCTTGCGGTTCAGCATATCGCAAAGGTCGGGCAGACGAGCAGAAAAACTGGTGAACGTGTCAGTGATTGCACAGAAATGTCAAGCTTCAGTAGCACGGAGGTACTTACAATGGAAGAATGATGTCCACGCAAAAGTCTTTCAGAGGGTCAGAGCTGGGCTTGCTTCCCTTTTGCCCATCCAATCCCTTCATTTGGGATTCTGCGATAGCTTTGATCTCGTCCAGAGCAACAGACTGCGAAATGCACAGGCGGTCGGCATGGACTTCAACAAGGAATGGAAGGTTGTATTTGTTCCGCTTCTTGGCCATCGGCTCCGCTTTGCCTGCTGGTGTGGTAGACTCCATACCGGGCAGCTGGCTCTCTACAGCGTCCTCGGCAGGGCAGATGGCTTCCAGCGCCAGAATTTCAAGGATCAGGATCATCTGTAGCTGGGTCTCTCGGGTCCGCAAGCACGCAATATGGAATCTCGTCTCCGGGGGTGTAACGGAAACCTCATCGTCGCGCATCTCTGGTTTAGTGGCTGTCCACCACTTCTTGACATGAGCATCTTCACCAGCCCAGATACCATTCTTGCCGAGCTTCATTTTCTTTGCCCTTTTCTTCTTTGAGCTTGCCTCGTTGCCGGAACTGTCGACGGCGGTCTTCATCTGGGACAAAATCTCGGGTATGGACTCGGCATATTTCTTGTCTATTAGTACGGTCGTCATGACGAGGCTCTTGAGAAACTCAATCAGATCCCTCATCTCCAAGTTTGAGTCCGTGTTTAGATGGAAGTCCGCTCTTGCGCGAGATAACGGGCCTTTGGCAAAGTACGCAAGGGAGCCCTGCAAGGTTGTTCAGCCCAGTTGCTTTCGAAAAGAAAAGCAGTGCAACATACCATAGAATGATAGAGAACTTCAAAGTATTGGGCGCGAATGTTTTGAAATATGTCTTGAGCTGACTTTTGTTCAGTGCCAATGGCCTCTGTCCCCAAGGCTTGCTCTGGTTGGGTCAGGCTTTGTGAGTCGGTTTCGGGCTGTGGCCCTGGTGGCAACTCGGTCTGGCTTTCTGGAGTAGGGAGCTGGCTTGGCGAGGCTCCGACAGAGGCCGACTTTTGACTGTCAGTGATAGCTTGGGTCTCCGACCTGGGCCGCCTCCTGACCATGGACTGAATTTCTTCGATTGCAAGCCTTTTCCGTTTGTTCTCCTTGTACAGATGCGGCGTCGTAAGCGGGGGGCCAGAGTCCTTGGTGTTCGCCGATGTTGCATCGAATGGGCGTATACGCTGTTGACAAAAGACTGAAGACTGTTGACTGAGTTTGTCCAGCTCTACCCAGTTTCCGAGTTTACAGACGGTATACAGGCCATTGTCACTTCGCTCAATCGCATAAGCATCGCGGGATGAGTCGCACCGGGCGATCAGAATGCTCGAGCCAAGTCGCCCTTCCAGCTCCAGAATCCGAATCCGGGACTCGAAAAAGCGTGCAGGAGAGAGGGTGCCCGAAGGGCTCGATAGGTCCAGATGAGAGAGGGATACATGCTCCCTTCCAATCAACATGAGGGGGAGCAATATGGACGACTTTGCAAGGACATTCGGAGGATGTGGCTGCCAAGGTTTTAGCACATCTACATCTGGTGTTCACAAATCGAGACATACCCTGATAGAGATTGGCGGCTTCAAGAGTTCTTCCATGGGATGAGAGGAGGGCATGGACTCATGGCTACCCGTCGATACCAAAGTCGTGGCTCCTCTCTTGCGCTTTCTCGGCCCAGCAGAAGAGCCATCTTGGCTTGCTTTGCTCATAGGGTTTTCGGAGGCGGGCGTCAGGACACCAGGAGGTCCGAGACGCGACGCGTCCGGGCTGGTGAGAACTGCCGAGGCCATGGAAGGAAGTTATGAGTGGCCATCTACTGCAAGAGAATAACAATGCATGGAAAGTAAAGAAGGCGCTCCATATCGCAACTCCAAATTGACTCTCCGCTGTCCAGTGCACCTTGGCCAGGACGGTGATATAAGGAATACGATAACGAGGATACAAGTGAAGTCACGCGTCAAGACGCGACGACCGATAAGTGCTGTGCTTGGTTTAAGTGGGGTTGGTACAAAGAAAGGACCTAGACCTCCAAGTCAGTGCATTGTCCACACTGAGAGTTACATCCATCAGCGAACAGTCTTGGGCTGTTCAGACTGTGCCCCCACACTCCCACACTGTGGCCACAGAGGTGGCAGCGTGTCCCCTCGCGCGGATTCTACCGTCTAGCCCCAATCTTGCGCATTGCAAAACGGAGAAAATCTCCGTTGGCCATCACGTTTCTCCCAAAGCCACACTTACCATACACGACTCGAAGAAAGAGCTCCTCTAACTTGAACAGCAGATTGCAACGTTTTGCCAAGTTCCGCCGGGAGATATCTAGCATTATTGAGTGGCCTCGAAATGCATGATGCCTTTCTCTTCTCAAGTACTTGGCATTGGCACAGCTGCAGTGTTTGTTGACCAGGGCGTGACTCGAAGGCCGTGTGATCCTCCTGTGCAGTCGGTTTTGCTCGATCGCCCGTGTAAAGTGAGATCGCGACTTGCAGTGATATCAAAGGCCGCTAATTAAATTGCGCCCTGATAGCAGCGGCTTGACAGACGGGCTCACGGGTGCTTCGATGGTGCGCGCCAAATGCGGGTGCTTGGCCCGCTATTCTGGCCCTGTAAGACGTCGCCAAACAGCGGCCCAGCAGGGGCCATTGTCAACCATCCCGCCTGAGCGAACCATCCGAAGCAGCTAATGCGTTCTGATCCAGCTAGACCAAGCTTTGTGGTCCGTGCAGACCAGGGCGACTCGACGGTGCGAAACGCTAATGAGCCACACCAAAGCTCTGGAGCTGCCAGCGTTTGAGCTGTCCTCCCGCCCTTCGCCACAACCATCAAAAACCACCGACCTAGACTCTCGACCGGCCTCACTCGCCCACACGAGCCAGGGAACCCCATCCTCAACGCCGGCGGCGCTTTGCGACAAGCCTCCAAAATTCTTCCTCCCTCTAGCTACGTCTCACGTCTTTTGCACATACCGTCTCCTATGGATGCTCCCAGGCCTTTCTAGCACCCCTTTCCCGCGACCGGTGGTATAGGAAGTAGTTGTGCCTACCTCCCACTCTTCTCTGGTTCCCGGCACCACCTGCGACCTACGCCTATTTGGTCAAGCCGCCGCGCCGGAGTCTCCCACATCAAAGCACTTGCCGACGGTCTCTCTTGGGCTTGTGCATATACAGGATGATGACAAGTGAAACCTCTCCTCGCACCGTCCGATTCTCACAAGGCGAAGAGGACCACTCGCGTCCCGATAAACTCAAGAACCATCGTCCCCAGCCCATCACCCTCGATTCCGACAACTCGGCCTCATCTGGCGATTCACAAGGCGACCCGCATGCTCTCGAGAGTCAAGATGCGCTAGGATCACTCGGCAGATACACCGAGACTTCGAGTCATTCGGGATCCATGTCGTCACTTGTACCTAACTCACTGGCAAACGGCATGGGCGGCCGCCGCGATGGAGGTGTGGTGTACACCAATGGAAACACCGGCCGGCCTCAGCGGCCAACGGCGCCGGCGAGGACTCCTTCCAACACCTATCAGCCGCAACGACGACCAGCCCAGCCGCCTTCATACATCCATACCGGCTCCGATCATCGATCCGCCTCGAAGCCCCGTTTAGCAGGTAGCTCTACCTTCCGAGCCCAGGAGCGAGAGTACGTACGCCGGCTCCGGCAGCAGGACTATGCGAACGACTACTTTGACCCCTATTCGAACGCGGATGGCTATCCCGATTCCGATTCTGAGGGGGAGACCCCCTCGTCGGAAGGTCCTTTCGACGACCGTTACAACCAAGAAATTATCATGTTCTACAACAATGATGATATGCACCCAACAGATGATGATCTGCGGGATCCGACGAGCCGGGAAAGATTGGAGTGGCATGGCATGCTAGCAGCGGTGCTCACAGGAGATGTAGTTCGTCAAGAGAAGAAGCGCTTGATTGGATCCTCGGAGGAGCAGACCGGGAAAACGGCGCAGAAGGCGGAGATGTGGATGGGCATCCGGGCCAGAATCTGCGGCAGATATCTGCCCATGCAGAGAAGGATGATCGAGGATGCGCGTGGCACCCTTGATCGGCTGATTGATGAGATTATCAGCTTCCAGATTGCGGGGGAGAGCGAAGCAGGAAAGCCTCCAATTGATCAGGTTCGCGATGTCGTGGACAAGATTGAGAAGGTGGAAAGCCAGTACCCTTCAAGGTCCGCGCTCCTCGCCGCACACAAAACGGCGCACTCGCCCCTATACGAGGAAGCTTGTGATGCCGTGATATCATGGTACAACACAAGCGAGTTGATCAACACCGAATTGTCGATTTTGAAGAAGTGGGTTGGCAACGACGAGCTTGACTTTGCGAGGACGCGCGAAAAGTCGCCTAGCGGGAACGGCCTAAGCGACGAGTCTTCATTTCTCGACAGACTCATGAAGGAGGACGGCCTCAAGTCTCTCCACGAACACTATGAGGAAGAGGGGCGAAGCAAACGGAGGAGTATGTTGGAGGGCATCTCAACCACCATTATGAAAGCGAAGGAGACGCTCATCCATAACTCGGAGGCTTTCCGGAAACGACACCTGCCACCATATATCGAGGATTTGCTTACTCTTATCAGCTTTCCCTCGCGCCTCATCGAAGAGATTGTTAAGGTCCGTCTCGCCTATGCGAAGAAAATGAAGGAGTCGGCGCAGCAAAACCCTATGATGCAGGATCAGATGATTTCTCAGTTTCAGGTGCTGCTGAAATTGGCCATCAAGATCAAACAGGAATATGTCGCCATCTCGCAGCCAGAGCCTGGCTGGGAGCTTCCGCCCTGCATCGACGAGGCCTTCGACCAGGTCGTTCTCGATGCGTTGAAGTATTATTTTAAGATGCTGAATTGGAAACTCAGCGGGAACAAGAACACCTTCAAGGAGGCAGAGTTGCTCTTCCAGGAGTGGGAGTTTGCAAATGAGATCGGTAGGCATCTCGACCACGGCGATATCGAGGTTGCCGAGCAATTCAGCTCCCTCACGTTCAAGGCTCTCAATAGGCTGAGTGCAACGTTCGAGAGAGAACTGCAACGCAAACCAAAAGAAACAGGGTCAGAGATGAGCAAGCGATACAAACAGCTGCTCGATTCCGTTCGTGTACGCCAGCGTATGTTGCAACGTTTCTCCAGAATGTTGAGCGACAACTACGAAAACGCGTCCGATCTCAGCATTGCAATGGATCCTGATAGGCTCAACCATTTCTACGACCGGTTGGCGAGCTCTGGCCACTTCCAGGTGTTTACCGGCAGTATCGAGCACGAAGGAATCGTACTCATCGCGTCTCCAAGCCTCCATGGACGACCCGAGGAGATCCAATCGCTCATGGGAACTACATCCTATGAGCAGGTGACAGAGGATCCTTCGGACCCGTACATCCTCATCATGCGTCCGGAAACGCCTCCTCTTTGGTACGGCTCGAAGATATCTCTGACAGTCAGAGAGGAGCCGATTGATCTGAAGGTCGGCAATATCAGACTGATTGCTGGCGGCTCCCAGGCACGTCTTGCCAATGCGCGCAAGGCCTTTCTCGAGGATGTCGACATGCACCTCGACTTGGTTGTGGAACAACGTTCGAATCTTAAGAAAGTCAATCTGAAACTCATGGAGATCCGCCGGACGGCTTTCAAGCTCTCAAACACATTCATGGACAGTGTCGAGAAGATTCGAGAACAGACCAAGGGACTTGATTGCCAAGAACTCATCCAGAGCTGCTTCGTCTTTGCCACGGAGTTTGGACAGCGCTCTCTCCTGTTGATGGACACCAACAGGCGGCAAATGAACAATCTGAAACTCACCAAACTGGCGCTCGACTGGGTGAGTTTCATCTGTGATGACTGCGTGTCTTCTGATCGAAAGACGTTCCGCTGGGCTGTACTGGCCCTGGAGTTCGCCATGGGCATGACCCGTGGGAGACATATCTTGGCACTCGGGGAGGATGAATATGCCAGGCTGCGAGGCAAAGTGGCCGGCTGCATGTCACTCCTGATTTCCCACTTTGATATCATGGGAGCAAGGTCAAGCGTTGCAGCCCAAGCAGAAAGACAACGCATGGAGCAAATCGCCAGTTCCAAGCGTCTTGACAAGAACAAGTTCTTGAATGACGAGGAGGCTTCCACGCTTGTCGTCAACTCTCGCCTCGAGGAATTGGAGAAGATAGATGAGTTCAGAAAGCAGATCCAGTCAGATCGCTCTGCCCTGGGTCGCGTTCTGGAGGCCTCAAACGAGGTCGATCGGTCCCTGGCCTACCTGTCCTCGACAGCTACAAACTTCACGATGAGATGGCAACTGGGTCATTTTGTCGGCGGTGGCACATTTGGCAACGTCTATGCTGCCATGAACCTGGACACCGGCCATCTCATGGCCGTCAAGGAGATCCGTCTGCAAGATCCAAAGCTCATCCCCACCATTGCGACTCAGATCAAGGACGAAATGCGCGTCCTGGAATCCGTGGACCATCCCAACGTGGTCTCGTACTATGGAATCGAAGTTCACCGAGACCGCGTGTATATTTTTATGGAGTTCTGCTCTGGCGGATCTCTTGCCAATCTGCTTGAGCATGGCCGCATCGAGGATGAGCAAGTGATCATGGTCTATGCCCTGCAGCTTCTCGAAGGTCTCATGTATCTTCACGACGCCAAGATCGCCCATCGCGATATCAAACCTGAGAGTAAGTTTAGCTGAGTTGTGTGATAGATCTGAGTTCGAAGCTAACTGAAAATCGCAGATATCCTGCTCGATCACAACGGTATAATAAAGTACGTTGATTTCGGAGCGGCTAAGGTTATCGCGCGTCAAGGTCGGACTCTCGTTCAAGACCTCACGAGCACCAAGCCCAACAAGTCCATGACGGGCACGCCCATGTACATGTCTCCAGAAGTCATCAAGGGCGAGAACCCAGGCCACTTCGGTGCCGTCGACGTCTGGTCATTGGGCTGCGTCATCCTTGAAATGGCCACGGGACGGCGTCCCTGGACCAATCTCGACAACGAATGGGCCATCATGTACAATATTGCACAAGGCAATCCGCCCCAGCTGCCGACGACAGACCAGCTGAGCCAGCAGGGGATCGACTTCCTGAAGTGCTGCTTCACCAGGGACTCGACAAAGCGGGCGACGGCGGTAGAGCTGCTTCAGCACGAGTGGATCATGACTATTCGCAATAGAGTTGTCGAGCCAGCCACGCCTAGTGATACCAGCTCATCGGCACAGTCTACTCCCAACATCGCCACGTCAAGCGGGAGGGGTAGTGCAGGGGTCGATGGATTTTATTAGAAGTAGTCAAGACAGAGATCCTGTTGTTTTCTGGCTCCTCTCTTCCTTCCTCGCCCACCTCCTCGGTCTCATCGAGTGGCTTTGAGCTACACTACACATGGGCACCTTTTCCTATTTTCAAACGACACAACCTTATTCGCAACACCGCCTCAACCGTACACCTTAGGAGGCACTTTCTCTCATCATCTTGCTGTCTGTGGAGTAATGGCTATAGGGGAGCAACACAACGCACACACAGACATAACACATTGCATCAGCGACGAGTTTGGAGTTTTCTTTTCTTCTGCTGTTTCGGGGGCATTGCATGGTTTTCTTTTTCTGTTCCATGGACTCCTCAGTGGTAGCAACGTGGGAAGGGCAGGAAATTAGGCAGTCTGTCAGGGTCGGGAGGATACTAAACGAACATGAGAGAAAACACGGCCTTCGATAGCAGGAACACGGGACGCATCGATGTGTATACATAAGCAATATCTAATACGTAAATAACTACATCCAGTACATTGATCAAGGGTTCGCGGTGTTGTGATACCAGCGTCCACTCACGAAAATCGTCAAGTCACTGGTTGCAACAATGAGACTGGACGTGGCATATTTGTAAAAGAGTTCCCCGGGGAAGGTATATTTTAGTCTACAAAGACTGTAGTAGTGGTGGTGTTCATATTTCCACAACAGACATTAAATGAGTGTCCATTACTTCATAACGCCAATCTCTCCGAGCCAGACCATGCCTATCCGTACCGTGCCGTGCCTCCCAATGCCCAATGTCTAAGTCGTGTGCTCAATGATCCAAAAGAACTCATTGCCCGTATTCTTGTTTGCCGAGGCCTCCGAAGTGGCCTGTCCTTCAGTAGAAGGGCTCTTTTTGAGAAGGGCAAGGAATATTCAACAAGAAAGGGGGTAAAAGCCGCCGAAGCGATGCTTAGTGGTAGAAGCAGCGGGCCGAAGTCTGAACCTGGGGAGGGCCAATGGGGACGTCCTTCTACATTGATGGGAAGAAATGAGGTCAGCTTACAAGCACGACGACAGCTTCTTCACAAAAAGCCGGTCTAGTGAAAGGGCCCGGGGGGGAGGGAGTCAAACTTACGGCAGGGCCGACGAGCCAGGTCTTGCTGCCGTCGATGCCGGAGGCAACGCAGGTGACGCTGGAGGGGGCGTCGCTGCTGATGCGGGTGAAGCTGAGGCCGTTGTTGATGGCGTGGTCCTGGCCGTCGATGGGGATGGCCTGGACGTAGGTGTTCTCGGCGGCGGCCCAGAAGGTCAGGTCGGCCACGGCGGGCCCGCCGGCGCGGCGCTCCTGGGTGTTGGGGCGGGCGGCGGCCAGGCCGGCGAGGAGGACGGTGGTGGCGACGGTGAAGAACTGCATTTTGAATATGGTGAAAAGGTTGAGGAAGAAGAGAGTGGTTTTCCTTGAAGAGTGTGTTGAGAGTGTCTGAGTGAAGATGCTTGAGGCTGGTGATGAGATGATAGAACGACAGACCAGACGGATGGGAGAGGATCTGGCGTCTTATATAGACTTTCCATGAGCACTTGAAGCTTCCAGCTGGAGGATTAAGTGCCTCGAGTAGGCCTCGTTACGTACACAACTTTCGAGGATCGTATCGATCCGTAAGGCGTCCTGTCCCTGATTTGCCCATTGTCTCGCCGCACCTCTTCAAGAGCCCAGAGACGGACCGAAGTAATACCTAGGCAATGAAGCCGTGATACCCATCAGACTGCACTGAAGGTATCCCCAGCTCTTGGCAAGCCGGGCAGCGGCACACATGGTGTGCTCAGCCTTGAGAGTGGAGCTGCCACGTCTGTGGAACAATTCGATGGAAGCTCGCAGGACCCTTTCGGCATCGCCATTATGATCGACGCCGTCCGTGAACAGTATCCAAAACAGGAAAGAAACTGTAACAGAGTGACACGAGAGGCTACTAGGAGAAGAACACAACGTTGCGGCCGCCTGCGTGGAGATGAGCTAAATTAAGAAACAAAGTGCTCTTCTCTGCGTGGTGTTGCGCGCGAGCACGAGGCTCGGGGACGATCATATCGTATGGCAGGTTCCCACGTGGTGGCCAAACGGTCAACAAGTCGAAGGAAAGACCCTGGAGGATCATTAACAGGAATCCTTCTATTATCAACCGCAGCAGTACTGTGGCGCAAACATAGAGTTATGCAAAGAGATAGCCTACCTATGTAGGTAGTTTGGTACTTGTAGACTAGCATAATGTTCGATATCTTGTAGGGATTCCAGTTCTTTGATACAACATACCCTGTCAGGTCCTCGATCCTGTCAACAAGTGGGCTATCCAAGTACCGAGATTCGAAAGGAAAGTTCCGGGTGAGATAGTGTTCCATGCTCGAGTAATATCAACAGATATGGGGCTTCAAGTGTCTACTGGCTAGCTTCGATAGAGCGGCCCATCCGGGCTCAATTACGAACCCTTCAATCTGGTCACGAGTAGGCTATGCCTTGGCTCAATTAGGCTCCTGGGTGAACCAGACAAGTCCACTCAAGTCGATACGAGAAGCCGTGGCGTCGTCGAGGCTGAACTCCGAACTAGAAGAGGCGTGCTCGAACTAGAAAGAGGTTCACGAATGACGATCAGAGTTCGGGCTACTTTGACGTGGATCCTCTGGGACCGACTAGACGGATCTGACAGGTCGATCAACGAACAGAGTGGCTGGTTGACCAATCGTCTCATTCGCCGAGCCTTCCTTTCACGCTTCTGCGGTAAGATGGCTTACATCTTCAGCTTGCCTCCAAGCCCGACATTGTGAGAGGTTTCTAGTGGTCTGTCATTTGTAATGGATTCAAGCCGGCCAAGGTAGTTGGGCTGGACCATCCAGCAATGGTCATGGCACAGCATGCAGCTCAAGTGAAGCCACGACACTGTGGGATTGGACCAAGGAAGAGAAACCTGGTAGAATCGCGTGATGCGGCCATTTTTGGAACAAATCTGGGGAAGTTGCCAATCAGACGGGTTCGGTGTACAGCGAGTTCCTCCAACGTTCAGCTAAGGCCGTGGCTATGCCTGGACCTCCGTACTTGGACCCTGATTTGCTAGTCTGCCGAGGGACCACCTGGGCAATGGAGGTCAGCATCGCCCACGCCTCGTCCTCAATCCTCCTCCGGCACTGTAAATGAGCTCAATCAACACCCCGCAGTGACGGCATGCAGGCAGCCTGAACCGTTGTTGGACTGACCTTCTTAGCTACAGCAGATGACCGGGTTTTGCTGCCGTTGCACTGCAGGTCGCAGCTGAAGCAGCCATCATTGGTCGTCCATCCCCATCCTTGCTCTGACGAACCAAGGCCGCGAGTCCCGCGAGCAAAGTACAGGCGTCTTAGCATGACCGTCTCACTCAGACGCAGACGCAATCCTTTTCATTCGGAGGCAGCCTTAAGAGGACCGATATCATCATGGACAAGAAACATTTTGCTGTTCTAGGTAATTATCCGTGCATGGTCTTTGTCCGACATGGCATACCGGAACAAGAATTAACCCACGCGCACCACCGCCACAGAAAACCATCCTGGTGTGATGACCACCTTGGCTGACCGTCTCGGTCTGTCGGGTGAACTGGCCTTCTATGATGTATGGTCATTGGACGATGCATCTCTACTGGCACATATCCCCCGTCCTGCCTTGGCCCTCCTCGTCATCATCCCGCTGACTCCAGCCTGGGAAGCCACACGTCGGGCAGAGGATTCAGCCTCGGGCCCATACCGAGGACAAGGTGACTCCGGGCCCGTCATATGGTTCAAGCAGACCATTGGCCACGCCTGCGGTTCCATAGGCCTTCTACACTGCGCTGTCAATGGTCCCGCTGCGAGATTCATCCGTCCGGGCAGCGACTTGGACACGATTCGTCGTAAAGCCATACCGTTGGGCGTGGCCGAAAGGGCCGAGATGCTGTATAACAATGAGGAATTCGAAAAGGCTCACCAGTCCGCAGCCACTCTGGGAGATACAGCGCCGCCTTCGCTCAACGCGGCAGACAGGATGGGTCAGCACTTTGTGGCCTTTGTCAAGGCCGACGATGGCCACCTCTGGGAACTTGAAGGCTCACGTCAGGGGCCTCTGGACCGCGGCAAGCTTGGCGAAGATGAGGATGTTCTCAGCCAACGTGCTCTGGACCTTGGCATGGGCAGAATTATTCGGCATGAACAGGAGGCTGGCGGGACAGACTTGCGCTTCAGTTGCATTGCCCTTGCCCGTCGAACGACGTAGAGGGCTGGCATTGAACCACATCCGACCCTCGGAATGAGCGAGGCAATGCTTCGGACCTTTCTGCCCTGGATGTCAGATCGTCTGTTGTGTCATTTTTCCGTGTCATATTTTTTGGTTGACGAATTATCAAGTCGAGAAACCGTTGGCATCGGCCTCCGAAGTTTATCAACATGTTGCATCGCGATCTGGAGGAACTGTCGACTCCTCTTCACAAGGAAAGTCCATGCGAGAGACCTGATCATGCAGTCCTCCCCTGAGTATTTTGTCGCGGAAGATGCCGAGTCACTCCATGCATGTCCTGCCTCCGGAGCATCTTGACCCCAACCTTCTTGCCTCGCCCTTGTCAAGGACCATCTGACCAGGCGGCCATCCAGGAATCTGAAACGTCTCCATCATAATCCTGTTAGTCATATGTATTTGGGATCATTTCAGATGAGGAACTGTTTCGATCGATCGCCCAAGACGCCTTGCCACATCGCGGTCGAGACTTCCGCCTCCACGAGCCGGCTGTTTCAAATGACCTTCTGCTTCGTCGCCCTGGGTAAACACTTCAGGTATGTGTTGTCGTCCAATCCGGGTCTGATCAACATACATGGCCAGTTTGGAGCGGTAGGCCATGCCTGGATGAAGCTGGCGATGGCCCAGAGCCGCTCTCGGGTATCACAAGCAGGTAGCACAAGATGACGGCCGGTCACCGGTTGTTATTCCCTTGAACCGCACGGTAATATTCCGAGGGTGGAGCAAGCTACTCAGGATTGCGGGATAGTTGCGGACGGCTGGAGCCGTAATTATATGGACGACTATGAAACCGCTGTTCTTCGAAACTGCCAGCACGCCATTGTGTCATCCATGCCATGGAGTGCTCCCTTTCTCTCGTCCCTTGGTGGAGTGTGGACGTCGCACAAGAGTTGCAGATGAAGTCATCCAAGCTTTTGCCCATGCTGTTACACAAAGACAGGAGACCTGAAGTTACAGAACTCTCCAGCATATGTCAAATTTCGCTTCATATCCACATACTTGGCCATCGAAAGTCTATTTCATCGCTGACGGGAGTGAAGGACAACCTGGTCCGGTCCAGTCAGATGCCGCGATATGGGCAGGGTGCGAAGCTCAACATTTCAGTCCCACCGACACATGAGTTTCATTGTCAACAAAGCATTATTTGATCGTTTCTTTAGGCGGTAACATGGACCTGCGAAGTCAGATCGACATCTCAGAGTCCGGCTGCCGTTTGAAAAGCCTGCTATATCGTCATGGTGTTGGTCAAGTGCCACATTCCAGGCTGATATTGCCAAGTGCGAAGGAGGCTCCGGCACCTTGAGCTAGGCTCCAGTCCTCCCATGTGATCGGCAAGGGGAAGTCGACACTTCCAGATGGCCCCTGAATATCGCGGTGCCCATGAGACGTCCGCAAATCAACGCGAGTCTTTGGCAGCACGGGGGGCCTCTCACTCACGGCCGCTCAATGCCTCAGATGTCCAAAATAGGATCGATATGACTTTGTCTGGTGGGATGGTGTCTTAGGGATTCTCATTCCAAACATGGCCGTTACACACGTAACATAACGGTCCTTGGCATCGTGAAATCCCTTCCTAACCTCCCGCTGTCCTGATCGAGCAACAGCAATCTCAAAATACTCCAACCCGTCTGGAGTTATTTGCTGGAATGCGCGGGATCCGCGAACCGGGCTGTCGAGCTTTGAGGCATGGATCGACCTACCCTAAGCGTCAACGCCAACGGCCTCATCGTGACTCCACGGGCGAGCCGCACTACGCAATGGTGCGAAACAGTGTCGAGGGAGACCTTTGAGGTCTCATGATGTCTCTCATTCCTCTGTCAAGGCATCGAGATGCGTCGTCACTTGAACTTGCTACCCTCAGCGGGCTGGGGAATGACCAACGTCTACAGCAGATGCGAGATGGGCTGGGGACGTCGGCAAGCCGTTGAAGACGCCAGCCTTCACCATATTCGACACTTCCTTTTACTACGCCTTCGCTAAAGGAGGATTTGTCTATAAAAGAATCGTCGCTCTCTCCTTGAAGAGTGAAATTCTTCCTGATCATCAATCCTTTCCACAGCAACAACGCTCCAACAACCAGCTACATTTCCGGCCTTGGGTCACACACAGCACGCTCCTTCGCAAGCTCCCGAATTCTCTTCTGAAACCACAGATCATTTTGAACGCCCTCAACGAAGTCAGTCAAGATGAAGACCTCCACTTTCATCAAGGTCTCCGCCCTCGTCGCCGGCGCCGCTGCCGTCCCGGCTGATATCCCCATTCCCCCGGTCACTGTCGGCGTCGGAGGCGGCGTCCAAGGCACGGTTGGGGCTTCAGTTGGAGGCGCTATCCCGACACCTCCCCTCCCTGTCCCTATTCCTCCTGTTCCTGTCCCTCCGGTCCCCGTCCCTCCTGTCTCTGTCCCTTCAGTTCCTGGGGTTCCTCCCGTTCCTATCCCTCCTGTTCCCATCCCCCCTGTCTCTATCCCTGTCCCTCCTGTTCCTGTTCCTCCGGTCCCCGTCCCCCCTGTCTCTGTTCCTGGAGTTCCTGGAGTTCCTGGAGTTCCTGGAGTTCCTGGAGTTCCCGGGCTCCCTGGTGTTCCTGGAGTTCCTGTGCCTCCTGTTCCTGTTCCCCCAATCCCGACTCCCCCCTCGCTGAACACCATCTGCCTGACCCTGCCTCTGCCCGCCCCCACCATCGGCGTGCCCCCGCTTCCGGTTCCGGTTCCCCCGGTTCCCGTCGTCAAGGCCCGCGCGGGCCAGGCTGCCCAGGCTGCCCAGATGGACCAGAAGGCACAGGCTGGCATTGACATCCTGAGGAGCACGATCTCCCAGGCTCTCACTATCATCGCCACCATCCGTAAGTGATTTACCAAGTGTTACCCACATGGCCTGTGCGAATTCAAATGTTGACATGCTGCCAACAGAGAGCAAGGCGGGTGCCGTGACCCCCAACGACCCCACGGGTATCGCCAATGCTCTCCCCGACATCCAGGACCAGCTTACGCTGCTCACGAACCTCCTCAAGGGAGTCACTGGCAGCCCTGGCAGTCTCGGTATTCCCGGCCTTCCCCCACTGGGCCTTCCCGGCTTCGCCGAGGCCATCGGCCTGATCGGTCAGCTCATGGGTGCCATTTCCAACGTCATTTCTCTGCTCACTGGGCGTGGTAAGTCTCATTATCAGCCGCTTCTCTCCTTTTGGTCTCATTTCATATCATTCAACCCGGCCCATTCATCAAACATTGCTGACGTATCTCCCAAAAAACAAAGGTTTCCTGAATGGTCTCGGTGGCGCCAGCAACCCCCTCACTGGTATGATCAGCACCATCACCCAACTCGCCATGGGCCTTGCTGGTCCCGTCTCTGGTCTCCTGCTCGGTAGTCTTACTGGTGGTCTCCCCGGTGGTGGTCTTCCCGGCGGGCTCCCTATCCCCCTGTAAGCGGCTGCAACCTGAAAGAGCCCACATCTCCACGAGCCATGGGATCGTTGCAGACTCTCTAGGGGGGTTTTGCCTTGTGGATAAGAGCTGGCTCGAAACAGTATCGGATGTGTTTGTTGAATAGGTGATGGAAAGGCGCGCTGGTCGGTCGATGAGGTCCCGGGACAAGGATATCCAAGCTTGCAGTGTTTGTTTGTTTGTTTTGCTCTTTATCATGATGCTTACGAGTCTCTCTCTAAGTTTTGACAGAAAAATTGACACTGTGGATTTCTATGTAACTTACAATGTTCTCTAACTTGTTGTGACTCTTGTTTTGATGAGACTCTAGTTCGGGCAGTAAGTCTACTAGTTTTGGGATTCTGAAAGAAGAAAACGCCACAGGACTATATAGTCTTGACACAGACGATAGGCAGACAAAGACATACTATGAGGTCTAGCACCAACAGCAAAGCCTTTGTTTACAAGGGAATTGTTAAACACGTTGATTTCGCTATACAAGGGTCTGTGAGTATAAAAGCCGTCATGTCACGTTTAATGATGACTTAATATTACCTCGTATATGATCTTTACAGCTGTGTCAACAAACACTCTCGAAAGTCTTTTCACAACTTAGTAGTAAGGGAATCCCTTTTTCTCTTTTTAAAGTTGAGTATGAGGAGACAATGTGTAGCCAATGTACTTACAACTACACCTCATGCAACCACACCCGCACCTCCAAGATCAAGCCCTGCGCTCGCATCACCCGCCTCCAGCAGCCGGCCCGAGCCTCCTGCCTGTCGGCCATATTCAACATCTTCCAGTCGCGGCCGCCGAAGCACTGCAGGGATATCCAGAAGAACACCATGTCCATCCCCTACCCCTGCAGGAAGTGCCGGACCAGCGAGCCCGTCGTACCCCCGCGGGCCCCGCCCTTCTATCTCCTCCCCATCATCACCCCCGACCAGCCGCCCAGCGCCGACCCTAGTGCTACACCGGGCTACAGGTTCCAGGAGTCCTGCCCGACGGCGGAGGAGAGACCCACCCGCCGCCACCAGAAGCACGCGTCCGCCTCACAGCCTGCAGGTCGGAAGGAGCGCGATGGCGCCCAGCTCACAAAGGAGGAGGAGAGGGCGCAGCTGCACCAGCACAGGCTCGAGCAGTGCCAAAAGTGGGTGGACTGGCACGCCGCCACCACGCAGGTCCAGTGCAGCGTGGTCTCGCCCGCGCCCGCGCCCGGCAGCTTGGCGGCGCCCAGGACTCCGCCGGTGCGGGTGCTGACCCGGAAGCCCAGGCGCGCTCGCCTGCTAGTGCCGGACCAGCCCGAGGTGGGTCCCCCGCCGCCCGAAGTGCCGGCCCGGCGCCGACCCACTACTGCGACATACCGCGGCCGCGACTTTGACTCGCGGACCTTGGTATCGGAGACATTGGTGTCGCATACCAAAGACCGGAGGACGAGTGCGGAGCGGCGGGTCAGTCGTTCCCTTCGCTATTCGTTGTCCCAAGAAGCGGCAAGTCGCGAGATTCGCCGGGCCTCGGCCCAGAAAAGTACGTTCCGGCTCTGCTCCGGGGTTCCGGCAGGGTTTTCGAGCAGGTATGTACATTCCCAGCAGCAGAAAAAGGGGTTGCATACGCCAAAGACATCTGAAGGTGGTCGGCGTCCGCCGCCGCCTCCCATAGACACGTCGCTCCCGCCGACAAAGTGGGCGAATGCAGTAGCAGACTACATCATGATGAAGGAGCACCAGGCTAGGATGGAAAAGTGCCAGGGGCCAGGGCGAGAGATGAGTCCACGGCCGTGGCGTTTAGGAGGAGTGGACTACGGCCAAGTACCGCAACTGAAGAGGCAAACCCTACCATCAAGACAAAGGCCACCTGTACTTGCTGACGAGACACCAGTATCTGCTGGCCGATACGAAGAACAGAAAAGGCCTCGGAATCTACTGCGAAAGGCGAAAACGGCATCTTTCCGCATAAGCAAGGGAAGTGACAGCGAGTACGTAGGTTGTATAAGTCGCTTTTCCGGCCGTCTCAAAAGGACATTTACACAGCAGAACTTGAGCGACGAATCATTCGCGTGTGTTACCGCACGTAAAATAGAACAAGGAGGTCTAGGTAGATGACAATCTCATTGTCTGAAATTAGTTTCTGTTTTCATCTGAATAACAAAGGCTGCAGTGAAAGCTCGAGATCATGACGGCCAATAAACCGCCGTGACCACTGAAATGTGCGGCATAGCAACACGTTGAAACGATACGATACTTGACCTGCAAATCAATTTGACACCAGTAACAGTGTTGTCTTCAAGTACAAGCTGCCTAGACAGCGCCGAACTCCTTGCTATGCCGGGTTTTGCTCTAAATCAGGCTTGGGAATCTTCGTTGAATCTGTCGAGTTCGGGATCGTTCAACTGACTCTCTGTGAGTATTTCTGCAATCGAACGAGTTTTGACCGTTTTGACCTCGGGTCATAAACGGTCGACATATCCATTTCCTCCACCAGCCTCCTCCACTGTGAGATGCCACTTCGCTCGTGGCTTCTGCTCCTGTGGCTGACTGGTGCTATCTCATATGTAGCAATCACTCAGCCTTGCCATTCTTGGCCGCAGCCTTGGCTTTCGATTGCCTATACTTTGCAATCTCCTGCTGGACATCCTTCTCCACCCGGGCCTGCAGCTCCGGACGGTACCCAAGCATAAAGAGTAGTTCCAACCACACAAAGAGCGGTGCAAGGAATATTGCCTGGAACAAGTTGTCCAGCAAAGCTGGAGCCCGGCCCTCAAACTTGCCGTGGCCAATGAACTGCAGGATCCAGCAGACCACATGGACACCGATGGCGATCTTAGTGACGAAGGCTGCGTCGTACTGCTCGAGCGCGTAGTTGCCACCAGCAGCACCACCCAAGCATAGCAGAGCCAGAGCTGTGCCTGCAACAGGTTCCAACAGAACGTATAATCCTCCCCATACGAGGGCAGCCAGAGTCCCACCATTTAGCGGAAGATATGGAATTGTGAGCCAGCTAGGCATAGGGATAAGGGTCGGGGAGTTCGAGGCCTGCATTGTAGATGAGTCAGTCACAGTAAAAAGAGGGAAGTGGGCTGGGGCCTGCTGATGCATACCATCCAAAAGCCGGACACAAGAATTAGAGGCACACATGTCATATGTATGACGATATTCACTGGGTTATGATGGTAGGCCCCGTACTGGCAGAATTGTAAGCCGTGCGATCGATATACCTGCACAAGCACGCCAGGGCTCTGACTCACAAATACAAGGTGTTTCTCTAGGTTCAAAGACATCTTGCTATCATGTAACACGGCGGCAAGCAGTTGTGGAGATCTGGTGATGCGAGGACAACGGCCGCGGCCTTTCTTTCTTTGGGCGTGGGGTGCTCGGAACCTTGAAAATTCGCGACACCAGAGCAGGCAATCTCAGGTCTAGGTCGGTAAAGAAAGGGGCCGAATCAGTGGCTTCTATATAGGCCAAAGGCACCAAGGGAAATATGAAATGTAGTGCAGCAGCATAGGGTGCGAAGAGATGATGGGTGTGTGCTTGCAAAGAAAAAAGGATAAGGGTCAGACGATTTACGCGACATTGAATTATCCTTGCGCTGACTGGAGACACTTTTGAGCCTTGGAGTGGGGGTTTTTCACCCGCCAAGCTGGAGAGATATGGGGCATCCTTCAGGAACCTTCCAGGTCTCCCGGGCACTACGAGTGCGTAGATGCCACCGCCTACCGCCTGGAAGAGAGCAACGTCTGTAGCGCTAAACCTCACATGCTTGCTGGGCCAAATGCAAGGCGGCTGAAGCTGGACTTGCTAGCGTCGCGTGTGCACGGACCACAGCCTCGCGAAATTTCCAAGCTGCCTTTAAGTCAAATCACCACCAAAGCGGCGCATCACCAGTCTGCTCACTCTTTGCTGGTCGCTTTGTCTCCCTTTGTTCCTCCACCGCGACCGAACCGAGCCGCTCCTTTGCGCGCACAACAAACGGAGCTCCGCGAAGCGACAAAGACGCCACTAGTCAAGTTCGTCCGGGCCGTCTCATTTCAATTCTGGAGCTGTCATCTTTGCGCTGCGCTTGGCCTTAGGCCTCTTCTCTTCAAACCGCGATCGCAAGCAGAGCGAGCGGAATTCCTCATCCGTCTCCATCCGGGAGTACAAGCTGCAGCATCGGAGCCTTCATACTTTACGAGATACATCGAGTTCCGGTCCGAGAGGGTGACGGTCGTGGCTCGCCGCATTTGATTGCAGGCTGAGCCGAGCGTGGACAGAGGGGCAGGAAAGCGAAAGTAGTCGGATTCACCAACAAACGATAAGCGCTGGGTTTCATCCACCATCATGTTCTTCCTCTACAACCTCGAGCGGAGGGTTACCCTTCATCCTTCGTACTTCGGCAAGAACATGCAGGAGCTGGTCACTACGAAGCTGCTCAAGGATGTGGAGGGCACATGCGCTGGCAACTACTACATCATTTCCATCATGGATACCTTTGACATCTCCCCAGGAAAGATCCTGCCTGGAAATGGTCTGGCTGAGTTCACGGTTGGCTATCGCGCCGTAGTCTGGCGTCCTTTCAAGGGCGAGACGGTACTTGCGGCTGCTTCCTTGATCTCTTGGCTCCCTTACTGAACAAGGAACAGGTCGATGCCGTTGTCTACTCTGTCAATGCTCATGGCTTCTTCGCTCAGGCAGGTCCACTACGGCTGTTCGTCTCGTCGCATGTAGGTTGTCACCATGGCCAGCGACATTTGATGCTCTTGACGGCTTACCCTGCGGTTGTGTAGATGATTCCCGCTCAGGTCAAGTATGACCCGAACGCGACCCCGCCTCAGTTCACCGATAATGAAGATTATCGTGTCGAGCCGGGCACTCATATTCGAGTCAAGATTATGGGTACCCGAAGCGAGGTTGGAGAGATGTGGGCCATTGGCACGATCAATGAGGATTACCTTGGGTACTCTTACCTCCTTGTCGACTGTGCAGACTGCTTGATGCTGACTGGATTCTAGACCACTCGGTCCCTAAAGCCCACTGGGTTGTTCCTTTCTCATCACTTGCTCAGTGCTGAAGGATGGAAAGATGGATTTGAGAGCGGCAGTGGACACCCTCCTCGTTGCCGATACTCGGAGGCTTTATAAATGTCAGGGATGGAGCGCCTGACGAAATTCCCTCAGGTAAACAGAATGGTCATTCCAGTCCACATCGCTTGTTTCAGCGATGCGGCCACGACCGTGGGGACTTGGGAGCGTATGCATTTTCTGTCCTTGCACAGTTCGAGCGAGTTTCTTGACGAAATCTACGCTACGCGCGCATGGATGTATACCAGATCTGAGGCTGGTTGAAAGCAAGGCTTCTTGCCTACAGCGTGTTGTTCTTGATGATGACCGCAATTATTGCGGATCCAGCCACAATGATGAGATGTCAAAAAGTCGAAAAGAGGCGACAGCCAAGCTGCCAAATCGGTATGCTAATAAATAAAGTTCTGGCACTTGGGCTTCATGTGCGCACCAGCGTCGGAGGTGCACATGTGAACCAAACATTGATAACCTATCAAGTGTCATATCGTCGACTGAATGATACTAACAAGCTCCCTGCCACCCCGGGCAACATTGCGTTCCATGGTTTTACAGACCTTGGGTTGCGATAACCTTTCACATCAACATATTCTCTCCCACCCGGTCAGTGTGCTATTCGTAGGCATGGAGACGGTGTGTGAGGTTCGACCCTGGGTTGTCCTAGATGTTGAGGATCGCCGCCCAGTTTTGCCATCTCGATCCAGCATGCCTTTGAAATAGCGACAAGCACATACGGATACACCACGACAGCAAAACCAGACCCTGTGCAGTTACTCAGAATAATAATGGCAGCATTGAATGGGCTCTATCCCGAGGATGTATCCATCATCATCGACAAGGGAGGCTGTCAAGGCTTTCCATCTACCAGACTCGCCATTCCTCGAGCCACTATCCCACGTCAACTCAAGCTCGGCTCGAAATCATGCCGTCATACTATTGCTAAGGCAGCAAAGGATCTTGCACGAGCAATACATCTCCCAAAGTTATGGCTGGCTCAGCCTTCCCGAATCCTGTCAACGCCTTATGGCTACTACCAAACCCAAAGGGCCTCGAGGGCTACAGCTCAGTTGACCACCCTCGATGGCATCAATATCATGAATGTCTGTTTACAACCCGCCCGAGTTCCCAAGTTCCCAGGAAGGCATTTGCCGCGCCCCAAGAACGCCTACCAAGCAAGAGCGAGAGGGAAGAGAAGAAAGCCGCGAAAGATGCGGAAGCCCACCTGGCACCTCATTCGTCGACCGAACCCTTACGACATGACGAAGTGCCCTGCCGTCATAGTAACAAGCTCTGAGGGGGTCAGGAGGTTCGTCAGGCCGTTCTCAGGCAGGTTTCTGGACGTGGACAATACAGACACGGAGAGGTATCGTGAGAAAGGTCGCTTTCAGGCACAGACCTGCAGCTGGCGGCTCACGGAAGAGTGGGATCCGTCGTACGATCCATCCCTTCCCCTGATCACTGTCACTACACCGGAGGGGAAAGAGTACTTCCTTGAAGATCGAACACACTGGCCGCCGCTGCCGGCGAGGGGAAAGAGGTGCCATTGGATGGGCATATGAGCCTTGCTGTCACTGGTCTGTTCAACCGAGGGTCATCCCGTATGGGATCAGACACATCTGAGCTTTTCCTTATCTCTTTGAAACTGGGTAATGACACACGGGACTATTTCTGGGAATTGGGGGACTTAATTGTGATGCCGTCAGCTCAATCTTGGTATCTTTGGTCTTTCCTTTGTATCTCGACTTATCTCTCTGGAGCGGAATGCACAGATGGGTGTACAAAATCCATACCTATCTCGCCTTGCTTCGAGGAACATGTAGCTCAAAACAAGATGCTGACATACGTATCCATCGAGCGTATAGGGTTGGTTCCCGCTGTTCCGTGTCTCCTCCAACACCGGGCATCATCGGCTGATTGAACGTACATCCCACTGATCCCTGCTCATCGGACCAATCTACGGCCGGCGCGGATCTGACGCCCGGCATTGGCCCACTTCCCCCGGCCTTCTCCTCTGGGAATCTTGCATGCTCTTAGCGCGATTGAGACCGGTGAAGAATTTTGCAATTGGCACGGGCTGAGCTCGATGACACCGTCCGGGGACTTTTGGACCACGCAAGCTTTGCTCGCCGATGAAGACGAAACTGGACATTGCTGAGGGGTTGCCTGACGGTTGACGGCTCGGCATGTAAGGACATGTCGTGCCTCTATGCTTCTTCACGAGCAAAGACAGGGATACGCACACATCACTGTTAGATCGAAATATCTTGCCGATGGGAACTTCGATTCTCACACGGGAAGATTTGCCGATCAAACAACGTCACAGTCGATCGACCAAGGCGCATCATCATGGGTATCGTTAATGTGCACAAGACCCTCGTTGGACTGGTGACGAACACGGCCAACGGTTCGATCCGAGTTCAGGAGGGCTGTTCTCCTTCTCACGCCAGCGCTGCCCTCCTCGGTCGGAGCTGCCACTCAAGTGCCAGCTGCAAGAACCCGTCATAATGCCACGACTTAGATGCTAGTGGAGCTGGGACTATCTCTCGTTACCGGGCTGCTGGGACACTCTACGCTACGAGGGATAAAAGGTCACCAGAGAGGTTCGGTCTGCCTAGGGGCACATGCAGAAGAGCTATGGCTGATCTGCAGTAGAGAAAGCAAGTCCAGCACAACATGGACAGTCGTCTCTCCTGAAGAACCATTGGCTACGGTCCGATAACTAGTGACAAGAGCTGTGCATGGTCACTTTATGAGAAGGCTCAATGAAACGGTTATGCACCCGTTATTGGCTTGTAGCTCTGACCAGATATTGACCGAACGCCGCCCAGAAGATTAATCAAACAACTTCACCCTCAATGACACGTCAGAAGGACATAGAAAAAATTGCGGTGTAGATGTAACACTCGGTCTGAAGCCGCATGGTCCAGTGAATCGTCTAGATTGGGTCAGGGGAATTGACCGGTAGGCCTCAAAAACCTGTTCCCCAGAGGCCGATCCATGCAACTACTGATACGATGTCCATACGGCTGCCGGTCGTACAATGCTGACCGGGTCCTGTTATCTGCACAAGATCATCTCTTCCGGATAGGAGGCCTTTGGGACATCCAGACTTGGGATGCAGTGACGCTGATCCGCATCGGTTGTCCTGATGTCGCTGCCGAAATCCCGCCATGTCCTCGCCGCATCAATTTCATGCACGATTAGACGAGGATCTCGTGCTACCACAGCGGAACAACAGCCCCGCGGAAGCATGCAGCAGACTGTCTTGGGACTGCTATGCGCTCAAACCTTGGCCAGCCACAGCCATCTGCGATGCAGGCATACCCACCTTACACAGCAGCAGGCAGTGAGCGCGAGAAGCAGCAGGATGCCCTGGAATGCAACACTCAGCTTTGGCCCAGCACCTTTCAGACCTCCCTTCTCCAGGATAGCCTGGTTGATCGGGTTGCCAATGAGAGAACTTGGGGTCACAGTGTTAGTCACTTGGACCGGTCCAGAACGAGGTGTCAACTGACCCAACACTTGCAGCTGCGTAGCTAGAGCCAAACCACTTGCCATAGCCCCTGTCATTGCATAGCTGGCTAAGGCAGGATGCTAACGGATTCATTCTCGTCAGTCAAGAGGGTACATCGGAGCTCGGAGTGCATACGAACCAGCAAGTGGGACGAATGACCCTGTCCCTACACCCATACCAAAGGCAACGACGTAAAGGGCAGGAGCATTATGATCTCCGAACGGGATCCAGACGGCACATATGACAGAAAGCGTGAAGATCGTCATGAAAGATACAACATTAACCGGACCCCATCTGACTGCTAGCCAGGTCGGCGCCGTACGCCCCAGGGTTGCTCCACTTCACCTTTGTCAGTAACCGCGGTATCCATGTCGAGAGACGGCTGAGACATACATGTTGTATGCCACCTGTAGGTAGAATACATCTCCAATACCTATGAGTGAAGCAAAGACGGGAAGTGACCCCCATTGTGTGTAGAGGACTAGCTCAAACACTTGACGCCCACCTGTGTCAGCCGAGCATGATGCACATGAGGGGAGTAACACATTACCAAAATTAGCAAAGGTGAAGAGAAGAAAGTCTGGGCCGCGGAGATGCCCAAAGTCCCAAAAGATTGGGTTGTACTCGGTTGGTTTGCTCTTGACCAGGAGCGAGCCCACGAGGACGAGCAAAGCAACCATAGACGAGAAGCAATACGCGGAAGTCTTCCACTCGAAGCGGGTGAAGAGGCTCCTGAAGACGAGGGAGAAGAGGATTCCTCCTATCGGCGCCCCTGTGGTGACGATACCCATGGCGAAGGCTCTATGGCGGCTGAACCAATGATCAATCACGCAGAAAGCCACAGTCGTGGGCACGGCTGCAAGTATTGTTAGAAATGCGAGACAAGTGTTGTGCTGTGTGGGGTTACCACTGTGTACATACCACCACTTATCCCAGCAATAATGAAGCAAGCCATGAAATGACCGTACGTGGTACACCACGCCAGCGAGAGGAGGGATAGCCAGTACACAACAGATGCAGCCGGGAGGACAAATCTAGATCCCCATCGATCAAAGACTAGCCCAAAAGGGAGGCCCAGAAGACAATCCAGAAAAGCAAAGACAGAGCCGATCCATGATATCTCGGTCGGCGACAGATGTGATAATTGATGTTCCTGCCAGTACACTTGGCACAATCCCATTGCAGACATCAGCCCGTAAGTAGCAACAGTCAAGCAGAATGAACCAACGACTACAAGCACCGCTGACACGGTAGCCTTCCTTCCCGCCGCATTGAACTGGCCTGCAGCGGCTGGATCTTCCCGGCGTTCAATATCTCCCCCACTGCCTGCCGTGGAGGCCAATGGACGAGAGTCAACCAATGGCGACGGGATAGTAGATAACCTGAATCAATACCGTTACATCAACTATCTGGACCTCTTCGGGACGATGTTCAAACAGCAGACATGGGTAGGCCGGCTTACTCCGTGTTTGGGTCGCTCGGGTCTGCAAAGTGATCCATGCCTCCTGCATCTGCAGAGCCCATTGCGGCAGCCATACCTCAAATTGAGAAACCAAGAAGACTCCGCAGGGCTGTGGGTGGAGCTATGAGCAGTCTTTGTGACCAAGAAAGGGTGGACAGCGTCGAATGCAGCACTCTCAAGGTCCAGATCCGAAGCCGACTGGGTATATATATGATATCTGCCTACGCCAGGACCCAGACACTTGCCTTGCCTGATCGTGTTGGTTCCCCCCTATATATCTGTTGGAATCACCTCTACTAATTGGATATCCTTCATCTTTTACAGATCACCAACGGACTTTAGGCTTGACGCCAACGGACTTCATCTTTCTCCCCTCCTTCGTTAACAGGGATCTGACCTGATACGCAACCTCACAAGTCATCATATAAGCCGAGGACACTCCTACAGGAGCTGACATAAATTGACGATCATCATACTATACTCTTTCCAGCGGCCGACAGTACGTTGTGGCTGGGAGCAAGACACGCGACCTTGCCACTTCACCTTGCTTTTCTCACCATCTGAAGAACTGTTCGGGTTCCCTACACCAACATCACTCGAGTGACGATCCTTTCAGACGAATGGGATAGCGACTTTGGAACCAACAGCTGATCAATCACAATTCCAGGTCGGCGACTTCAGGGTACAGGCTTCGAGTCCACAACAAGACTGCATCGTGGAGGGCCAATCAGGTAGTCAATCACCAACAGAGTACCCGACACCCGGTACCGAGTAGCCAGGAAACCGGCCAAGGAGCTCTGAACAACACGTGAAGGGCTTGCATGTGAGTTGGCTGCAGTTGAAGTAAGGGTGTCACCGGTCCACTGCGAATCGCGATCGAGGATCATCGGCGACGTCTGCGCCCGGACAAAGGAAGTGCGTGAAGGGGCTCGTGAGAGAGAACCTTTCCAGTGCTGCAGGACTCGGGATCACCATCATTCACTGCTTCACTGCAAGAGAGGGAGCAGCCGCCAAGATCATTCGGTAGGTGACTGCTCCCCACGCCCTCCATCCCACTCCTACATCCCCTACATGTATAAATGCCTTACACGCCGCGCAACCAGCAATACCCCTTGAAAGAGCATTTCCTGCGTTGACTCTTCGCACAAGCATCAAAGGCAGGAGGCCTTCAAGTGCTCCCTTAGCTCTGTCTTGTTTGCCTTATATGCAAAGAAGCAAACAACCCTAGCTCGGCTCTCGGTTCCAGAATAACCGCCCAAACCTCCAAATTGGAACAGTCCCTCCTGCTCACGGTGCTCTTCAAAGTCTCGGGCAGAAGCCAGAAGTGACTCAGTTGCAGTGAGACAGAATATCAACGATGTTTGCCCTCATACGTCGGGGAGTGGCCCTGCGAGCTTCGACCTGTCTCCCTGTCCCTGTTCCCATCCTTCGCGGGCAGATATCGCAGCTACATAACCACGCAGAGGCCGTGGCTGAGATGCCGGAGGTTCCTCCCATTACTGGCCCTCCTCCCACGGAAGAACCATTCTGGCGCAAGATACCTTGGTGGAGCAATGTCTCGGAGTCAGATTTTCTTTCCTACCGCTGGGGTGTGAGTTACACCTTCAACGACCAGTCTCAAATCGAACGTTGCGAAGTACTTACCGGCATCTATATAGATCGCCAATACAATCCAGCCCCATAAGCTCAGGAATTTCCTAGGGTCAGTCTTACCTGATGAGGTCCCTGATGACCAGCATGAGGGCAAGATGCAGACCCGAGACGACCTGATCAGCGATGTTTTCAAGGGCATTTCGCACGCTTCCATGTCAACCCGCATCACGTAAGTCAAGTCGCCGAATAATAAGCATCCTTCATGACTGAGCCGGTAACAGCCCGTATATAATGAGCCGCATAGACTGGAACGACCCTCGACATGATCCTCTCTTCCGCCAATTCATCCCCCTGCGGTCGAGGATGCTCCCAGACCACCCGGAGCTGACCATGGACTCTCTTGGAGAGCGTAAGGACTCGCCAGTTCCTGGCCTTGTGCACCGCTACCCTGACAAAGCCCTGTTTCTTCGTGAGGAACCCGTAGCCTCTTTCCGGGAGAGCTGAAAGCTAAACCACTTCACAGCCGTCTCTGTCTGCCCAACGTACTGCATGTTCTGCACACGATCCTACGCCATTGGCGGCGACACCAGCACCGTTCACAAGGAGTCCTTCAAGCCCACGCGCCGCCGTTGGGAGAAATGTTTCTCCTACATCGAGGGCCAGCCCGGCTTGCATGACATCGTGGTCTCGGGGGGCGACTCATACTACCTGGAACCCGACCAACTGCACGAGATCGGCGAGCGCCTCATTAGCATGCCCAACATCCGCCGCTTCCGTTTCGCGTCCAAGGGGCTGGCCGTGGCTCCCGGACGCTTTCTGGACGATGGTGACGGCTGGTTCGCGGCGCTGGTCGACATATCGAATGCTGCGAAGCGCGCCGGCAAGAGTGTCGCTCTGCACACGCACATCAACCATCCAAACGAGATCAGCTGGATTACCGAGCTCGCGAGCCAGCGCCTGCTGAAGGAGGGCGTCACTGTGCGCAACCAGACTGTCCTGCTGCGCGGCGTCAACGACGACGTCGAGACGATGAGCACGCTCATTCGTAAGCTCGCGGACAACAACATCTCTCCAGTAAGTTGAGATCTAAGATAAATCTGCAAGAATTTCATAAGCACTGACAGACATATCTTGCAGTACTACGTCTACCAATGCGACATGGTCGAGAGCATCGAACATCTGCGGACGCCCTTGCAGACCATTCTGGACCTGGAGTCTCGCATCCGGGGCACGATCGCGGGCTTCGCCATGCCGCAGTTCGTCGTCGATCTTCCTCAGGGAGGTGGCAAGCGTCTTGCATGCTCTCACCTCTCGTATGACCGCGAGACCGGCGTTTCGCGGTATATGGCTCCTGCACTCACCCGCGGTAACAAGGAGAACAAGGTCTACGAGTACTTTGACCCTATCGATTGCCTTCCCGTCCGCCCTGCAGAGCCCTGTGACTGAAATTGCGGTCCTGGCCCTGTTCAGTGGGTGTGGATATGACGTAGCTTCGTCATGATGGCTTTTTTTTTTTTGGTTGCGTTTATGATTTCCTGGTACTGTTTGCTCTGGGACCCGCAATGTTGCATTCGGGTTGTTTGCTTCCATGCAAGACACACACTATCTTAGAGTGACAAGAGCTATTTCCTAAGCTACATGGACACTTGTGATATTGGCTGTTGATGGATAGTGATCTGTATCGTGATGTTGTATGGCTGTTCTCTGTCACGATCCCTGTGACCAACGACCCTACCCTAACCAAGCCCCCTCCAACCAGAAGGCTCCAGCAAGTGAAATCTCGTATCACCATCCCTTTTGCAGTCAGCCGTGAGGAATCAAGATCCTGAGGATTTCTCGGTGAGCTTGGCGAGCAGCAGCTTCCTTGCAAAAGTAGGGGCTGTGTTTGAGATGTTTGCTTCGTTCGAGTGACACAGCATTAGGGAGGTTGGGGGTCCGCTGGGCACCAACGACATTACAGATGCAGGATAAGGCAAACATGCTTCTCCGAAGAGGGGGAGGGAGTAAGCGAACATGTTACTGAAAACCCCGTACGGGGTTTTGTTTGTGAGCTGTCAGAAATCCAGTCGTGAGAATAACCTCCTGTCAAGAAGACAAGAGTTTCATGATTGTACACTTGCGTTGCTCGCGATCCATATGCATGGGTTTGGAGGATGAATGCAAGTCTAGGGTCACCCATGTGCCTGTCCTTGCCAGTGCATCACGGGCCCCCAAATCGTTGTTCCGGAGCTGACGTGGGCCTGGCCCCGGACACTGGCGGTGACATTGGACGACTTTTCGGGTCCGAGGCCGGCTTACAGGAGCATTCGCTAACAGTGCTTGAAACATCGATACCTCAGGCCTGGCCCATGACTGAGCGCTGGGCAAGCCTGTCTTGGATCCGTATCCGTATTTGGTAATTTCTCCAAAGACACTGCCTGAATCCCTAGATAGGGGCCGCCACGACTGGACCATTGTGCACTGGGGGTCAACGTAGCATACGGGCCGTTATCTTCACCACTGTGATTGGGCTTTCTCGACTGCAGTTCATCCCAATAGCATACCGGATGCCGACATGAAATAGCGGTCTCGTGGCATTGGGACGAGTTTAAATTGTGACCTGAAACACGCTATCTGCTGTGCCTTATTGATAGGATCTCTTTTGAACAGAGAGCCCTGCAACCACAGGGGGACCATGCTGCCAAACTCCAGGGTTCTCCAGCACACCATGCGAAGGGGGACCTGCCGACCAGGCTGTTCGGAATGTTTTCTAGAAGCGTTGAGGAAGGATGTCTATCCCGGTCCGAACTTCAGTTTGTCACAAGTTCGTCCTTTCTCACGAGTCAAGTACGGCCCTTGAAACGAATGGCCCATGATATTGGGAAACAGTGCTCTTCCATGTCCACTGCCTGTCAGGAGAGCACCATTTCCCTCCACACTTTCGAGTGCCGAAAAGAATTATTCGTTTTGACTACTTCATCCAAAACCCGTTCTGGAGTACTAGACAGGGAAGAGATATTCTGGCAAAACCCGGTTCGCTGGGATTGGGCGGAGCACGACATCGTGCCTCTCCCCGATGATCAGAACGGCACAACGGAAAGAACAGGCCAGTCCACGCCGATCAACTTCCAACTCTATCGGCGGTGGAGATGTGACGGAACCTCTGGGTCTTCTGGAGAAGCGCCCTGAGCTTGACGATCCCCAGCGATCCGTACGTCAAATGTTCAATCCCTGTGGGACGCCACGTTGCGTGACAAGACGGCATTGTTCAGGCCCGGACGCCTAGACAATCTGATGAAACAGTAGCTCAGCGGGTGAGAGGGAGCCTTTCGGCATTGGCAAGAGAACATGACTGTACTCCGTAGAAACGTGCTCTGCGAGTAATAAACAGATGGGTGCTGTGAGGCGACGATCTCTTTACCGGGGGTCGGGAGGACGACGATCCTTCCTGCCCGCAAATTGTGGGAACGCGGACAACACGGCACGCACACTTGTGGATGTATCATGGTCGCGATTCGTGGGACACGGAACCACTGAATCATCGACGGCGGTTCTGGCCTGGATGTTGGAGATCTGTGGTCTTGCTGACAACCGCCATCCCAGAATATTCCGCCTAAAGAAGACGAGGTGACAATGCAGCGTCTGAGCGTTCCAGAGCGGCACATAAAAACGCCGGCTTTTGATCGTAGCCAGTCGCGATCGTCGGACGGTTAGTTCGAACAAACCCTTGAGAGCCTCACGTTGCAGTCGAACTACTGCAAGCCATCCTGCGTTTGCTGCAGAAACGTGGTCGGCCTAGAGAGCCATGAAACAATTCCGTGCCGTCTGGGCCAGGTGGTCTCTATTTTTGCCTTTGGGATCACTTTGGCCTCCCGCCACGGGCCGACTGAATTATCATATTCTTGCTTGATATCGATACTGGTGATTGGCACGCCCGTACAATGGCGCCATTTGAAGAGCAATGCTTTACTGATTTTGGATCGCGGCGCTGATCTTTCTGTCCTTCTGTCGGGAACGAAATTTTGCCAATTTGAGATCATGGACTACAATGTGTACAAGTAGACTCTAGTGCAGGAGCTCCTGCTGGGCTTCGGGCAACTAGTTATGTGCTCTGGCCTCTGCTTAGGTGGATAGGATGGGACAGGACGCGAGTGAGCCTCCACAGAGCCAAGAAGCTCAAGGACCAGGGCTCTATGTCTGGTCCGGTATCTGATCCGCGATTCGGGAGTTGATCTCGAGAGTACTTCGTACTTTGCATGGTCCTTTCGGTTGTGCAGGTGTTGAGCTGGCCAATAGCTGTCCAATGGACAACTCTGGAGATCGGAAAACAGCAGGATGACTGTTCATAGGAGAACTTCCGAAACAGCCTATCACCTCCAGATCTCGGGTTACAATGGTGCTGAACGATGTCTATTTTGGCGCTGGGGTGGGTGTGGCTTTGGGGATGTTGGTCAGCTCCTGGGTTGCGTCGAGCGGCTTCTGCCAATGACCTGGACGCGGAGCTACATTCGAGGCGTGCTCATCGACCCAATGTCTATTCGAGACGAGCCAGATCAGAAGTAGCATGTACGAATGTGTTGGCCATCCTCTAGCCTTGAAGCTGTTATTGCGTTGGAGGTAAAACAGCACCAGGTCAGCATGCGCCCCTTGCATATGCATCGAAGCACTGCTACACGACCACTAGTTTGAAGAAGAGAGACAGGTTTGAGATGGAACTGCTGTCTTGGGCAGCGTTACATGGCAGGATCTTGGCCCGAGCTACAGACTTTCTTTTCTTTTCCTTTTCGTTCTTCTCTTCTCTCTGGCCGTCACCACCGCGAGCCAACAGCGAACCAACAACAGCAAGGGTATCTAATCAAGCCCCCCATAAGTGAGGCTGATAGGCGAGAGCCGGTTGAAAGAAGACGAGAACAGTTTGTGAGCGTGGCCTCTCGAACCACCTAGAGGTGGTTCGAGCTGGTGGTGCTGCCTCCACTGGGCCGCAACGTCCCGCCTGTGGCTTGCGATAGTGCCCAGTAGCGCTGGGACGACCTTCCCAGGCTCCATTTGGTCATTCTCCGTTGTCATTCGTGTTGAGATGAGGTTGGAACTAATTCGGGGGAGAAGCAAACGGCTCTTTGTACTCCCTCTGAGACGCTTCGCGCTGCCCGTCTTAGGGGTCTACGGCTAAGGTGACGGCAATAGAGGCTATTAAATCAGAGGGTAAAAGAACTACCTAACTAGCTGGTGCCGTAACCTGGAGGTAAAAGCGCTCAGTGACGCCAGATCCATGATCGACCATGACAGGCCGTGGTTGATGTCAGACATAGATGGATTGACGTGTGTGAGAGCAGCTAGGATGAGACAGCATTAGGTACTGCAAACATCCGTAGGCAGTTGGTAGTGTGTGTACCTGGATGGGAAGGTTTTAGCCATGTGTTGGCTGTAGCCTGTACGGAGTACTCAAAGCGAAAACACAGCCTGTGATTCTTTGCTTTTTTCCCGTTCTGATCCTTGCAGCTATCGTGGTCGGTTGAGCAACCGAAAAAAAAAAAAACGAACCTGCATCATCTCCACTACGTCCCAAGGAGTGCTCTGTGAAGGGCGAGAATCCGAAGGCATGCTCCGTGTCGTGCGAGCTGAGGTCTCCCTTCCGACCACGACCCAGCAATTGCTCTGTCTCATCATACTCGTACATTGCTACACAAAGCTTTCGAGACACGGCAGGCAAGCTGGGCAGGCTCGCACTGGTCATGCCGATCCTGGCCACGGATGTTCTGCTCTGTGTCCGCACGCACCTCTTTTGACCTAACTAGGTACTGCATCCCTGGGTCGTCAGCAGCTCCGGGACTTTAAGAGTCTGATCAATGCCTTGTTCTACCCAAAGATCCACGGTTTTCTTTCGATCTTCACTTGTACAAGTAGAACGGCGTTTTCCCTAATCGATTCTTGCTCGCTCTTTGCTAAGAAAAAGGGGCCTGTCTCGTTGTGGCCTTTGAAGACCCATGCCAACGACAAGCCCTTAATAACGAACCTTGGAGGATCCTGCCCCCCGGGAGTGATCGGCTCTTATTATTGCCTCTTCAGACCTAAACACCGGATCCAGGACACAACAAGCGGCATCCACTGCTGGGGAGCAAGAAGCAACAAGAAGCTCTGCGCCGGGGAGCTTTACGGAGTACGCCTCCATGCTTCCGTCCACCTTCTCCATCCAACGGTTTCCTGAAGTCAAGAGCCGACCTGGAGCTCCAGAAGGAGGGTTTGATTCCAAACCGCCCCCCAATCCAACCGAGGCGCATCTCGTCTGCTCAGTGGACAGCGATGGCCGTGTGATTCATGCATGTGCGTCCATGCATGCATACCGATTCAGCACCGTTCATAACAGCACACGCCATCCATATCTTCGTCACATCCCTACCAATTGGGGAGATCGACCGAGAGAGAGCCCAGCTTGACGGCTCTGTGATGAGGGAGCTGGGCTAGCCAGCGGACAGGGATCTCTATTTGCTGGGCTCAGAGCTCCCCCGGTTATTTTTTTCGCCTTCGACACGGGCAGCGGGGGCCCGCTGTCAGACACGGTACCCCTGAGCAGCCCTGACCCTTGCGTGCGTCTGTTGGTGTGCATCCTTGGATGGCCAGGTACCACGCAACCCCTGCGGTAGCGACCAAGCTAGCGAGATGGAATGCTTGGAGCATGAAGATGCCCTCCCTGCGCGTCGTCCCAATCGTGCCAGTCAGCGCCGTGGCGGCGACAATGGGACCATCCCTACCAACGGGTCCCTGGCAGAGTTTGATGACATGTCTTCAGGCGTGGGCACAGCAAGGGTATCAGCGCGCCTCTTCGACTCCTCGCTATTCTCTTTTGAGGAGCCCTGGGCCTGCTCGATACCCAGAGATCCGTGTATGAGCCGAGAGAGCACAAGTGCAAGCATCAGCTCCAGATCCAATACCAGCTCCAACTCCAGCCGCAGCCACCCGGCCTGTCTCCCTTTCTTTCTCAATAATCCGACGATCTTGTCCCCAGATCGACTCGACTTGTTCTCTTGCTACTACGAGGACGAAGATACCAGGACCGAAGATTCCGACACACTATCTTTCTGCGAGCTTGACAAAGACGCCGGCACTAATACCATTCTCCTATATCCCTATCCCAAGCGACCTTGCAACACCTCTACGTCCTGGCCCTCTGCCAACGGGACTTTTTTCCTTCCGGCCTCATCGGCCTCGAGCATCGCATCGGATTATCGAGAGCTATCGAAACTTGAAGACATCAGCAACCATAGTTCGCCGAGCTGGCCAGCGCAAAGCACAATGCCGTCCAAGACGCTAGCCGAGAGCCTCGATCAGAGCGACGTTTTCGTCAGCAACACGTATACCGCCGGCCACGTCGCAGCCAACGTGAGCAACAGCAGCAACCACTGGCGGCCCAAGTCGGCGCGCAGTGCTCGGAGTAGTGGCAGGTCACCCAGCCCGTTGATATTCGGTCGGCTCGCAGGACGTGGGAAACTGCAGAAAGCGGGCGCCACGACGTCGCTGTCGACCGAAAGCTGCGCCCCTACCGACGCCAACACTGATAGCATGGTGACGGACGACCAGAGCAGCTTCGAGAACAACAAGAGGCGGTCGCAGTCTGGTGCCTCACCGGCGCCGACGCTGACCAGGGAGGAGTTCGAGGCGCTGCCTGTGGCCATCCAGAGGAAGGTACGTGACATCCGTTCGTCACTTCTCAAAGCATATTTTTTTTTAGCGTCCATCGTCATTTCTTTTTCTTTGCGCCCACCTATGGCATTGCCCCGAATTTCTTGCTGCGTTTCTTCCCATCGGCTCTCCCCCACGCGTTTGTTCCCTTCGTCATTTTCATTTGACATCTACGGCCTCTGGGTTCTATTGCTCAACAAAAGGTCCCCACGGTTCTACCGCAATGATTGGTGAAGCCTGACTAGTGGAGGGCAGCCAGGCGTTCAACGGCTGCAGCCAATGAGGGTTTGCAATGAACCGTTTACAGGCACAGGCACACGCAGCATCCACATCACAAGAGTTCCCGCACGGCAGCATCCACTCACACAGGTCTGGACCGTGCCGCTGAGAAACGCCACGGGCAAGCGTCCGCTCTGAGACATGCCAGAGCCTCGGGGACTGGGCTAACTTCAGCCCATCACCCGGACTGGGCTCCGCATGCGTCCGCACAGACGCAGTCTCTCTTGCTGGGGATAAACGAGCTACAGGCCCTACTCATGCATCTAGTGATGCAGGCGACAGGTCAGGGTGCAAGCCACTATCACCAGTGCCCAAGAGCGACGTAATCACCAAATCATCTGAATGGAATTCTAAACCGAGTTTTAATCCTCATATCTGGGTCTTGATCGTCTGCCTGCCCTCATGGCACATTCATGGGCTCATGCGAGGGAAGTTTTCCCATCGCTTCGAGCTTTTGCTTGCGAGGCAAGGCATGACGATAGACTAGTGCTTTGACCGCTGTCAATCTGGCGGGAGTTGCGCGATCATCCTGCTCAAGGAGCATTATCCTCTGCATCATGAGGCAGTTGCACGGCCCTTTGACCTACCTAAGCTTAATTGCTTGCCCGTGCAACTGGCAAAGTCGATCGCCACTGGCCAGTCGCGCGTCCATAATGTCTTATTCATCCAAGATATCCTCTTGACTGAGCTCCGGCATGAGCTCAAAAGGCCGTGGATGACTTGGATGAATGTTTTTTTTTCCTTGCTCACGCTGTCGCTGGGAGATCTGCGATTCGCTTCTGCTGCTGGCGTTGAAAAAAACGCAAGCCCCTGCATATGTTCTCGCATATCACCAACCCTTGTGATCTCAGACCATACCCCATTTTCTCACTGCTGCTGTTGCTGCTTTAGCGGTGAGCTAAGACCCCATACTTTCCTACGCTTGCGCACCTCTGGCGACCTGCACGCCGTTGATTGGCACACCTTAGCGGTTTCGGCCGAGTGGGCTCTTCGTTCTTCTCTTTCCTACCTGGTGATGGCGGCTTCTGTAGGCTCTCCGCCATGATCCGTCACTATGGCCTTGGCTGGAGGAGCTTTGCCAGGCATAGTCAAGTGCAGCCCAGGCCTTTGGCACTGCGTTCTGCAGGTCCCACGCCCATCTGCGAGTGCTGGGTTCCTGATTAGCCCAAAGGAGCTCCAGTGGCCGCTTTGGCGTTTAGGGTGGAATCCCTTATTCGTGGTTCCTGCATGCTCTTTCACATTCATTCAGTCAAGCCCCCACCTAAAGGACCGCAGAAAGAGAGAGCATGACTTTACTGAAAAGGAAGCATCCATCTTCTGTTCCCATCCCCCTCATCCTCGCATGCATGCTCGCTTCTTGATGACCTTCCTCCTGTCTCTCTCTGCCTTGGCGCCTGTTTCTTGTTTCTTCTCGACTGTCCTTCCAGGCCGGATCATGGCATCCTAACAGCGTTTGCCCTTTTAGTACTTCTCCACGCTTGAACGCCTTCGGTTTGCTCAGAGCTCTGGCATGGTGGAGGGTATATATCACCACTACGACGACATCTCTCACCAGAACGTGAAGCGCCGCAGGCCTCGCCAAGACAGGAGCTCTTCGGAATACTTGGCCGGCCGGATCAGGAGACGATCTTTGCGTGGGCCCCGGTCGCCCGTCGCCGATGCTCAGTGGCACTCAAACTTGTCAGATAAGAGCAGAAAGCGGCAGTTCACTCGCGAAGAGCAAGTCCTGCTGGCGAAAAACCTTCGTGCCAGTGTCATCCTGGATGCTGCTGACGAGGCTATTTATAAGATTGGTCGACGAGCTTGCAAGACCTCAGCCACAGACCTTCACCTCCAAGCCCCGGCCCTGTCCACCCAACCCAGCATGGAATCTATGAAGAGCGGCAAGCAGCATGCCGAGAAGTCCAACCGGGAGAGCTCGGTCCCCGACTCATTTTATGACAGCTTCCGTTGGCTTGATGAGGAAGATGACTTGGACCTGCGTCTGTTCCTCGACGATTATCATGCCAACCTCAGGCAAGATCTGCCAGAGCCTACTCAAGAGATGCGGCCATCCTTCCGCCGCCATCTTTCCATCTCCAAGATCCCCTTTGGACGCGCTTCGGTATCATCTAGTCGACCGGCAACAAAAGACGCGAGCGCTCCTGCCTCCCCTGCCGTCAACTCGGCATCACCCGTGGCCGGTGTGCACGGGCGACGCAGGTCCCGAGCCCTATCACTAATCTCACCCAAGCACGCCCCGTCGGCGTCTCTCTCCTCGATCGATCCTTACGCTGCACATTACCAGGACCCCGAGGCACGGCTCAAGTTGCGCGTCTATCTCGCCTCGCCGCAGAAGTTTGACGAGGCTATCGAGTTTGGCTTCCCCTCGACCGAGGCAATCTCCCCCGCGCCTCAGGTCAAGGATGGCATGAGGTCGCCTGGAAACTACAGATCTCGGCACAAGTCCGTGGGCTCGGAGCACATGCGGACCTTTCTGGCCGACGAAGATGAGGATGACAGGATCGATGACGATGAGGCATCTGCGCCAGATCCCGAATCCCCCAAGACGCCGCAGCAGGCGGACAAGCCTACCATTCGCCCCGTCCCGCAACCCATCGACACTGTGTTCACGCACAAGCCTTCGGAGAGCTACGCTCAGGCACCAGCAAACTCGCGAGAGATGACCCTGCGCATGACTCTGACCCGCCCTGACTTGCGTGCAGATGAAGACCAGATCTATGGGTGGCAACAGCAGCTTCAGGCGCGCCGCCGATCACAGACCTCTCCGTTCCAGGAGGATGGTCCACCGCCGCCTGCTTCCTATATCGGCGAAGAACGGTCCAAGGAGAGCATAGAGAGGATGCTGGCTGGCATCGACCACTGGGGACCCGAGCCTTCCGACCGAGGCGTCATGAAGCGCTTCTGGAATCGCGTTCGCCGGTCTTAGAGACGTCTCAACAGCCGTTCTATGGTTACGGACACAAGCCGCAAGGCTAATGGCGGTCATTAGTACGGACACCTTGACTGCTCAACTAGCGAGTAGTCAGTGTATTCTGAGATTACGAGTTTTCCTTTCAGCATATTTTCAAACGACGATGCATTATCTAATTGTCACGCACATTCCTTTGCTTTTCTTTCCTCTTCGTTCAATCTGTCATCTCTCTCTTTCATACTCACTACAAGCGCAAGCGAGGGAGTTCAGGTATTGGGTCTTGTTGGGCTTGAACGTTTTATCATCATACAATACAGCACGGAAAAGATTGTTTTTGGGAAGGCCCGATTGTGGCCCTTCTGCATGGAGTTTAGGTTCTAGTTTGAAGTTGAGCCACTGTTGTCTATTGAAACGATTAGGTACCCAGACCATCTCTCTAGACGTTGTTTTGATAGTGATGGGCTGAGACGCTCAGAAAGTAGTTTGGCTCATTGAAAATCGAAAGAAAGCGCATGATTAGGTTTGGATGTACAAGGTCATGTTGTATCAGTGTGTGATCAGAGTAGTGCTTGCTGGATCATCTAGACAGGCGAGACTTGAATGTCTGAGACCACAGATCGGGCCAGCTTGAGCTTGACTAGTTTTGAGGAGATGTTTCGGGGCTTAATCCGCCAAAGTGCTGTTTCTGTGCTGTGACGATCAATAGCCCGTGAGCCATCGAACGACAACCGGATACGGCAGTTGAAGCGACTGGTTACCAGCCGGGTTCCTCAACCCGGGGAGGCCTGAACTCTGATCCTGCGCCTGCGTGGGGGCAGTCTGAGCCCTTCATCCAAGAATATCACACAAACGGAGCCTGCATTGAAACCTGGTTGCGATTGTCTTCGACCGTAACCCTATCTATGTCTCTTCTATGTTTTTCTCGGAACCCAGGTTTTTAAGCGAGAGTCATGCAGGAGGGGTCTGGAACACATGAATTAGCTTCTCTGTCTTTTTGCTATCGCCGTCTGATATGTGTGTGTGATGGTCTACTAATGCACTTGGTGGACGTCACAGCTTATCACACGCACTACGTACACACACGTACGAGCGTCCGAGCGGCGACCCGGCGGAGCTCATACAAGTCGGAGTAAAGACGTAGACGTGCAAGGATGATCAGGACAAAAGCAGCCTTCAAAACCCCCCCAGCTAACAAGGCCCCAGAAGTCGAAATGCGCCAGTAAGGGGAATATATAGCGAGAGGGTATTATAATACTCCGTGATCCATCGTCTTAAAATGCCCTCCTCCTCCCCCCCCCCCCGGCAAGCGCCCTCGGCATAGTTATTCGGACAAATTCGCGGTCTTCTGCTTGGACAGCTTGTGCTAAGCGAGTGCCGGCAAACGGGGGTTTTCCATAATCCTGTTCTTTTTCTTCCCAAGGAGAGATGCTTTCATGCCTATTAACAGCAGCCGTCCCAAGAAAAAAACCATTGCGTCCATTCTCGAGGCGACTTGAAGGGAGAGACCTTCCTGAAGGAATGGTCCCCCTGTGTGCAAGAATACCGCATACGTGCACGTGAAACACCCACCACCACCCCCCTGCCCTCGTCGCTAAAATGTGAACAGGAAGAGGGAAAAAAGGGAGATTTCCACCCTGGTCTGGCTGGGCTTATTACGAAGTAGAGAGGCTTTGCGTACAATATGCCATAAGTCGGGCGAGATATAGCACAAGGGGACAAAAAGACCAGGCTTGGGAGCCGAGATGGCGCACGCACGCACACACCCGACCCCTTGGCTCTCTCAGCTTATGAGGGCCAGGGTTCCTGCGTACTTGTACAAGTAGTTACTGACTAACCCACAGCATCATGTCTAGGTCGCAAACCTGGGCAAGGGGCAGCAAGCAAGGCGGAGGTCATAGCTCGCGGTAGCTCCCCGGCCGGGTCTAGAGACCAGCTGGCTGTATTGTAACTCTTGATCCCTCCAACGAGCTGTCTTCTTGCCTTGGACCACAAGTCAAGACTTGGGGCAAACTATTTGATTGGAGAGGGCCATGACGTTGGTCACGACATACAAACCCCAAGTTGCAGTCTCAAAGAAGGTGTGAGCATCAAAGAAAAAGCCAGCACCTTCTCTCCTAGACAGCTTGACACACCTTGCACCCAAGTGATAGCCTCTTCGAACTAGATTCTATTGCCCTATCGTAAATCTACTCCCATGTTCCATCAAGCTTCCCTTCCTATCTTCACACAATATATACAAACACGCTCACTCTGTCGCGTGTTAAGACTCAATCTTCCCCCGCCAGGCTGCAGCCGAATCTGTGTGACAAAGTAACGGAGAAAAAAATGCTCTCATATGTCGAAAGTTGTATCTCCATCTCTCTCTCTCTCTGACTCCCACTCTAACCTTTTCGCCCCTTCCCTTCCCTTCCCTTCCCTTCCCTCCCCTCCCCCATAATCTCTCACACCTCCTCGTCGCTCTCATCGCCCAGCAGCTCGCCCTCGTCGTCGTCCGCGACCGCAGCATAGTCCCCTCTCCCCCTGGCGAAGCTGTCCCGGGTCGTGAACCTCCTGGACCCGCCCCACCCGCCGCCGCCGCCGCCGCCGCTCCCGCCAAGCCGGCTGAAGCGGCCCCTGCCACCGCCGCCGCCGAGCAGGCCCTGCACCGCCGACGTGCCCGCGCGCCAGACGGCCGAGGCCACGAGCGGCACGGCGCCCACGACGGCGACCACGGCCGACAGCGCGATGACGGGGTACTTGATCCACGGCGCGTCGCTGTCGAGCCCGGCCCCGCCGCCGAAGCCGCCGCCGGCGCCGCCCTCGCCCAGCCGGATGGCGCCAAACTTGCCGTGCCAGTTGCGGTAGACCCACCAGCCCGCCGCCGCCGCGATGCCCACGGGGATCACGACGGCGAAGAAGATGGCCACGCCCGAGGGCCCGCGGTGGACGCGCCTGAACTCGTCCTCCATGCCGACGCAGGGCTGCGGCTCCGACTGCTTGTCGAACTCCTGCCCGCCGGTGCACGTGGTCAGCGGGATGCGGCGGTAGCCCGACGGCGCGTAGTAGGTCTCCACGCCGGGGTTCTCCTTGCACCACTGCTCGCGAGACTTGGGCTCCAGGCCCTTCACGAGCGAACAGGCGCCGTGGTTGTCGAGCTCGAAATTGTAGTCACTATGGGACCAGTCAGTAGTGGTTCCTGAGGATGGTTGAAACGAAATTACAACTTACCATTCGAAGTCACGCCGGGTACAGCTGCAGTTCTGCACATTGTACGAGTGCTCGATTTTGAAACCGTTGTAGCAGTCACGGTCCGTCTTCTTGCGCCGGTACTGCGAGACGTGGCCGAAGAGGCAGTCATTCTCCATCATCGGGTGCTTGGGAGACCATGTATAGTAGTCTGAATCGCCTTCCAACGAGCACGCCCGTCCAGTGAGACCGGTAAAGTCGACGTTGATGGATATCAGCTCGGAGCCTTTCTTGCCCCAGATGATGAAGTTCCTGGAGGCGCCCGACCGAAGAGTGGTGACATCGGCGATCTCCACATCATCTTCAGTGAATTGGTAGTCCTGCCAGGTCTGACCCTCGTCGGCAGTGTACGAAACAGTCTTGGTCTTGGTGTGGCGCTGGGCCAGAACAATGATCGATCCTTGGTCGCCGAACTGCCAGGTCCAAGCACCCTTTTTGACGTTCTTCCAGGTGATGCCAGCATCCGTAGTCATGAAGGTGTCAGCGTCCTTGATGTCACCGAGACTGTCGCCCACGTTGCCAATGCCAAACATCAGGCCGACAGCACCTGCAGATGAGTATGTCTTCCGGTGATCTTCACGCTCAGTGTAGCCGTGAATGTGGAGCGCACACTTTTCATCGCCGTTGCCACTGCAAGGATAGTTCTTGCCCTCGACATCCTGTCCTGGGGGTGCCAGGAAGCTCCACTCAGCGCCGTCATTGTGGCTGATCTTGCTCTGCAACTTCTTCTTGTTGTCCTTGCTATCGCGATTCGCGACAATATTGACGAGGCTCACGCCCTCGAGACCAAGCATCTTCTCATAGTCCACATAATAATTGTTGTTGCAGTTGACGCCAGGAACACTCATGACGTATGAAGTACCGTTGGAGTTGCTCTTGATGATTGTGCCATACCGGAAGTCCTCCTTGGTCTCCGTCACCACGAACAGATTAACAGCATGGGTCGAACTATCGAGAACCGTGTAGGCGTGTTGCTGGCCGACGTTGAAGTTGTACGGGAAGTGGGCCGCAGCGTAGTGCTCTCCGTCGATGCTGGCATGTGCCTGAAGAGTCTTCTTTTCCTGATCTTCCGTCGCGACGACAATGAACTCAGCCATGGTCGCAAAGTCTTTGACGTTCTTTTGGCGGACTTCCTTGGTATCGAACCAGTCGTCACTGGAGACGAGCTGGAGGGGGTTGTCCTTGGAGTTGTTCTCGCGCTCCCTGCCAAGACAGAGGACTTGTTTCTGGTTGCGGTACTTGTAGGCGAGCGAGCCTGTGAATTCGCACTTTTCCACATAACGGGCCATAGTCTTCCAGTTGTCTCCACGGTCGGTCGAGACAGATGCAACCAGATAGCATTCGCCCGTGTCCTCGCACTTCTTGCCAAACCAGATCAGCCAGTCTTGCTTGTCAGGGTGGAAAGCGAGCGGCGCTTTCTGCTCCTCAAGGGCCGGCTTGTATGGGGCTTTGAAGTCGTGGAAAGTCCGTCCTCTGTCGGAAGTGTAGTAGACCATGCCGCTTCGAGTGACAAAATACACCATCTCCTTGAAGTGCTGGTGCGGCATGATGGCCCAGATCTCTTCATCCTTGAAGACCTCGGCCTCTTTCCAATTCTTGCCTTGGTCATTCGTGATGTAGATGGGCCCGCCCTTGTTTTTGGATCGATCAAGAGGTCGCACGATGACGGTCTCGTCGTTATTGAACTCGCCGCTCTCCAAATAGTGCTTCTCAAAGTCCGTCCATTCGCCCTTGAAGGGGTAGTTCTTGTGGGAAATCTTGCCGCTCGGCTTCTCCGTTGGCGGCTGTGCGGAGTCGGAGCATTTTCTCTCGACAGGATCGTCCTTCTGTGCTCCCTGGCTGCGTTTGCAAGTGTTGCCGGGAATAAGACGCCATCCCGAAGAGCCCTTGAAAGTGTCGTCGGGCTTGGCATCCTTGCACGCGTCATCAGGGACAATGACGGGACCAACGGGTTTGCATTCGCCATCCTCTCTCCTGAAGTTGTAGTCACACTCAAAGTCCTTGTCCGTGCACTCGCAGTCGGTACTCTCAGCCAGTGCCTCGTTGAACTCGTGCTTTACGAAGCACTCGGCATCCTTCTTGCGACGGTGATACTTTTGGGTATGGCCCATCAAGCATGTCGGCTCACCCTTGTCATCGACGCGAGCAAACCAGTCTTCCATGTCGCTCTCCTTGCAGGTGTCCTCGTGCAACCCCTCGAAATCAATGGCGACGATCTCCCATTTATCTTTGCTCTGGCCGATCAAGAGGAATTTGAGACTGGTAGAGTCTTGGGTGGTAGTGAGAATGTAAGGCCGAACCTTGAGCCCATCCGGGAGCTCGGCAGTCTTCCAGTCCTTGCCATGGTTGAGGGAGTAGGTGATCTCGCCAATACCTTCACCCTTAGTCCCAGTATCCTTGACAGCAAGCAAGATCGATCCTTGATCTCCAAACTCATACTTGTGTGGACCCTTGGGGCCCTCAATCCAGGTAACGCCAGCGTTGTCCGATATGTAGAGATTTCCATCTTCATAGGACTTGAGGTATTCGCCTGTGTTGCCAATGCCCATCACCAAGCCAGGTGCTGGGCTAGAGAAGACACGTCCAACATTGCTCAGATCAGTGACCGAATGCAGATGTACCCTCTCTTTCCCGACCATGACATCCTCGAAAGTCCGACCATCATCGAACGTGATCTCGGTGATAATCTTCTTCTTGGCATGCCTGTCCGTAGCAACCTCATCGCCATTCTTGACTTTGTTCACCAGGAAGATGCCCTGAATGCCGTTGATCTTCTCAAAGTCGACGTGTCCGTGACTGTTACGGTTGGTAAAGTCGATGTTCTTGGTGAAGTAGGTACCGTTGGAGTTGCTCGTGAACATAACCCCCATAGGGTTGGACGGACGGGTATTCATCACATCGATCTGAATGCTGTAGTTGGTGCTCTCGAGAACCGTGTAGGCTTCTTGGTCAACCCGGTGATCGGCAGGGAAGATGGCCCGGTGCCAATTGAGGGTGTCATCTGTTACGAAGAGTGCCATCTCGTCGGTGTTGGGCGATGACGTCGCGACCAGAAGGAACTTCTTGACGACAGCCAGGTTGACAACACCTTGTACCGGCCTGTTCATGTCGAGATTGGGCTCGAATTCCTTGACATCGCCGCCAGCTTTCTCCGCGTTGAAATAGTTGTCCGAGATGAGCAGGCGCTGGTCGTGCTTGAAGGGCGAGAGCGAATCCCTCACGACGCAGAGGATGCGCTTCGCGTCCAGCTCGTCCTTGCCGGTGGTGAATATGGCCGACGACCTTGCCCACCAGCAGCCCACGGTGTTGTCGCGAAGAAGCTTGGCATCCGTCTTGAAGCCGTCGGTGGTGTACATGGTGACGTCGTCGCAGAAGATGCCCTTGCACCGCATGCCATTGAACAGCATGCGGTCCGGGTCTCCGGCATGGAAGCCCAGAGGCTCTGGCTGGAAGATGTTGACCTCGGCGTCGGTGGAGAAGCTCTGCCAGGTCTTGCCCTTGTCTTCCGTCCTCCAGTGGGAGGTGGCGTCGGTCATGACATAGGCCCGGCTGCGGTCGTATTCGTGCATAACCAGCCGCGCGGCCACGCCCTGGGCGATGTCACCAACTCGATTCCAGCTGACGCCGGCGTCGTCGGTGCGGTAGATGTTGCCTTCGGAGACATCGTGAAACAGGATGACGTCGGAGTCCTCGAAGTAGCTCAGACTGGTGGGGATGTGCTTGAAGTCGTTGACGTGGAAGGCCGGGCCGTCTTTCTTCGCGTGCAGGGGCGATGCCCAAAGGGAGGCAAGCAAGGCGAGGGCCTTGAAAGCTGCCGGCGCCCTCATGATTGGCGACTGCGGGAGGGTGTCATCAAGAGAGGGTGGGAGTACTCGAGAAGAGAAGAAGAATTAATGGGAACCGGGCGAGGCGGAATGCTGCTGCTCGAGATAAGAGCTGCTTGTACTCGGGGAAACAAGTGCTGCTAGTGAATGGAAACAGGGGGAAGAGAGAAAAACGACGGATAAAGGAGAGAAACAGATAGTCTATCCTTCCACAGGTCAGCTGGTTTGCGGAGGGTGAAGGGTGGTGATGCGTAAGGTGTCGCAAGCGCATGCCCTCGACGTCCCGGGACGACAGCTGAAATGTGGCTAATCCTGGTCGTTGTAACTCCCCTGCAACGCCACTCAACACGTCGACTGGTCATCCCGCGGGTACATCCCATTACCCACCCATCTGCTGCCTAAATCAGGTACCCGTTATCTCGCTGGGCGCTAGCTCAGGCCAGAAGCAGAGCTTGTGCAACGCGCTCTGCTCTGGTTTCATCCTCCCCAAAGTCTACGATCATTCCATGGTTGGTTTCTCAATGGATGATGATCTATTACTGAGGTCACCAGGCATAGCAGACTGTTCCTTCAACTGGACATAATGCTATCCAAAGCGCATGCCCTTCACGAGCTTTCAACGGACGGACCCTCTGAGGCTCTGTGGACTAACTACATCCAAAAGAGGGCTGTTGCTTACATGCTATCGCTAAAATGGGATTAAGTGTTAAAATTAGCAGCTTCACCAACCACCAGAAGGCGTAAGCATGAACCTACATCTAAATATGTTATGGTAGTCTAGGTTGTTCTGTGTGAGCAAAATACCAGCCAGTACATCTATGAAAGCATGCCATAAACTAAAAGGAAAGTAGAGTACTCAGCCTTGTAGATACCGACCGTGATTGGAACATTTCGAGGTGGCCTCATGGGGAACAGGACTCGTGAATAGTACGCGACCTCTCCTGCTAAGTGAGCAATAACACTATCTTCAAATCATCAACACCACCCCATGGAGTTTCTCCTGGATGATCAGCCCAAAGTGAATATCAGCATGAATGTAGTGCATCACACAATGCAAGGTCCCCTCCCCCAATCGCCTGATAATCGACATCAAAGGCTCCCAAGCAAGGCCTTGAACAGCCCAGTCTCCCACGCGAGCTCTGCATTACATCTGTATTCAAACTCCCGATGCTAACCTAGGTAGTGACAGTCCACAGCAAAGATCTAAAAAGAGGACGTGGGTATGGAATGACACCTGCTCAGCTACTCCCGGCATCGAAACCCGAAAGAAAAAGGACCCAAATCAAAGTGATATATCGCTCTCAATTCACACCCCCCAACGCAAGAGGGGAAACACACACACTCTCACACACAAACGCTCCTCACACCAACCCCGACGTCACAACCGCAACCGCCAGCCCAGCCAGCGCCGCCGTCATCGCCGCCCCTCCCCTCCTCCACCTCCTCCTCTTGCCCGGCGCCTCCCCGGCGGAGCCTATCCTCCCCGCTCCGCTCCGCTGCACATGATGCACGATCCCCTTCCTCAGCGACGTGTAATCCACCCACTCGCACCTCGCCCCAAACACCATCTCCCCCGTCGACGTCGACGCCGACGCGTTCCTCTCTCCGCCGCCGCCTAGCTCCGCGATCCTGCGCCGCGCGACCCTGTCCACGCACGCCCCGTACCCGCGGGCCAGCGCCTCGCTCGACGTGTAGCACCACACCGTGCGGCAGCTGTAGTCGGCGCGGTACGCCGTCGCCAGCTCCCCGCTGCCGCTGGAGCTGCCGTGCGGCGGGCAGCACTGCTCGAACAGGTCCGCCGCCGCGCCGAAGCTGCCGCCCGTCCAGCTGGGGCCTCCCGACCCGGACCCGGACCCGGACCCCAAGGAGTCTGACCCGCCGCCGCCGCCGCCGCCGCCGCCCTGCGTGTAGCACGCGATGGCGAGGTTGTAGTCGGCCGGCGGCCGGCCGCAGGCCGTGGTGTGCTGGGCCCAGTGGTACTGGAACCGCTGTGCGAGAGGGAAAAAAAGGCGAGACCTTTTGTCAGCAAGGTGTTGCTTATGGAGAAGCTAGATACGTGTGGTGGGAGGGACGACCCCCCCGCCGGCCCGTCCTTTTAAGACGGTTCCCAGGTGAGCGAGCGAGCTTTTGAATATCGTACGTACTGTCATCAAACCCTCATTGGGGTCGTAGGTGAAATTCGGCTTGAATATTTGCCCCATGATCAGTTCTGCTTCTCAGGAGGTGGTGGTTGCGTCGTCGCGGGTCGCTATGAAAGGCTGGGCGCCAAGGCCCAAGGGAATGGGCTTGGGCGAACCGTGAGGACAGGACGGGAGAGAACAAAAGCCGCTTGGGGATGTGAGGCCGGGTGAGAAAAAATATTCCCAAAGCTCACGAGGCGGTCATGTTAAATGCGTCTTCGGATGGGTTGGGAGCAGCATTGCGCGGTTCGCGGCCATGCCTGATGGGAAATTCCGCTCTCGTCGAGGGAAAAAAGGGTGAGCGCCGAGAACTGCCATGACGCCATGCCTCTTGGCAATATCTTGGAATGTTTTATCGCGAGTCGCTGTACGGTGATTCGACAGCCTCGCTGAACGAAGGAAGCGCCCAATTTTGCATCCAGTACTCCGTACAGGTAAGAAATTGCGAGATCCAAGATGTTGTGAGGCGAACACGCATCTCGTATGTTCGAGGGCCGGTCCGTCGTGATCTCGGCTTGCCTGATGTCGAACCTTACCGGATCGGCAACAGAGTGCCGTGGAGATTAGTGATCTTGGCATGGGGCTGGCGATAGACCGGATGGTGTTTCTTGCCTCGCAAGACTCGTAAAGTCTCATCATATATGGTTACAGTCTGGCTATTACTCTACTTGTACACAGTCCAACTTGATGTCCCGGGGTACGGGCACGACTTGTTAGTGGTGTCCGGGGCGGGGCGGACCGCTTCCGTCAACAAAGACAGCACGCGGTGACTTTTTTTACTAGACCAGCTTTGTGGTTCCCCTGGTGTTTGTAATATTGTTGATCGTGTCTCAGTCAGTCAGGCAAAGAGCAAAAGACAGCCCGTCTCTTTCGAGAGGGGTGAAACGGAGAGTCACGATCACACGAGAAGAGCGTGGTAGATTGCAAGGCGGGAGAGATGAAAGGCGAGTAACGATTAAAATGATATCGGAATGCAACAACGTCAGTCCACTCTATATACTGCGAGCACTTCCTCCCACACAGGGTAATTATCTTGTTCAAGAGGCGAGTTGGATGAAACGAGATATAATATTGCGTTTCATGAGCCAATGGGAAAATGGTAGAGGGGACCTCTAGTTGGTAGAAGTGAAAAGTAAAATTGTACAGTCCGAGATACACAAACAACAAAGGAAAAGTTGAGAGGGATAGTCGCCGAGAAGGTCCGGGAGGGGGAAAGATTGATCTTTGATAGGATATCTTGCTCGTTGCCACTCATCGCTGAGGGAGAACGGGATGCATGAGAGATGATCTTGATATTATCCTGATTCTCCTTACTCTCTCCCCTTCCTCTGAATCGCGGTCCAGCAACCCACGAGAACCACTACTCCCTCTCGTCGATTTTCCATCCTACTTTGCCCACCCATCCCTCCCTCCTCCAGCGGTTTGCGTCGCAAGGTCTTGTCTCGCGGGGCGCGTCGTAAGGAGTCGTGATGGTTGGAAAACGGTACGCGATGTTCGCCTGCAGGAGCCAGCCACAAGCATTCTTCTACTCGAGAGATCTAAAGGGGCCGCTGGGGGTGAGGACTGACGGTGGCGATAAAGACTACGCGAAAAAACGACCAAACTGATGCGATGAGTGCTGCCCTGCAGTCCAAAAAACAACTTTGCTTGCGACGTGGGAAAGATGACGAACGACGTTGCGGTTGATTAGCCAAGGACAACAGAATGTGAACCCAATATCGGTTGTCAATCCTGAGGGGCGCGGATCCTTGCGAGAACGTGCATCCTCGGCCCGCCCCTGCCATCATCTTCCAACTTTGGGGGGGGATCCCTTGCTATCCGAGACCGACCACCTTAATACACAATGCGAAATGCCAAAAAGTATACACAAGTAAGAAAACCCAATGCAGATGATTCTGGCGGTGCGTTGAGAGTCTCCTCAGTAAGAATGCAATCGGAAGCCCTTGCCAGATAGCCCAGGGGTTGATCAGTGCTTGAAGACGATGGTGGCCTTGCCGTTACCGGAAATAGCGGTCTATAGATGATCAGGTCAGTCACCAGAGCGGGCGAGTAAAGGATGCGTATTTCCTCAGGGACAACTTACAGTGCAGCCGTTACCGCCGCCGTAGTACTTTCCACCCTTCAGCCAGCAAGGAGCAGTAATGTCACCCTGGATCTCAATGTCGAAGTCGAGGATGGCCGAGCTGGTGGGCAGGTTGGCAAAGATGGAGATGTAGGTGATGCCGTGGATGTCCTTGCCAGCACCAATGTTGGTCGGGGCCCAGTTACCAGCCGAGCTGGGGTTGGTAGGGCTGTTCCAGGTGCAAGCGTCCTTCTTGGCCACATTCAAGGGGTTGACGTAGAACTGGCCGCTGGTGTACTTTCCTTGCCACATGTACGACTTGGCGGCGTCCATGTTGGTCAGGGTCAGAGTCTGGCCAGGGTCGGTGCAGAAGGGGATCGACATCTTCTCGTCACCGGGGTAGTTGGTCTGGCAAGTGCAGGCAGTGCCGCTGAGCTCGTTCCTGATGGAGATACCACCAGCACCGGGAATGCAGAGGGTCTTGAAAGCAGGGTTGGTGAGCTCCAGCATACCGTTGGAGTTGCACCAGAGACCACCGATCGACTGGCCAGTGGCTCCCTGGGAGTCAACGGGCCACTGGGACTTGGTGTAGCCCGGAGGGCAGGCATACGAGGCGAAGGTGTTCTTGGGGCAGCTTCCGCTGATGGGCTGGTCGATATCGGCGATAGCCATGCCCTTGACCCACGAGTTCCGGGGGGTCTGGTAACTGGCCCAGCCCTCGAGGTTCAGCCAGTCCAGAGCCACGGCGCCGTACTGCGAGGGGAAGACGCTGCAAGGGACCTGTCCGCTGGGGAAGTCGGCGTCGAGGCCCGTGGCGCCGGTGTTGCTCGAGGACGACGACTGCTGAGCGGGGGCCGAAGTGGTCGGCTTGGGTGCCGGGGGAGGCGACGAAGAAGAAGTGGTCTTCTGCTCGAAGAACTGGGCGGCGAGCGAGCTCGTCGTCGTCGGCTTGGGCGGCGGCGGGGGAGGAGAGAAGGTGGGGGTGCTGGCTCCAACGACCTTGCAGTCACCACCCTCCAAGCAAGCCTTGGCATCGGCAGCGGCGACAGCCTCGCCATTCTCGTACACGTAGGCGGTCTCGGTCGGGCCCTGGACGTAGGTGACGACGAGCTCACGCTTCTCGACCGGGCTGTGCTTCTTAGCATGCAGGTGAGCGTGCTGGTGGTGGTGAGCGTCGGCCGTGGCGCTCGCGACCATGGTGGCCGCGATGGCGAGCTTGATAATTCCCTTCATTTTCGCCAACCTATCTCGAGTCCGTCGAATTCGATGTTTCCAGGTTCGGCCAATTTGGGAAGGCGGGAGGCGTTGTCAAAGATTAAGTATAACTGAGAGGGAACTGTGCGTCAGTCTTGGTCCCATTCCACAGGGGCATGAGGCGGTGTTTATGTCCCGCGTGTCTTGCTCTGGAGCAGATCGGTTCGGGGACGCAGTGCTGGTTTGGACGATGGCGGCGGTGGATACTGGTCGAGGGGAGGCACAAGCACTTACTCTTGAGATGGTTAGATTGTGATGTTGGTGTGATCGTGATCGGGCCTGTAGGTAACGAGCGGTATGGTAGCGTACGTTCGCGATTCCTAAAAGAGTGTGGTAGAGAGCGAGTGCCCTCAGTTGGAATGAGGAATTTGACGCGCGATGAGTCGTGAGAAGGGCTGCGAGAACGAGTGTGGGATGAGATGTGGAAAGGGAGAGACAGGAACAGGTGGTTTTGAGTGGATGGAGCGTCTGCTGTGCTAGGTGGGCGTTGAAAATGAGTGACTGGAGTTGGCTGGGGGGGGGGGGGGGGGGCACAAAGAA